GTTTGTTTTGTTTTCGGTGGGCGGTGCGACCGTATCGACATCGCCGTATCCATCCTATCTATGTTACTGGGAAATTTATTTATATACAGATCCAATCTAAGTGTAGAGTCGTATATAGTTAATGGTTAGCTAAACTTCTATACCGCACTGATTCGATAATGTGTATATGAATGGTTTATACGTTTGTAACTAACTTAGTGCGAATCACAGTTGATTAAGTTATATCCCGCGGCGACGATCAGCAGGATAAGGGAGTATAAGTTGGCGTTAATTTTTCTCAACTCAATTTGGGTCAACGGATACCGGTAGCAGATGTATGCTTGCGGCTTGCGGTCCAAGTGTTTTTTACTTAGGAGGCGCTCGTATTTGAAAGGAAATGCCAATGGTTTAGTTATATGGCCAACATCAAAATTAATGATCCATAGCTGATTTATGTTGTATTTATTGCCATAATTATTTCATGACTTTATTTAATGTCTTGTTGGCAGATTATCTATTATCATTCATTATTATGGACAACCATATAATGGCTTTCAACTCCAAATCATATGTTCAGTGTGTAGGTAGAAATATCCAAGAAACTAGTTGTTGCGGTTTCTTAGCTCCCATAAATAATATAACTTTCAAGATTTTAAATTTTGAGTGAAGGTTTTACCTCGAAAGCAGTTCTTAAAAAATTGTATCCATACTTTATAGCGTCTGAATCTCATGTAATCACTAATTTACCCGTATTTGAAAATTTGGGGCTCCCGAAGTATGCGAACCAAGATAGCGGACATCGGAATGTAATATGTTTACTAGGTTTGGGTTAGGCCATAATTTTAGGTATAAATACTACGGGAGGCTCTTGGCTAGTCTTCGAACTGATAATAGGACTAAAATAGGGAAAATTGGAAAAAAAATAATCGCCTAACCCTAACCTGTTACCCATGTTACGTTCCGATGTCCGCCATCTTGGTTCGCATACTTCGGGAGCACCGAAAATTTTGATGATAGTAGTTGAATTGTGGAATCAATATTGTATTTTACTTTTTATTCTTTTAACCTTATTGAGTTGCTTAATACTGTAATAGCTGTCCCAGACAAGACTAGATAAATAATAGATATCTAAATGAGAAGATAGCGTATGACGTAAAATGATAGATCACTCTCTTTAACTTGAAATTTTATTCCATTTTGGATGGAACAGTATTGTGTTTGCCGTGCTTCAAAACTTTGCATAGGTGATGAGAAAATTTCTTCTATCTGCTATGTTTTAGTTTTTACAATATTTATGATTGGTTTTTAATTGAAATTTTATTATGGATGATGTTTTTACAAGATTGACTGAAGCAACGAATAAACTATTAAATGGAAGGTAAGTAGAAGAGTAATATCCTGTTATTGTCAACATTCAATTTTCTGATCATTTTTCTTTATCAGGTTTTATCTCATATTAGTAAGGTTATTCTCCTACTTTTTAACTTAATTTGAGATATACATAGGCCTATAAAGATAAGCAGATAAAAAATTAGTATTGTGTTACAAAAGGATGATAACAGTTTTTTTTTTACAAAATTGGTTTGAACAAATTATAAAATCCCGTGATATTTAGAAAACAATTCTGAGCTGACTGTACAGTATGTGTATTATGATATGTTCTTTCTGAAATTATGGACTGTGTTATGATTTTGTTGCAGAATAGACCATTTCAGATTATTGTAGATCAAAATTAACTGCAAATACATTCCAAGTTATGCTGTTCAACTCTTATACATCTTTGCCTAACTAAATAATAACTGATATGAACTTCAGTAATCAGTATTATAATCTTTTAACAATGCATGGAAAAATCATGATTTATATAAAGTTATGGGCGCTCCACAGCATAAGCGTATGTACCACTATGGAGGTAACTACCATAATTTTTTTCGCTTACTTTACATCAAGTTATATAAAGGGACTGAAACCTATGGTATATTCACTTGGCTAACACAGACAGTCCCCGAACTCACAATAGATCTAAAATAAGGAAAATCGGAATAATATTATGGCCTGACCCTAATCTGGTACACGCACTTCGGGCATTATAGCTTGTATAGGCCTACAGCAATAAATAGGAAAATTCAATCCAATGATTTGACCACAAAGTCATTCACTAGTAATAATTTACCGAGCTCTTTGCAATAAAAACTATAAAAAGGTTACATGTGTTGGAAAAGGATTTGATCATTTAATATTTGTATTGCTTTTTTTTGGTGAATATACCAATAGTATACTGTTATCCAGATTGAAAAGCATATGGATGTTGTTTGAATTACCCCATGTGATGAGATATATAGAACAAGATACAGAGATAGCTGTATAGTACAGATGGGGATTATAGACGCACCTAGTAAAGAGGGCAAGAGGTTCCTAACTGTTTTATAGTTTTTATTGTAGTTGAAGTTAAATACATTTAGTTGGAGGAACTTATAATATCTTTAGCTTTGTATACATTTGCAATGGAGAAAGGATGAGATCCCACTCATTGGCAATTTTGATAGCTGTTAACGAATGTTGACTTGGTAATTGAATATCAGATATGTTATATGCTGTAGATATAAAGTTAAAAACCTATTGCCCGTATTGCCTATTGTCGTAAACTGGAAACCAAGTGATAAAGAACCTAGTACTTGGAAAACTTTGCATCTTTGTTGCTGATTAGAGTCAAAACTTACTTTTATATGATTGAAAGTACTCAGACCAAAATATGTAATGCTATTATACCAAAATATAGTATGCTGATCAGCTGTAAGAGTCCAAGGCAAGCTCCATCGGCCACTTGGTTTATGAATTAAATACTCAACCATGAAATTAATATTCTAATACTGTACCTGAATTTCCTCAGTTCCATACATCCATTGAATGTAATGTTGCTAATGTACCTACCGGTATGTCATATAATCAGTTTATTATTTTTTGTTAATGTAAATAAGACTTACCGTAATAATGGATTGAAATCACTCCTGTTATGGTCATGACGCGTTGTGATATGATTAATTACGTTTTAACGCACGTTTTAAATACAGGAAAAAACATATGATACACGTCAACATGTTTAAACATTTGTAGTAAGACATATGATATACCATAGGCTTTCAGTTAAGAAAAATGATAGTATTTTCCATATGCTCTGATATTTGGTAAAATGAATGGAGTTATGTTCGATAATGGCACGATCTGAAAAAATCGGGTTGTCAACTTTTTATTTTGGGTAAGATATTTTTAATTTTTAAAATAATTCGTTGAATGCATTAGTTCTGAGGCATTAGTAATAATTGTGGGTCTCCTAAACTTCTAAGTATGATAGATGGAATCGTATATTATTTTTGATATTTGATGAGATGCTTACACTATAGCCTTGCAACCCACTTGAAAGCATAATCAATTACAGTAATAGAGTCAGACTTTGATGATTTGTAGTGGGCTGAATTAGGATTACTAATTTATGATTTTAAAACTAAGGCACAAATAGTTTCACAGTTATTTTATATCACTGCTACGCATTGAGGAATTAGGTATTCTGTTCGCAATTCTTTGCTTTCTGTTTGGGTTTTCAGCCTCACCGTTAAATTTATGATGAAGAGAAAAGTTAGAAATGTTAAAAAAAGATTACGCAGTGCTACTGTTGGAACGTAAGATAGTTTTATTCTGTTATATCATGTGTAAGTCAAATGTGTTTTAGCAGAGGTATCATGTTCTCATCTCATCATAATTAATACCTAGGGGGTATCTTTCATATAAAAAAAATTCTGTAAATTGAGATTAATTTCTGCTGTATTGATATTAAATTATTCGAATATGTTCATTTTAACTTTCAACTTTATTTTTTACTTCGCTGTATAGGAATCTGCCTAATATTGAAATTTGTTAATAGTATCTATTTCTTGTGTGCATCCTTCTATGTTTGTTGCAGTAATTGTTTTTTTTTAAATGACAAATACAGGGTTTATTTTAGATGGTAACCTGAAATTTTTATCGATAGATTTCAAAGTCAAAATTTACTTTATCCAAAAATAATTAAGAAACTAGTTCCATGAATTGCGTATATAACTCTGCAAGTCTTATTATAAAAGACATGGATTATTTTTATAGGCTATATAAAATGTGTGCAATTCTCGATTGTAGACATTCCAGACATACTAGATGTGAAAGTAGTTTCAGTACCTGGGATTCTTAATAAATAAAAATAGCCTTAATCAATATTAATGTACAATATAAGACAAATGGTGAAAAGTTTATAAATGGAAAGAGTAAAAAGATATACATAATACTTTATTATCTGGTTGATAAAGAAATAATTATTTTAGAACAAAATACATTTATTTATTTACTATTCCTCTTGAGAGAATTATCTGGTTCTCTATAATCGTTACTTTGTATATATGTTCTTATTGAGTGGTTATAATCAAAGTTTAATGCAGTTTTTTATTGTTATAAGTATGCAGAAATTGATGAAGTTTTTTGCCCAATATCAAGTGCTATATACCAAATGCGCAATGCTAATTGAATACGATTGCAGTGCTTTGTTCACCTCGTTGAATGGAGTAACCAAATCCCTATTTTTATTTCAAGAATTTTCATATATATTTTCAACTGTAAAGATTTATTGATTTTATTTAAATAGTATTTGAGATTAGAAATATCGGAAATAATGTTTTTATTAAATATTTATATACTCAGGGAAATTAATATTTTATTCAGTATGTTCTCTCTTCATGATAGAACCATTTATTCCTGTAAAAATTGAAGTCAAATACTACTGTGTATAACTGGTATCATAGTTATACCAACTGCAATTTATTATAATTCTATACTTTTGTATCTAATTTTCGGTAATTTTCGATGGAATTTGAACCAGTGGTCTATGATAAATATTATTTCAGTTCAAAATAATGAATATAAAACTGCCACTGAATGAAACGAATGAGTTTTTTAATGAATTGTTCACTTGAATTATGTTCAATTCTATCTTTCAGGTTACTTGAAGCAGACACAAAGTCCTTGAAATCAATATCAAGTGAGGGAGGTCGATCAACGTCACGACGTAGCAGCGGTGGATCTATATCACCTACTTCTGTACATAGCAACTTGTCTGTGAACGGTAAGAAGGTTCACAGAATTTAATTTTAAATTTGTGAAGCATGTAAATACAGAAGTCAGATATTTAAATGTGAAATGCAATTCTGCATCACGATCGCCAACAGGGCGTGGCGTATTCTTAACAGAGCGTTAGGAATACGCTCGCCACCGCACCTCAGATTACTCTGCGTGGCTTCCCAGGTTCCTATGCGGGGATAATTATGGGTGGGAGGATTGCTAAACTCCAAGCCGCCGAAGTGTGGTCCACATAACTGCTGGTCTATGCATCTGAAAACAAATTACTGGCCAACTTAATCCCATACCTGACATGGCCCAAGCGAGAGGCCGTGGTTCACCATATTATCAAGCCGTCTTATAGGCTTTCTTCTCCCCCTGGATAAATATATAAATCGTATCCTTATATTGTGATTGGGTTTCTGTTACAAAGGTCCAAATGATGGAAATAGCATTGAGGATGATCAATGGCAGTTGTGGGGAAGAATTGTCAATGACTGGGATGAATTTAAAAAGAAAAGGGAAAAACAATTGAAGGTAGGATAAGATTTGTATTTTGATCTCACTCAAAACCAGTAAGTATATTACTGTCTATTGCCATTTTGGTAAAAAAAATCTTCGTTTTATCACTGTTTCTATTTAAGTATAGGAAGTAAGTTAGTTAGTATTATTTATAAGTTAGTATTATTTAAAAATTAATTTTGCAATGTACGTCAGTGTACCTTCCAAACATGGAAAAAAAATTTATGCCTGAAGTTTTTTCCCTAGAACTTCAGCAGTTATGTGGAATTCACTACCCCATAACTGTTTTTCTGATTGGATCGATATAAACTGCTTTTAAATCTGCGTTTACTTATGCACAATTAGAGGCCATAAAATCTTTATTCTCAGTGACTCTTGGCACTCGAGTGACCACCTGTAAATTCGTTATAGTCTCAGTAATTCTTGGTACTTGAGAGGTTCCCCCTAAACTTTGCCCAGAGGTCATTTTCTAGAACGCAGAATTAAACCTGTAGCTATCTCACATACTGCTGTAAACTGAAGGGACTGTTATTTTCCATAATACCATATTTATGTTGTTTAGCCTGGTATAACAGCTGCAGCATGATTTTAGTCAAGTTTTTGAATGTATAGATTCCAATAAGGTGATATATAACATGTAAATATTTGATTAAATTGATTTTAGGAAAATGTTCGTAAAGGTATACCTCATCACTTTCGTGGCATTGTTTGGCAACTTCTTTGCGGAGCCCACAGGTCACCAATAAAGGATAAATATTCAGATCTTCTAAAGCAGGAGTCACCTTCTGCTAAGCTTATAAAACGAGATATTGCAAGGACTTACCCTGATCAAGATTTTTTTAAAGAGAAAATCGGACAAGAAGTTTTGTTTAATGTTACTAAGGTATGTTGAATTGAGCATTATATTTCTACATAATTTCATGTATATTATATTGCTGCTAAAATTTTTGAATTACTTAAAAGACAGTCTGCGATGAATAAAGTTGTTTTGTAATTGTGTGTTTCCATTTGCTTGATGTTTTTTCAACTGTAGTCTTTTCGCTATTTCTGTTCTATCCAAAACTAAGAGAGATTAGAATTGATATGATTATTATTAAGTAATTGGGTCAGGTGTTTCCAAAGAATCAGAAGTATTCATTGTAGATTTCGCATAAAAAATTTAAAAAGTGTTTCAGGATTCAAAAAGGTTGGAATGCATTGTTCTGGAGGACTATTTTAGCTCTTGCAGACTCTTACGATAACCTACCCTACCTGTTAATTTCTCTTGCGGAACCAACCTATTTTAGAGTATATCAGATATTTCATATTCGAAAAGTTTTTTTTCAGAATGTACTCTGAAAAATAAATTATTGGGTTTTTGCCATCCCTGATCATTCCATAATTCTGGTGCTGTGTTGCAACAAATAACGAAAGAATTTTGTGTCTTCTTCAGGCTTATTCACTTGTAGATAGAGAAGTTGGTTACTGTCAAGGAAGTGCGTTCATTGCTGGTCTATTACTTATGCAAATGCCTGAGGAAGAAGCATTTGCAGTTTTTGTTGCATTGATGAGGAACTACAGATTACGAGAATTATTCAAACCATCTATGGCCGAACTGGGATTATGCATGTTTCAACTTGATAATATGCTACAGGTGAGATTATTGGACACAAAATGTACATACGTTGTTTTTATGTTGTTGTTAGAATTCATGTTCTTGTTGTTATGAAAAAAATCGCTTCTCTCAATAATTACTGGACCAATTGCTTTGAAATTTTCTGTGATTAAAGATTGTATTTTCGCTACTTAAAATTTTTGTGGGCTTCAAGGGATTCATGTTTCTGTGTGCGATGATGTCATAAAAATTGAATCACCTTGAACCTTGTGGCAGTTCCACTGTCAAGTTAGCAATCTGGTAGTCAGGTTAAGTCGTGAACATTGCGGTTCTGGGATGTCTGCTGTAATGGATTGCATACCAGACTACATAACCGCTTTGCTCTCTTGTTTCCTATCAGAATTGTGTCAATAATTTGTTTTTTAAATTTAATTTATCGATGTCCAAGTGGGTCCCAAAAATTCAAATTCTGCTTGACATTGACATAGTTCCACCCTGGACTCCAGTAATCTTGATAAATCTCCTCATATTTTAGACCAACGCTCGCATGGGCCTCAAATATGTCCAAAGGCTTGTTTTACCACAATTTGTTATATTGACGTCAACTTCTTCCAATTAGCATTTGTTTTTTGTGTGGACCACCAGAAATCTATAAAGTTTTGAATAGCTGACATTGCAATGTTGGCCTGTAACTTCTTGCAGAGATAAGTAGGTGCCACTTTAGTCATAAAACTGGTACGTGATCTCAATCGCATACCAAAATGGCGCCAATTGTGGAGCCACTTTAGTATGCGTTCAATCCAGAAGAGATATTCTGATATAATATAGTTGCTAACCTTGTCACTGTTGGATTTGGTTAGGTTAATATGAATACTAATATCACTGAGATCACACAACTGCTGAGTTCGCATACCAAAGTGACACTGATAGAGCTTCTTTACTTTTGAGTAGACGCATGTGACCTAATTTGGAGCAAATTGTGGAAAAATATGAAAAAATACTTCCTTCCTATCACCAGCAAGAGACAGTTTTAACTCACAACAGTCACAAACAATATTTTTAATAACCAATCAGGAAATATGTGATCAAACTCAAATGAGCATGGACAATAGATAAAATGATTGAATGAAAAAAAGTATTGTTGAGTCAAAGTCTGTCATCACAAACTATTCATATTCATCATCAGTTTCCGTCTGCGTTAAAAATTAATGATAATGACGATTTACCCACTTTAATATCAATTGGATTAGATTGAAAAGTAAAAATATGCAAATATCATTTTACCATAATAAGACGTACACTTTTTACTATCAATTATGAAGAGAGATAAGGTTAGAACTTAACTGTTGATAAAATATCACATAATTATGACATGAAGCAGCATGAATTGTCCAGAGCTACTGAAACTATATATTTAATGTTCTGCGTTCAACGTCAATAAGTACTGATGGTCGTGAGACTTGGAGCAATTCAGCCTATGAGGCAGTAAATACTAATTACTAATTATTTACCCCTTTGACATTATTTCAGGAACATGCTCCAGATTTATACAATCATTTTCAAGCTCAAGGTTTCCATACATCGATGTATGCTTCTTCCTGGTTTCTGACCTTATTTGCAACAACTTTTAATCTGCAAGTTGCTTCTAGGATTATGGACGTGTTTATGTCAGAGGTAATAATAAGGATTGGTATTACCTTTTCATATTATTTCTTCAGTTTATCCAACTTATTGTTTGGTCTATGGGGGGCCAATATCGAATAATTCACTATTTCGAATACATTCGAAATTATTATTTTCGAATATGAAATTTCGAATACTTCGAAAATAAATGCAAGCTTATCTTATTGTATGGCGGAATTAGCATACAAAAAACAATGGAATAACCGTTACCTACAAGCTGGCTACCAGAAAATTTATATCCGCCGATTGTCGTGATATTTTATAGTAGTATGCTCTTTTTTTTTTTTCGTAAATACGGGAGTGCGAATCGAAATCAAATATAATAGGGCAGTTTACCATTAGTTTTGTGTCCACAGATTGTCATGGTATTTTAAAGTTACTTTAATAAAAGTAAACATTTTAGTTTTCGTAAGATGACGCAACCATGACTTACATTGAACAAAAGAAAAAATTAATACGGAAGGCATTTTAAATGCTGTTATCAGTCATGGATTTACGGTAAATTTTTTGCACAACAGATCGGTCCATGCTTTCAACAATCATTATCAAAACTATTTGCTGAAAGTGGGTAATAGTATAAATTATTTTTTTGTGAATACGAAAATATGAATCAAAAATTAATTATAATCCAGCATTTTACAACACATTATATTTCCACAGATTACCGCGTTATTTTAAAGTTGTGATGCTTTTTTTTCGTAAAATAAAATGCTGGCAGTTACCGCACATTTTATGTTCACAGATTGTCGCGGTATCTTAGAGTAGTAGTAGTAAAGCATTAATTTATTTGTGAGTCGGCAAAACTGTGAGTTGCGTTAAACACAATTAAATTAATACAATAGGTCATTTTAAATGCTGTTATCGGTCATGAATTTGAATATTTTGTCGCAACATAATATCATTTTAGTTAAAAAGTCCATACTTTCAACTATCATTATCAAAATTATCCTGAAGGCGGGAAATAATATAGATTTTTTTTTTCCGTGAGTACGAAAATATAAATCAAAATTAATTGTAATCGAACAGTTTACCACACATTTTATGTCCACAGATTACCGTGGTATTTTAGAGTTGTAATATTATTTGTTTTTCGTAAGTACGGAAATTGGTATAAAAAATTAATTATGATTGACCAGTTTATCACACCATTTATGTCCGCAGATTGCCGCAGTATTACTTATATTTTTTCATTAGTTGACGCAACTAGAGTTACGTTAATTGAACAAAATTAAATTAATACGGCAATTAACAAATGCTGTTATTGTTCATGAATTTGAATATTTTGTCGCAACGGAAAATCATCATTATAAAAAGTCGATACTTTTGACTATCATTATCAAAATTATTTACCAAAAGTGGGAAAAAGTTTAAATGATTTTTTTCTAATAAATCAGCTCGTTTTTTCGGACTTGAGAGAATTTATTGGGTGTCGTAATTTGTAACAAAGCTCACGGCTTTATTTACCTTATTTAATATCAGACTATTTGTATTTCTGTGAGACCTGTGATTCAATACAAATGAATGCGTAAATTAAAAGCCTTGCTAGGGAATGGCGAGAGTGCCAATCTCGCAACCGTGCAAAGCTGTCGCAACAATACCAGGAGCGCGCTCGCACAGAAGATAACAAACAATCGAAGTGCCGATACTATTTCACCGTCATTGCATTACGCGCGACAAAGCACGGAAATCATTTGAAGATTTATCTTTGAAACGAAACACCATGCTGACCTCGAAAAGTGGCTATTATTCGGAATTATTTGAAAATTAGCCGAAAAGATATTCAAATATTCTATTTGTTTTGGACAATCCAACTTGGATTACTATGAAATTATAGTATATTTTATGAATTTTAATATACTGATCATTTTAGGGCTGTCCAAGTGAGCCGAATAATGGAATTGAATGGCATTTTACTGTTTTGTGGCTAATTTGCGAATAATTGAATCGTGTGGTAAAATAGAGTACATTTGGTGGAAAAAGACTTTCAATTAACATCGCCCGGCATTTTACATTATTGACAGATTTAGGACTGCACAATCAGATTCGATTCCAGAAAGATATTCGCTTCGATTTAAATTTTAAAAAATATTTAATTTTTTTTATCCCTTCATAGTTAGTCATCGGAGCAGGGATTCTCAACCTTTATATTACCAGAAGTAAATTTTACCCCAATTTATTTTATATTTTCATTTGTACAAATCCCTCAGTGATTCAAGGGCAAGAGAGGCTTTGAATAAAAGAATGAATGTAGATGTCTATTATTGATTGCATTTACTAAATATAAACTATTTCAAATAATAACTAACCAACAGACTGTATTCTCTGTAGTGAGAGCATAATAACATTTCCCATGCATTATTTGATCACACAATGAAAGGAAGCCCATTAGTGTGGTAGAGAAAATTTATATTTTTATATCTGGCAGAATCCTGGAATACAAAATAACATGGTAATACTTTATTATGTTGCTGTTAATACTTTTATTGAATATTTCAGGGCATGGAAATAATTTTTCGCATTGGTCTAGCAATGTTACTGAGCAGTCACAATCAACTATTGCAATTAGACATGGAAGGTATGCTTAAGGTAAGTGACTGTACTTGAAATTGATCAAACTTGGATGAGAAAAAACAAAAAATATATATTTTTTGCAGACCCAGTATATTGTGTCCCCGAGTCTAGATTCAGTAATTAACTATTTTTATACTCAACCTGGATTGGTAGCTAAACTAAAGGCGATATGGTATTTTTTAGGAAGGCTCTATATGAGAAACCACTATCTGGCAACGAGCTGCTATTTTTGTAGAGACTGGAATATTTCAGTACAGTATTGCATTCCCAATTTTGTCTAACAATGTTACATCTTGTTTATTACATTCTGTCTGAGAAGAAGAGCCTAAGATTTCTAACCTGCGACGCTGACGTTCAACCTTTTCCCTGGATTAATATCAAAATTTTTCATTCTCTCACGACTTACAAGATAGTCTTTCGATTAGTATTAAACAATGTAACGCCAATATTTGAACTGTTTTTTCTCTTTCGCAGGTGATTTTGAAAACTCTTCCAGAATTTTACAATCGAGATCCAGATCTTTTATTCAATAAAGCTTACACTTTGGTCAAATATAATCCAAAGAAAATGAAAAAGTAGGTAGTGATGTGTAGTACTATTTTTCTAAAATGTGTGGTCAAAAAGATAAATGTTTTTTAACTTTATCAACTGTAACTATTTAATCAACTATATATCAGTTAGTTGAAAGGTAATTTTAAAATTGGTTAAAAAACAAGCCAAAATGTGACAAATTTTAATTCTGAAATTAGGAGTTTCGTTAGTGCTTCAAAGCTATTGTTATATTCTTTTTTATCCTTCAATTGTGCTCATGTTATAGATATATTTATATTTGAAATTTTTTAGGATTGAAAAAGAATACATGTCGATGAAAACCAAAGAAATGGAAGAACAAGTTGAAATGAGAAGGCTGCGCACCGAATGTAGGTTGCTACGGCAACGAGTCGATGCCCTGGAAAAAGAGAATGAAAATCTTGCCGATAAACTCATCCAGGTAAAGATTTATATGTCTATTGAAAATTAGATATTCAAATTTACGAGAGGAAGAAAATGAGTATGACTATAAGATAACTTAACTATATAAAAAACAACAGCCTTATCTTGTCTTAATGCTAGGGCATCATCTTTTAAGTTCGTTTTTGGTTGTCATTCTCACAGCCTAATCCACCTTTCATTTACTGTACTGGATTAGGCATAGAGAATAAACCATTTTAATCGGTTTCAGTGTGTAAATGTTGATGGTTAGGAAATAACTTTGAACCAGTATGGAGTCACAGTTTCTACTCTCACACTTAATCATCTTCCGCGTAATTCAAACTATGTTACCCATACGGGATAATAGCTGTTTTTTGATTGTACTAACTTGAACTCGAGTTTTATCTCAAAAGCCATTTGCTGATGCGTAATGCAACACCATAAATCTTGATAGTTTCAGTGCTCTTAGCATTTCAGTTGTACAGCAACTTAGTTTGGATACCTGTCTCTGCTACTTACTGTGTGCATGTGAACTTTTCTTTATCGAAATTCCCGAAATAATCGTCTTTCATGGAATTTAAACCTGTGTCTGCCATGCAAGACAAGTAAGATGTTTAATTATGTGTTGTTGTCAGTACTTGTCACTATAAACCGACTTTAGAATCTTATAGGTAAAATTTGTCATAACTCTACAACCCCTATGTATTTTTATGTAGGATCGGGTAAACCGTGCATTGGAAGCTGAAGAAAAAATAATCATGGGCAAGGAACTGAGCATTGCAAAACGACAAGTTAAATTGAGTCAAAGCTCGTTAAACAATCTTGCGCAACAGGACAACCCATTCGCTCTAAGTAAGATTTTACTTATGGATTGTTGATATTTTATATATGGGTGCTCCAGAAGTATGCTCACCAAGATGTTGCACAACCTTAATCCTAACCGGTACACACATACTATGTTCAGGTTGTGCGCCATCTTGGTACGCATACTTCAAGAGGTCCTCGTTCATTTGCGTTCTTTGATGAATGAAAGGTAAACGATTGCACAAAAGCTTGCAAAATAATGGAATATGAATCTTCAATGTGATAGTCTATATAAGTTTGGCGGTGGTTTTCCTCCTTTCTTGCAGAGCGGATCTCCAATGAAACATTTCAGAGGCTCAAGAAACACCTTTGTAATAGTTCAAATTGTCTTTAATTGTCATAATTGGTATAAACTATAAAATTTAAAAGCAAACTTAACACAGACACAACATGATTATTAGAGTGTATCAAGTTTAATAATAGTGGCAAACCTTAGGTATTTGATTATATTTGAACAACATAAATATATTAATAAAAACTCGGATTTCAAATTGAAAACTTGCTGAACCTCTGGGAAATACCAGGGGAAACTTAAAACCACTGATCTATGTTATAATATGTTAGGCAATGCCTATGTTAATTTTAGCCTTTGCAAACTGAAAAAGTTTTGAAATAAGTTTTAAATACTTTCAAGAGTTTAATGATATGTGAAATTGTCTGCAAAGACGTACATGAAGAGATTCCCAAGAACATGGCAATTTTGTACGAATTAGTGTACATATTTGGCCCATTTTCACCGGGTTTACAATGTAAATCTAAATTTAATTGGATAAATTAGTCAGTGCTTTGATCTATAGTTGTGTTAAATGGCTCAGAAAAAGTATTGAAATTACTTTCAATTTTTCAATGGACAATTCACTCATTATTATATCATATTTTAGTAACTGATATCCGTTACATAACCTCTTATTTTTATATGTAGATGCATATGGTCCATAAATGGGTTTTGAAATTGTGTATTTTTTAGAAACATGATTAGTCTTTTTGTTGATGATATTTATTGGAAGCCACACCAGAATATGTGCATCTATGATGCTAAATTCTAGATATTGCTTCTCAGACTTGTTTCACTTTGCTAGGGTTTATACAAGCAGTTTATATTGGAAGGATCAGAATTTTTCCACTTGGCATTGCCAAATTTATTGCACCATACGGATATGATTTCAACCATAGATTTTTCTGCCGCAATGCCAACACAGCTCTGAGTTCAAAGCTTTAACCAATAGGCCAGTGGTTCCCAAACTTTTTGTTTTTGTGCCGCCGAATTATCAGGAAAACTCACAGAGCATTTAATGGGAAAAAGATACTTCTGTAGTGTTCGTACAAGGTTAGGGTTAGGGCATAATTTTATTCCGTTTTCCTTATTTTAGTTCTATTACAAACTCGGGGGCTGTCGGTGGTAGCCAAGTGAATATACCACCTGCCCATAGGTTTCAGTCCTTTTATACAACTTGATGTAAAGTAGGCGACCAAAATTAGTTACCTCCATATTGGTACACACACTTCTGGAGAGCCGGGAAAAAATTGCTGCCTCAATAAATAAAACTCGATTTTGTGTTCGTTAATGTGAAGAAGGAGAGTCAACTTTGTTCTTTGCTTTCCTCAAATCATTCATCTGATGCTCAATTCCTACTCCAAATCCCAATTTTTGCGTTCTCTCATTTCAGGTCATGATGGAGACTTTGGAAAACCTCCTGTATCATCTACTGAATCTACTCCTTCTACAACGAGCACAGAACCAAAGACCAAACCAGCACCACAATCTGCATTATCTGTACCTTACTCAGAGGATTTTGTTCTCGAACTACAGCAAGAACTCATTCAAGCAAGATTGAGGGAAGCGGAATGCTCATCTACGTTAACTGACCTCCAAGTGGGTTACATTGCCAATATGTTGTGCTTGTTGCTCACTCAGAGAAATTATTTTTACCAAAAAAGTACAGTTTTTTTTACTTTGGAGCTATCAGTCCAAGTTATTGTACTGATAGGTGTTTTGAAAGCATGGCAAGGATAATTTAGCTATTCATTTGAGTAATGACTCGGGGTTGGGCATTTGAACCAATTGAGAACCGTTTTGATAAATGGGACACGGTTATTTTGGAAAGTTTTAGTAAAACTGGCTGACTTTGAAGAAGATGCAACTCAAAGTTACCTTCAAGTTGAGACGTCGCTCTTGTCGTTCCATCCTATGTGATTTCACCATACTACACATTTTATTACCAGTTGGGGTTACACAAGACTGCCCATTCTGGGTAGATAAACAGTCATGCTGCAAACTAACCGAAATGTATTGCCTGTCAAATGGCATCCCAATATGCACTTTTGGCCATTCAAATTGCGATTGGGAACCTATAACCATCCTTACACCTAACCTAACAGGCTAACAATATATTTTGTTCGACCGAATTCACTTGAAATGGTCACATTTTATTGTGGTGCGAATAGGCTGACCTATTATGTTCCAGTTCTTTTTACCTATCATGAATGTCTTTCTTTTGTTTTGTTCAGGACAAAGTCTCAGTTTTGGAGAAAAAGAATAAAGAATTGACTGATAAATCTAAAGTAACTATCCTGCAAGAAGAACTAATCGCTGTTAAATTGAGAGAAGCAGAAGCAACTGGTTCTCTCAAACAACTGCAACAGAAAGTCAATAGCTTGGAAGATAACTGGCAGGTATGAAATGGTTATTTTCTTATTGTAATATACAATTCTTTTGTTTACATCATAATCGATGGAAAGTTTTCCCAACCTTCATTCTCTCGTTTACCTGTCACGTTTCAAACATAAAATTCGGTGCTCCAGAAGTGTGTGTACCAATATGGAAGTAACTAATTTTGTTCGTCTACTTCACATCAAGTTGTGTAAAGGGACTGAACCTATGGGCAGGGGGTATATACACTTGGCTAACACAGACAGTCCCCGAACTCGTAACAAAACTAAAATAAGGAAAATCAGAATAAAATTAGGCCTAACCCTAACCTGGTGGTACACACACTACGGAAGTACCTAAAATTCACCCCTAAACTGTATGTGCTATATGAAAAGGACTAAAAACCCTCAAGGGGTTAATTTACCCTGGTTGAGAACCCCTGACCCAATGAAAATAGCTTTGGGCGTGACCATTTTGTGATAGTAGGCTAAAGATACTGGTTTCAAATCCCATAGCCCTCATTTCATCCAGGATGTAAATAAATTCAGGAAGATTTTTCCCAAAATTGTAGCTTTTTTTTTATAAGTTGCAGATTGTACAGTGACTGGTTTGGTGAGAAGGCATGACAGCATATAAAAAAAATATTCAAATATCATGTTACCATTTCTGATATTAGGAATATATTGTTCGGAAGTTTAGTACTAAAATTGACATCGGTAATTTTTATTAGAATTAGAGTCATTAATATAATTTTGTATTAAAATTTCACAAGAAAGTTCTCTATTAGAGGGGTTTTTCGATAAAATTTTTTATGGTATACTTTTATTTGCTGGCAGTCACACATGACAAGAATCAGCGGTGCTCGGAAAAGTCCAGCAAGCGGAAGTAAAGTCAGTAAAGCTGCATTACAAGAGTTGCAAGAGGAATTGATGAGTGCTAAATTCCGAGAAACTCAACTCACTTCGCAGAATCTCGACTCGCGACAAAAAGTTATGGAGCTTGAGACATCGGTTAGTCGATATTTTTTTGAAATAGATTGAACAACATCCCCGAGTTGTGAGTGGGTCGTAATAATAATATATACGGGTAAAATATCTTGGTTTCAACCTCGCGCCCCGCACTACCCACGGGGTCCCAAGGGGTGTAATAAATGGGTAATGCAAAATCGGGCAGATTCTTATCTTAAAAATGGTTGATTTTCACATGAGACTACAAAGACTTGTTAGTACAAAAACTTGTTAGGAGTGAGAGCACGAAAATGTCATACAAAAACGGTAGGGGTTGCTTTATGTAGCTGTTCCCATTTTCTCGTTCAATTTTACAATATGCTCACCAACTCAACTGAGTCAATTTTCTCTTCGGTTCATTTGCGACTGACTTTCTGATATTTCAATTTGAGAGCTCATTTTCAATATGCTTCCCATTCTTGTGTGTTCAGGAGTCACCAACAAATTACATACGCGAATTTCAAAATGATAATGCTTGCTTTGCTTTTAAATTAAATGTAGGCATTATTGTGGCTCTTTATTATATTTCAAATTCGTGAATTTGTAACAGAATCAAATTTGTACGAGTCAACTACGCCGAGCAGATGAGGAACGTACTCAGTTACGAAACGATCTCGAAAAATCTATGCAGAGAGAAAAAAATTTGCAACAACAGTTAAACGAAATCAACACTCGAATGGCTCATGTTGAAAGCAAGGTTTGTAGAGTTTTAGCTCTTGATTTTGTGATTGAATATGGGCCATTGATAAATCATGCTATAGAGGCATGGTCCATCAATGGCCAAAATTAGCCAAAAAATAATTCCTAGCTTTGATTCGCTTCTTTCGTTTGTTGATTTTCTGCAATAAATGCCTGTCTCATTAAATTGATTTTAATTTGTTTATTTTCGTAATCGAAAATTGCAATTCTGTTAATTATCAGAGCCAAGAAACTTTAATGGCGATGAGGCTAAGAGAAGCTGACGGAACGATGGAAATTGCAGAAATGAAACAACAAATTCAATCACTCGAAGCAAAGGTGATTGATTAAATATTGATTGATTGATTTTAATTTTGCCTATTTTATGAAATTATGATAGATCATGGAATTTGGGATTTAGAATGCTCAATGATTACAGTATGACAAAGTTGGAATTTTTTATTTAATTTAAGAATTTAAATCAGATGTGTAAATGGCGAACAATGGACGGTAGCTTCTTCCTTACATTCAATATGGTTTTCTCAATGATTGTTTTATTCAAATCAAATATGTCCCTTCCTATTAGAGATTAATGGCTATTAATCCAAAGCAGGGGTTCCCAAACCGCGGCCCGCGGGCCAAATCCGGCCCACGTAACGATTTAAAATGGCCCGCCGAGCTTACGTGAAATAGCGTTCAACAGATTTTATTTCTACCTTTTTGCGATCTAGATACCGCTCATTTATGTCATTATCAGAGATCAAGCAAGTGTTTATCGTAACAATTCAATTATACCAGTATATCAATTATGGGTACCGGTGTTAGGATTACAAAGGACAGTAATTTAGTTATCAGCCATATAGGAAAGCTTAAAGATGTCAGAAATCAAACGGAAACTAAACTCAGAAAACTGACGTTCCTTGAATAAATGGCAGTGTTCGTATTTCTCCATTGAAAAGTATCAAACTTTAGAGATTTGTCTTGTCTGTCTACTTTGCTAACGAACTATTCCAGTTCTGAAGGAATACAACATTGAGCGCGATTATGAGTCAAACGAGCATGTTTCAAAAAATGTCAAATGAAAGTGAATCCACTTTTGGGCGTTACGTTCTTCCGGCCTGCGAACATCTTTCCGATTCTAATTTTGGCCCGCGGCCAATAAAGTTTGGGAACCCCTGATCTAAAGCATTAGCATCATCCTGTTCTGGCAACATGTACAGCAGCGGTTCCCAACCGGGAGCCCCTGGCCCACCAAGCAGGCCACAGAGCAGTTTGAGGGCCTTGCTAGGTGCAAAACTGATTTTACTTTTACAAGAAACCTCGTTCTTGCTAGTTTCATTGCTTGATGAGGTTATTTCAAAGGGTGTCGTGTTTAAACATAATGGGATTTGGAATTTACCAATGAAAATAACACTATTAATAATACTACTGGATTGATGAACAAAGCCTTTGAAAGGGGGCCGCGGGCTATTAAAGGGTTGGAACTATTGCTGTACAGTCTTTTTGATTTATGGAAAATGTATGCTGAAAAAAGGTGTCATTTTCTATTCAAATTTTTGCCGCCTGTCAACCTAGTCACCTTATATGCTGACTCTAGTTCGTTTCCCAAAAATCCTGGGTGTGCACTGCGATACTCCCTAAGATAGTTAGACGTTGTATAATATGAAATTTTACCGTGTTCTATATACATATATTTGCTTTCATAATGGAGATATCTGCATCTTATTTCTGTGAGCGGGGAATCGATGTGGTAAGTATATTGATGTGGTTAGGGCTACATTAATTTGAATGCTCGCTTTTCCTAATATTGGATCCTGTGCAATGCAAGAGATTTCTTCATTTTCTGTGCTCTGTTCATTCAGTCTTTCAGAATTAAGAGCCAATACTAATATGTTGGGCTTCACGCAAATTTTTACTTTTTTTAGCAATCACTGATGGGTTAGCGTTAAGTATTAAAGAGCCCACAGCATAGATGTTCTTCAATGGTTTGAGGCGTTTAGTTTTAGATTGGATACTCTGTCATACCAAATTTTTTGAGACACTCATTGTAACAGATGTGATTAAGAACTGACGACTGTAGTTTGGTTTGCTCAATTTTTTTATCTATTTCTGGAACAGGTGTGAATTTTTTTTTTTTTCACTTATAGTTTTGAGCCTATTTTAATCTCTTGTCTGATGCAATCTGTATATGACTTATATTAATTATTCGCTAGCAATTTATAATTGAAAATATTTAATTTTTTAGTGTGCTGACCTTGAGAAACTGTCGAATGACCAGAAAGTTGAAAAAAGTACGTCTGAAAACGCTTCCTCATCTTACTCAGATTTCAAAGTTTCTCCTCATCCAAACACTGCAGCCATGCTTCAGCAATTACAGGAGAAAATTCTCCACCAACAGAAAGTAATTTCCAAACTGCGGAAAACTAACAATAAGAATAAAGCAAAACTCCGACGAGGATCTCAAGACTCGTTAACGGCAGTCGATGACAAAGTTTTCCAAGTCGGGTCAGAATCTTCAGACCCAGATACTGACTCAAGTGAGGACGACACAGAGTTAATTTTGGACTCAACGTTAACGGATCCAGATAAAGTATTGAACACAGACATTAAAATTACCTTGCCTCCTCAGCCTTCTTCGTTAGCCGTTGATACGTCATTAAACTCTTCTGATCTCGTAGACCCACTCACTCTATTGCCACCCGAGAGTTTGATTTCACCACCAGATGATTTCAAAACCCCAATTGTAGAATCAAATTCATGATGATTATATCAATATAACATAAATTTTCTATCTTACTGCGGAATACAAAATGGTAAAATACCAGAATCTGAACTTCTTAATTTCTCTGTTTCTGTAAAATGAGTAGTGAAAGATTTTGGAATTTGTATCTGAAATCTGTATGGCGTTCATGCTATACATTGCAAAAACAGCTTATGGTAAATTTCACAGAATGCAACATCTCGTGGCCTCCGTGGGGTCAAAACATTTTTATGTTCCAAACTACTCTTATATTAATTTTCCGATCACTTTCGTAGTCTTTTCTTTCTTTGATTTTTGAACGGCGATGATCAATGCAATATTCATTTCTTCTTATTTTGAATAATATTTCCTTTTTTGTTGACATTATATTGACAAAAATTGTGCGAACGGCTGACGTTTAGTGGGATTCCTTTACCAAACATGTTCAGGGAAATTCAACGTATTCTGCTGTAAAAAAATTAATTTAATTCTGGGTAGTTTTTTGGATTCAAATTGATGAGATTTTCATGTCTCAAGGCAAATTTCCAGATTTTGCTATATAATAAAACAGTAATAGACTCAACAAGAAAAATTCTGGAATAGAAACTATATATGGATTTGGATTTGGTGATTTTTTCATTACTATTCGTTTTGATTCATCATGACTTTCATCTGTTACTTCTCAACTAGACTAATTTCATGGCCCTGCAGGAAATCGGTTTTTGATAAAACCTGCATGTCTAAGCTTCAGTTATCTTTTATGGTGATGCTTTCTAGGCCAGCCTACTTGTATGCTTTTTAAATAGTTTGTAGCAGTATTATGATATCTTAGTGGTTAAATAATACTATGGCTGTGTGCTTTTTAGTTACTATTGAATTGATAATATTTATCACTTGCCTCAAAAATTAGCGCTTAAAGTATTTACAGGATTCTTAAGAACTTGCAGGTGACTGAAACGGGTGGATATTGTTGAATTTTCCTTATTCAAACCTAAGTATTGAACACGATTTGTACTTTAGATTCAGATAAATTGCAACACTTGTATGAATTTATGGGATAGCGATAAATTATTTTCAATGTAAAATTTTAATTTATCAATTTGAAACAGTAATTGGGACTACTATTTTTTGTGTGTTGAATTTGATCTAAAATTTGATAAATTCGTGAGAGATTTCTGGAACTCAAAATCATGTTGTTGCATATTCTTTTTCCACCTGTTTCATGATGCAATGTCATCACTTTTATCTTCTTTAAAGAACATCAATGTACTTCATAGATATGAAAGCACGCTCAACTATGTCTTTCTAGAAATATTACCAGCCTTTTTCAATGTTGAAGTTGGTATAAACCATATGTTTAGTTTAACCTGTTTAAATTTTACTAGTTGATTGTGATATGATCTTTCTGCTTTTGTGGGAAGTGAAAAATCAATCTGAGGTAGTTTCGAAGTAGTACCCTTTACGGGAATCTTGTTTTATTTTCCTTTGTGCCATCGATATTAATATTCCCATCATTACTGACATTTCGATATGTCGTGACTCGCTGAACCATATTCTGTAATCAAGCGAGTGGTGGCATAACTGATTTGTATGCCCACACTAGTTTTTATCTTTCTTTTTGTTTTTATCAGTGCAATACGATGTGACATTGTAATAAAAAGATTTTAAATATATTAAATCTACAAATTATGAAAATTTATTACCAATCTGTCTAATTATACATACTTAAGACTTGAAATTTGGTTTAATTCGTTACAGATAATCATCCCTTAAATGTATTATCCATGATTTGCTTGCCGATTACCGTTTTTATCATTAAATTAAAATATACTATTAGTTATGGTATGACTCCGTATTTTTCCGATTTATACTTTATTTTGTCAATGACAACATTGTTACATCATTATATACACTTTTGATTCAAGCTTTATTGCAATCTCTGAAATATAAAAGAATTTTTGAAGATGTTGATTCATTTTTGTTCTTTTCCCAATTAACAGCAGGAAAAATATGCTTAGGCAAGATTTTTGACACATATTATGAGAATATGACACATATTATGAGAGTAAGAGAATCATTAGCAGATTCAAAAGAAAGATTTCGTGAATATATAGATCAAATGATCACTTAATTTCAGTAGAGTTTGCACTAGATTTGAAACAATGCAGGTCGACATGCTGAAGATTCTACAAAACGCGGGATAATAATCATCAAGGTAATCAACGTCGCCTCGCATGAATAGTGTTAGTCAACTTGCCGTTCGTGTGTTGTCGGGTTGTTCAAAAAATGTGTTTGTAATTTGTTTATGTCAGTAGCCTATGTGGGCGATTCCAAGGCAATGGCGGAATTGCAATATATATTGAATATATTCAAAAGTTATGAAAGAAAAATTGTCTTCAGAGTGATAAATTCTCGTACACAAGAGCCTTTCAGAGTTGAGTTTTGAGAGCGCAGGTTGTTTTTTCAACTAACAATGTAGTTACCGGAATAAGTCCTATTTTTCGACATTTTGATAAGCCTGACTGTTTGAATAACTATGTTCTCCTGCTTTTTATTTTGGGGGGTGTTTCGAAATTTAGGGGATGGTATATATATATTTCGTTATTAGTGATAAAACGACTGTAATTGTAACTTATAAAAGGTATGAAAAGAAGAATGGGCTATTCCTCAGTACAAAGATTATAAAAACACAAGAACACCCACTTAATAATAGATAATGAGTCACTAAAGTTCATATTTGACCTCGTTCGTCGAGCCTTGCTAGGTAGGGCACATCATTTTATGCAGCAGTTGTCGGATTACTTTAATTTTTACCCAGAAAGAAAAATATGAATTTCTGATTATCCTACTCAGTGTCCTCATGTTTTTTTTTTATATCCCAGGCCAGCTGAACGATTTCGATTGTCGTTTATGTTCGTTCTACGAATACTTCCTAATTGATGTAGAATCAGAGCCATCGGGCGAAGAGCAAAGGCCGCGAAGATGGAAAATAGGATTTCAACGCTTCGCTAGAGGATTCTTCACTTGTGTGGTACTACAAATTTCGTCTGTCGGTTTATTAGTTAGACAGGAAGGAATGACTAGATAGGTCTCGGCAGACGAATTTAGGCTAGGTGTTTAGATGGCTGTTGTTAGGACAGCGATTAACATCTCAGTCCGGCGGGTGGTAGCAATTTAAAAATTCAAATAGTTTTTAATGATGATCTGCTCTTTATGGGCGAATACATGACGCATAAATTAAGCAGTATGAATTGCTCGTTGTACTTTTATTTAGCATCATCCTGATGTATCGATCTACACAGTAAAAATTCGTGGACGATTTGATACGAATAAAATGCGAATAGAGGAGAACTAACCATTTTTTTCTTTTAATAATGCCAAAGCCTTTCCGTCATTATAATTAGCAATGTGATATCTCTGAAATTAAACGAATTTCCTTTTTTGACCGACCAAATTAAATAAAGAAGGGTTTCGGTAAGGCTCAAAACTGCACTTAATTATTGTTTAGTCAATAGGGCGATAGGTTTTATTCTTCATTCGGGGGATTAAGCTTCAAAGTCTCCTAAATTAAATCGGTCACATGGAGCACATATTTGGGTGAGACTTGAGCTTTTTTTCTTGTTAGGCCATAGTATAGGGTCCCGCAAATTGTGAGACGAAGCAGATGAAAGACATCGGAAGGTACCATAATATCCTCTCGGGTGCAATGAATGGCAATAAATTATAAATTTGTCCAAAGAATTGTTAAAAAATTTTTAAAATATTTCGATATTAGGATTTATTTGAAAACCCATTATTTGAAAACCCAATTAGACCCATAAACCACGTGAAAACGACGGTGTAAAACTGAATTTAACTTATTATCATTAGGCCAACTGTGCGCCAAAGCAAAGTCGTCTGCTATGTCTCTTAGATGTTGCCTCTATGTCCCTGGCAACTTAGGGTTTTTAGGTAGGTCAGCTTTCAGTTTTTATGTGAAGGGTTTAGTACGGCATTCATAAACTGACTCATAAATTGCAATATTCGGGTTCGCGTTTATGATTGCAAGAGGAGCTGACGTCCACGCTTCGACCTGGTTCTAGATAGCCCAAACCCCTGGTGAGAAATCGCCCGCGCACATGATAAAAACAGATTTGGTTAATAAAAGCTGACCTTAAGCAGGTTAGAATATGTAAGGAACGCTCCGCTCTATGCAATATTAGCTCAGGTCGGCGTTGACTAGACTTCGTCGAACTAGGGTCCAAAAATTCTCTCGCTGGGATGTTGAGATGGGTGGTTGGGTCGGCCAGATAGATAGTTTTTAGTTAGAGGTAGATAGGTATAAGGGTGACAAGTAATTATGACTCGCACTGTTGTCCTCTCTTGTGACTTCAAGCTGGGTTTGATAATTTACTTTTTCACGGTGATAGGAACGCATTAGGAGAATGAATGATGTAACCGTTCCCAGACATCTTGTCTGGGGATTGAATGACTGAATAACCGAAATCGTAATTATAAAGTAATGCATTCATTGATTCCCAATACTGTATATGAGAAATCTAAATGATCAGTTACGTTTACAATATCTTTTTTGGTTCTTAATTGATTCCTATATAAACAGATTCAACACAAAACTACTGAGAGTAAGGCAAACGCAGAAAGAAATCCCATCTGAGCGAATATTAGACCCTTTATGAGATCTTGCACTTATCCTTACGGAAATGGGCATTGGCAATCTTGCTTTACTCCCAACTTGCATGTTAGATTAATTCATACGGAGGGCTTCGAATGGAGGGACGAAATTGGACCTAAGAATCAAAGTCTTGCTATGTTGCAGTTATTCTGTAGTTAGCATTGAATCGACGCAAAGGATGTGAAATACGCTAGTAATATAGAGAAATATTTTTTGCATGTTAGTTAATTGTTAAGTTCATTTGAAGTTATTTTCATTTGCATGCTCAACGAAGGAAGACGCAGACGAGAGAAGATGCAAGATACGATGTATCTGTGATAATTATCCGAGATTTGGTTATTTCCATTGTGTAAACGTTCATATAATTCCTTAGCTGCTTGTTTACTAGATATAAGGAGACAACATTGTTCCAGTGAGCTCGATTTTAATTCTAAGAATGTCTTTGCGCGGATTTCAGGTCAACGAAAGAATATACAAAGAAGATGCCATAGGTTTCAACAAGCGCTGACGGAAGCAGCACCAATGTTGGACAGGAAGGATAATGAATGTGTTAGTGACTGTGAAGAACGCGAATCGTGGAGGATGAATAAACGCAATGGTTTGAGTATTCATTCATATTTTGAAACGAAATTTATATATTTCAGGTGCTTTCCTATGTCGTATTTATGTGGAAAGGGCGGTAGATTCGGGAGTTGGAATTGGACATTCCGGTTGTATGACTCTAAAACGCTCAGTATGGTTTGTTGACAATTGATCTCCAATTATTCTGCAATGAGCCGTTTTTTTTGATAAATCTAGCCATTTTTTGGCTAATGATAGCCGTTTTTTGCTAAGCCTAACCGTTTTGTTTTGGCTGGGTCTAGCCGTTTTTGTATTTGATTCTAGCGTTTGTTTGGCTGGGTCTAGTTGTTTTTTTGGCTGATTCTGATCGTTTTTTTTTGCAGGCTGGGTCCTGCCATTTTTCCGTTTTTTTTGCAGGCTAGGTCTTAACGTTTTTTTGTTGTTGCATAGACCGTTTTTAGATGGGTCTAACCGCCATTTGTTTTGCGATGGCTTCGACAAACCAATTTTGTTGACTGACGATTTTTCAATAGTTGAACATTTCTTTTTGAGGGTCGTTGACCAAACCACATGTGGCACCGCTGGCCGTCTGACAAAGCTTATGTTGGTACTTGAATTTCAATTTAGATATATCTCACAAAACTTTGCTCCAGCGGTCACTTTGATAACTGAGGACAAACTTCCTTTATGAAACCGTTGACCATTTTTTTGCAGGCTGGGTCCTAACCGTTTGTTTTTGAAGGCTGGGTCTACCATTTTTATCATTTATTTTGCAGGCTGGGTCTATAACCATTTTTCTTGCAGGGGCCGGGGTAATCATTTTTGTTGACTGATGAAATTTTAATAGTTGACCGTTTCTTTTCGAGTTGCGTTAACGATATATGATGAAACCGTTGATATATACCTACAATAAAAGGATCGTCGAATTGTTAATGAACCACAGGTGGGACCGCTGTCTGTCTGATAAAACTTGTTGGTACTTTCAATTGAGATTTAGGTCAAAAACTTCTCCGAGTGGTCACGTTGACAACTAAGAACAAATCTATGATGAAACAGTAGATTTATCTGCAACGAAATTGTAGTTGAATTGTTGATGAACACGAGCTCGAAATTATGGGCAATAACACTGTTGATTTATCTGCTATGAATTGTTGATGGAGCCAAAGTTGCATTGTTGGTCGCCTGATAAAGCCATTTGAATTCTGAACTTGAACTGGTTGCAGAAAAGTATAGAGTGCATCGAATGTTTGAATAGGTAATCTAGTTAGTTGATTTTGACATACTGTAGTCTTTACAGTTTAAATTTGAGATAGTATACATCTTGAGTGCATAATTCGACTTGAAATATTATCAATATTTTTTCTCGTACAGATTTGCACTATAAAGAAATGATTATCAACATTATGGGATGAGGGATTTCTATAATATCGGAATATAAATTATTGATAAAAGCGAACACAACTTCAGGGGAACATTAATAAGCAAATATTTCTTAGACAACATAGCCAAGGCACATATGAAGTGAATCAGAATTTTTTTTTCTTGGAATTTTGGAGAAATTTAGTTTACAGCTTAAACAGCAACCTAATGTTCCAAACAAATTTAACCAAGTCAAAAATAACAGTAAACTAGTGGACATTTTCATTTATTTTGTCAAATCGAATACACTTAAAGGGACTTCTGCTGTTGTATATCAAAAGCAAGTCTTGAAATACTTGGTCTTGTTTTTGACGATAGACGCATGTCGACGATTAGTTGGTAACGAGCCTTGGATTTGATATGAACGAGAGCAGAAAATCCCCTTTCCTAAAGATATGTGGAGGCGAATGGAACATTAACACGTAATGCTTCCATCTATATTTTTGGGTACGACGGCAAAATGGCGCACCAAAACTGAGAAAGTGATCACTGTAGCTGCGTTCTCGTATTATCACTGTCATGTAGTAACTCGTATTTGTCACAATAGGTCTACAGGAGATAATCAAAATAGTTTTTGTAAGCTATTGTCATAGGCACCAAACGTTTGATCGTATCACAAAAAAAAAACGATATTAAACTGCAAATAATTTCCTACAATCTTAATTTAACCCCCTGGAAATGCTTCGCGGACCCCCGGTTGAGAACCACTGATATAGATAGTTTGTTAAAACTGAATTTATCTTCAAATTATCGTTTAGCAAAGACTAAAGCAGGTAAAATATTTAAAGCATGCATCTTGTTTTTCTAGTTTGTAACACAATGCTATGTTTAAACTGAATTTTTCGAATTTAACAGGAATGTGGAAGCGTTGTGGACCAGGGGTTGACTATCGTTTGGCGAAGATATACCAAGTAAAGAAATTAAAACATCATCTTGTTTTTTTAGTTTGCAACATAAAGCTTTGAAAATGGCCTTCTTTGGTATTTGTTCAAAATATTCTTACAAACTCTGCAAAAAATAATTAGACACCTGTCACTTCTAAAATCCTATTTTACAGATCGATTGATTTACAAGCATCAAAGTGACAGTCACTATCTAAATGTGGTTCTCCACTACAGCACTTAATTCCGGATTTCACTGATCAAGGAACGTGGAACTATAGACTAGTGCAGGGGTCGGCAAACTTTTGTTGCTCGCGGGCCAAAATTATGGGTTGCAATTCATTGGTGGGCCGCATATATATTTAGGAAGTTGAAAACCGAGCGGATGATACTTTTTATAATAAAAATCAAGCAGGGATACATCTCTTGAAAAAAATATAGATTTATTTCCTCTTTGCATTGCATCTCAAAAAATTCCATTTGAATATTTTCGGTGCCATTGAACCCTTTGCACTTAGCATCAACTTTTCTGCGTTTTGTTGTCATTTGTCTAATTATATTTAAATTATAGGCTCATTAACAAGTAATTGTGAATTTTATACTTGTTAGATTATAATATAATTTAGTCTACACGTGTCTTACAATAAATTGTGATACGTATAGAATATAATCCAGCTGCTTTGCTACCATAATTCAGTGAAGTGTCGCGGACCGGATTATATTACTCCGCGGGCTGGATCCGGCCCGCGGTCCGTAGTTTGCCGACCCCTAGTAGTGATATCGATCATTATCAGAATAAAATTTTTTTGATAGCGGGTCTCCAGTATTGCACTTAATTCTGATTTCCACTATTCAAGTAACGTGGAACTATAGGCTTGAAAACACTGATCAGACACAGTCTTGACTCTGATACTATGAAACTCTGAAATGTGTAATACTGAAATAAGTGCTGTCTCGGACCAATTCTGAGATTCTTGGGTCAGACTATCAAGACGTCATGACTCTCAAACTTGATATACGCCGGTACAATAAATTCGTGCATTGAGACCAGTACAGGGGCTGGCTAAGTGTGACGTAAAAGTTGCATTTTATGAACAATATTTACAGTGTTACGTAAGAAAAAGTGGAAAACAATAAACCTCGTGTCATAACTAAATTTAATCAAAGTATCAGGCGAGCCAGATTGAATTGCCAAACTGGTCAGATTTGGCCCGCGAGCCATAGTTTGCTCATGTCAGATTTAAACCATTAAAAGTGATTCTAAATGAATCTGTAATGAAATATCTTGCCTACGTGTTAGACCGTGGTAAAATGCTCAAAAGTGCATAACCGTAATCAATGATTTTTTCATTTTTACTTTTGTATAATTTAATGTTAGACTATTTCATTTCACGGGTGTCGCTGCTCGATAACCACGTCTGGTTTATCGCGACTCCTTTCACCGCGGAATGCAACTTTTCATCTTTTTTCCTGATTTCGTATGTAAAATGTGTATTTTTGATGTGGTGATAAAATAAACTACTGATTACTTTGTATTGGATCGCGGATTCACTCATTTAATCTTCAAGGCTCGTCGCTGATGTCCCCGTAATAAAGCCGACTGTAAGCACGATTTTACGGGAAAGAGTCTATCAAAGCCCCCGTGACACAACAAAGGTATACAGATACATGTGAGATAGGGAGCATTTGCAAACCCAAACGAAGATGCTCAAAAGCGAACCTGGAAATAACCCCTTAGCTCCAAGAAAAGCTGCTTAGCTGCTGTAAATCGTGAGAATCGGGCCATCATTTCATTATTCCTTATTTAAAACATAGTTTTTTTCCCTAGCAATCGTTTCTTCTTTTAAAATTAAAGCGTAGACTGTACGAAGCACATTCAACTAGTGTTTGGAAAAGAAAACGATCACTTTACGTCTGTGATATGTAACTGAGTGAAATTCTATGTAACAAAAAGTAATTTCTCAGCCGTGATATATCGGGTATTTGTTGCATCAATTTAATGTATTTTTTTTATACTTTTATTCATTCCTTAGTTCATAATTATTATTTAATAAAATTTATCCTGTAGGTATTCCAAATTAATAGACATGTTTGTTTCTCAGCTGAGGCCTCAATGGTACTACACAACGCAGCGATGGGTGTCGATATTGTAGGTTATGAATCTCGACACTGACAAAATTATCATTTAATCAGCCACTAGCTTACGATGTGTGTGAAGATTGGTATCTTTTCTCAAACGGGAAATCACGGTCTTGCCCTGAAAGTTTTCAATATGAACGTTTTTCTTGCATACTCCTTGTAATGCGGCAATGGCGTCAAAAATACACGAATATTTTTCGGTGGTATAAAGTTGTAATCAAAAATCACTTAACATAAAAAAAAATTTAATCGGAATCCGGCTCAGCAATAGGTTTTGCCTTTTCTGCTGCTTTACGAGCTAAGTAACGTTCCCGGGCTGATAATGCTTTATCCTTATCAGTTCTTTTTGAAAACGAGTCTTTTTTGTCCTCTTGTGCCGGTTTCGGACCAACGTCTGGATCCTTATCAGGACTTTTAGACTTTGATTCACTTTCAATATCATTTTTAGAGTCTTTTTCACGTTTGGTTGGAGTTCTACTCCTTGACCTATGCCTTTTCTTGTGAACTGGTGATTTTGAACGTTTGTGCTTAGTACGTTCTGCTGATTGATGTCGCTTATTTCTCTCCCTCGAATGATCACGATCTCTTTTTCTCGAGTCTGGTTCTCTCGATCGCCTATCCCTATCTGAACGTCTGTGATAGTCGTTTCTGTCCGACGATCTATGGCGATCCTTATAGTGTCTGTCTCTTTCGTGGGAACTCGTATACCGGTCTCGTTTACTTGACTTCTCATATCGTTCACGATTAGAATGGCGATCGTTACATCGGCCTTTATGATTATTCCCATAAGACTCATCATCACTGGAACTAGAACTTTCACTCGAAGATTTTTTTCTGTTCAGAGATTTTTCATTATCTGATGAAGATGAATTCTCATTTTTTGATTTCTTAGTTTCCACTTTATCCTTTTCCTCTTCACTTTCTTCTTCGTCTGAAGAGAAGGAAAGATCAGTATCTTCATCTTCATTTTGTTCTTCAGTATTTGATTTAGCTTTTTCATTTTCTTCGTCAGATGTTCTAAATATGAGTGTTTATTTATTTTATATATATGAGCACTATCACAAGCTTAATATATTTTAGTACGACCTTTGACACAAGCAAGGCTTTATTAGTGATATAGTGATAGTTAGTATGACAACACCCTGTGTAAAAAGGTGAACAGACTGAGTCACCAGTAGGCAGGAACATTTTCAGATAGGCCACAAACCTATGTCTAGAGTTATTGATAAATTTAGTTAAATTGACGGTTGTAGTCATGAATGACGATGCTTTTTTGCTACCTGGTTGCATTTATTATTCTAATTATTGAAGTGAAATTGTATATTCTTATAGTTTTCCCTATGCATGAGGAGGTTAACGGGCCACATAATTTTTGTGCAATGAAAATGGGCCACGAAAGAGAAAAGTTTTGAAACCCAGAATCTGTGTCTAGGTTACTTGCAAAGTGTCACATCAAAACGCGCAAAAACAGGGAAAAATCGTCAAATTCCACTAGAAAGCAAAGTCATTGAATCAATCAGAGGGTAAAGAAACTGATTCAAGTAATGCTGATCACTTACGGTAAATGCCAGCAACTACAGAGGTTACCAGATTCGTCTAGTTACATATATCAGTTCAAGTGAGATTTGGATATAGTTTACAGCAATCCAATCATCAGCATTGTGATGATGAATTCCCCCTATAAGTTCATAAAATATATACATTGGATGAATATATTTACCTTTCTTCTTTTTGTTCTCCCATTTGGCGGTTGAGAAAATTTCTGTAAAATCCAGACAAATCTTTCTGTTTCCTGACATCAAGAGCCTCTGAAAAATTATATAGTAAATGATGTATAGTGATTCTTACAGTAATTTTGCCCACACCATAAACATCCCATATTTGGATTTTTTTTCATAAATTTTAATCGAAAATATTCGCAACAAAAATCAACAACGATTAGCATAATTATGTATCATGTTAGCAATCTCTGGAAAAATTTAAAACGTACAAAAGTTATTAAGTGAGTTTCATGAGTACTTCGATATCAAAATAAACTTAAATCCAGTCCATAAATCAGAAGAACGACAAGAGATTCTTAAACAAATGGAATATTCAAATCCATTCGACATTAGTTGGAAAACTGTGAAATTTTGAATAACTGGGAATATTTTCACTGACCTTATTCTCGTTTCAAGCATGTGAAATCTTTAAATTTAAAAAGTGAATTTAACTTCAATTATTTGGAAAATAGATAAAATCTTTATATAGGCTACATAATAAAAATCAATTTCTGAGAATATACAATGAATTGTGACTGTCTGAAATCATGATATTTTTAATAACACTAATTAAAAATTGTTTTTAGAATATAATTAAAATTGTAATATATCACCTTCTATGGCGTCCATTCTTTTCTCTTCTTCTATTTCTTTTTGTCTTTCCTGCATTTTCAATTTATATGCAGAAGTGACAAATTCTTCTTTGTCTTCAAATTCATCACCTTCATTTTCTCTCTCCTTCTGTATTTTCCTTTCCTCTCTTCTCTCTCTTTCTTTTACACGTTTTTCAGCCGTTTTCAGTAAATTTGAAATGTACTTCGGCTGAATGACAAAAATGATGGTAAAAATGGTTCTCATATTGAAAAGTGAAATCATTGCTTTTATCATATTCCACTTTTAAAAAGTTGCAATATAAAATAAACAAACTTACTTTGCATGACACGCAGGACATAACAAATTATAAATATTTTAATAACTTGATGAATCGTTTGAATACCCAATTGGTTGGGCCAAAAAAATGTTGTCACTTTTCACATTCAGAATGTGAAAAATGCAGTTGCGTAGCATCCACCCCCGCAACCCCCGCGGTCGCGGGGGGGGGGGGGGGCCCACAGCGAAAAGGGGCCCCAAGCGGTTAAAATTTAGAAATTTAAGCTGCAAAACCAAAAGTTGCATTGCAAAAGCAGTAATGCACATCTTATAATGTTGATGTTAGCTCTGCCGTAAATATATAAATCGTTTTGTTATGTAACAATGCCGATGTCGTCGATTTTCGGCGTCGTGTGGTTTGATCGCACCATCGCATCCACAATTACGAAGGCTGTCAGATTGATGTCGAAAGCAAAACCCCTTAGTGGTGCACAAAAACGAAGAATAAAGGGCAGAAGATGAAGGACGTATAAAAAAAACTAAAGTAACCAAGATAAACGAAATATTTAAACCAAAATTGAAACAATTGGACTTGGGAATACCGAACGTAACTGAGGAGGAATTAAGCCTAGCATCGGTGGTATCGGTAGAAAACCAGATGCGTATTCAATCTCCAAAAGTGATGGCGCCGGCGCGATTGAATTTTCTTCCAAAACCTACCCGACAATGATCACAGGTAAGCTACTAATTTTTGAAGCAAATTGACAAAATTGATATGACGAAGATGGTGGATGAGTTTGCTAACACGAAAGCGCAAATTTTAGGTTACCATAGCCTTTTTATAGCAACATGTTATGCTTTTTGACGAAATAAAAAAAAAACTTTGTTTTAGCTTATGTGTTATGTCCGAGAGTTTTTATGGTCATTTCCCCACGAAATATTTTTGCGGGGGGGGGCCCACGAGAGTCTTGCTACGCCACTGGAAAAATGGCAAGATTTTTTTGGCCTACCCAGTATAATAGAAAATGGTCCATTTGAAGTGAGACATACTAAAAGATATTTATATTTAAAATTTTTGATACTTTCTTACCCCGCATAGATCAGATAATCATAATTATTTTTTCTGTTTCAATCTGCCACTTTCATAGCAATATCAAAATCAATATCATTTGAAATAGAAAATAATTTGATGCGAACATCTCAAGATATTGTTACAAATTACCTTTCGTGCTTTATCTGCTTTTGCTACATGAGCAGGAATTATCTTCTTGTTTTTTTCTTTTATATCATCATAAATACTATCGTATTCATAGACTGTTGAATCTTGTTCAAGAGCCTTTTGGATTTCATTTTGGGTCTGAAATAGAAATACAATATTAAGTCAATAATAAAGTTCCTGTAGACCAGGGGCAACATTTCTGTCGATGGGCCATATAACTAACTTCAGACATCTAGCTGGGGCGCTGGGCCACACAATAAATAGTTTTTTTATTTCAAAATTTCAGTCAATTAAGTGAGAAATGCTCAAAGATATTCATATTCAAAATTTTTGACATTTTCTTACCAACAAGAGCAAAGCAAAAATCATCATGTATTTTTGGTACTCCCGCAGTATGTGCAACAAGATGGCAGAAACCGAATGTAATATGTGTATCAGGTTAGGGTTGGGCCATAATTTCAGGTACAAATACTACAGGAGTCACTTGGATAGTCCCTGAACTCGTAATAGAACTAAAATAAGGAAATTTGGCTAAAATTATGGCCTACCCCCAACCTGGTTCACATACAATGTTCAGGTCTCCGCCATCTTGTTGCACATACTACGGGGCGTCGTATTTTTACTCATGTGGGCACCTTTTTAAACTGCCGGATAATGATTTTATGCTTGACGGAGAAGTGTTAACACTTGATAAGACCCACACAAAAAGGCTTGGCGGGTCATGGCCAGTGGGCAGCTTGTTGCACACCCCTACTGTGGACGATCAAAATTCTTTCTACGAAAACTGAAGACTGATTAAGGACATTTTGAATGATACTAATCCCTGCTTAATTACTGACACTTGTAGTGGTCGAATCACAATTTTTGGAAAAACTTCATACCAATCTTTTGGGGATGATTATGAGATTGAGAGGAAAGCTGGAATCTATCATGAAGTAATTTACATCTGATGCATTCATGGTCGTATAAATTACATAAAAAAAAAATTTGATTGTCAAGGTTTTTCCATCAAACACGTCCTTGTATGTGGAATGTTCAACTGGTTAAATATTTCCCTACCTAACCTTTTAGCACTTTACTACTGTACTAGTGCATTGAATCATTTAAAACAAAGTTGTAAACCCTAATCTGATTGTTACATAAAGATTGTATTTTCTCACCTGTTTTTGCATTATTTTCTTCAATGATGCTTTATGAATTTGAGCATTTACTTCCTTATGAGCATCTTCATCACTCGAAGAATCATCACCAAATACTGATGCTCGATTGACAGCAATTTTCTTTGCTTGAAGTTTTTTCTTGGAACTCGGTATTATCAATCCATATCTGTCATGAAAATTTAAAAACAATATTAATGTGTGTTTCCAAATTAATACTAGGGTACCTCTATTACTCCGTCTAAAACCTTATCATACTTATTTCACCACAAATTGAATTCAATCTATATTATTTTACCTTTTCGAACTATTTCTTACAATTTTTATTTTTTGCTGATAGTGAGGTAATACCATATTTCTAATACCACGACGGCAGATGCGTCATATCACGCTTGTTTCAATAATAATCTAAATTAATCGCGGTCGGCACGTGACTAAAATCGTGTTTTTTTGCCAAAAACTTTCGAATTTTTTTTTTAGTAAATCGGATTTTAATTCCCGAGGAATTCAATGTTCTTTGTATTTTTTTGTGAAACTTCATTTTACTGTATCTTTATGATATTGAGGGACAATAATGTCCAGACGTCCCCCAAAGGAGAAGTGTTTGTTCGTCGGCAGAATGGGATTCTCTGAAACGAGACAATGTCTCTGTATCTGTAAAGTGTGCCTTACTGAATATAGTAAAAATAGGCAAATTAATATGCCTGACATGCTAAAATATAAGTTTATTTTGACTCCATAATCAGTATAACAGATGATAAAATAATATATAAAAACAAATAAATAAAACTGATTAGAGAATAAGGGGAAAAAATAAACGAAAGATAGAATAGAGTATTTTTAAATTATGAGATTGTTCATTATTTGTTGTATGTTTATACACAAAATTGCCATGTATTCAATTTTTTCCAATAAAAGGTAAAGATGATATTTTTATATTAAATAAAGGATATCACTTACTTCTTTACAGATGACATATTCAGGGCTGTAGTTTTTCAGCAATCTCAAATTTACTTTAATCTTTAAAAATTAAAATAGTAAGAACCTAGAAGTTCACAACCTAGAAATACAGAAATAGTATTCGTGGTGTTAGGCGCTAGTATACCAGTGGCATTAACATAGCCATCACGAGATGAACTGAATATTGTTTCGTTTAATAGAATCTTGGATGGAAGTCGTTTTATTGACATCACACTAGTGCACAAAAACAGATATAATCAGCCACACACACAACCATTTTCACAGAACATCACATTCCCACCAAGAAATCCAGCAGAAATGGGGATTCCCCGTGCATTCGTCGGTTGGTCTTATGGCTCATTATTGGATACGTAGTGGACATAAAGATCGTTTCGGTATTTTGTTGTTCTTGCAATGACAATAAACAATGTTGTCTAATGTCATTGGTTCTTGTTTTTTGACACGTTTTCAAAAAATCGCTTTTCTCTTCGATTAATTTTCAGTAGTTAAAGATGGATTTTTCTAGAAGGCTGTTATTTTTATTTATTTCTAAATTTTGTATAAATTCTATGAAATTTGATATTTCGTCCAACGTTGTTTGGCCAAATTATTGAACTGAATAAAAATTGTGTTTTTATAGTTGACTTACGGCACTGGTACTATGGCGCGGCAATGTGGCTCAACGGGCTAAGCGTTAGGAATGCGCTCGCCAACGCACCTCTAATTACTCTGCGTGGGTTCGCAGGTTCGAATCCCATGCAGGAATGGTTATGTGCGAGAGGATTGCTGGACTCCTCCTCGTCGTTGGGTGGTTCACGTAACCGCTGGTCGGCTTACGGCTTCCTCCACCATCAAGTCCGAAAACAAACAATATAATTAATCCCATACCCGACTTGGAATAAAAACCGGACGAGAGGCCGTGGTTCGCCATATGGATAAGCCGTCTCTCCCCCGGGATAATTATGTAAATTAATTATGTATATTTATGTATGCTATGCTCAAATATATGGACACGTAGAGTCACATAATTTTGGTGACGTCATAGCGAGAAAAAAAATAATATCCTTCTGGAGAAAATTTTTATCTTTTACCCACTGAAAAGTTAAAAAGCAATTGGTCCAGTATTCGAAGAGAAAAGCCATTTCTTCAAAACGTGTTGATGAGGAGACAAATAATAACAATAACAACAAAATTTTGAAACGATCGTTATGTCCACTACGTGTCCAATAAGTAGCTTATGTATTAGCAAGTTACAGGACGTATGTATTTTCGGGACATAGGCTTCTTGTATTTTGAAATAAGTAACACTATGTACTATGTATTTTCCACTAGTACACAACGTATGTTTTTAGAAATTTAGGTGACTCTGTTATAGTGGCTATACAGGTACTCTGTATGTGGTGCGAACATAGGCCATGGATATACTGCTGCCAGAGATTTGGCTTAAATTTTTTTCACAGTGAGACTCAATCAACTGACTGCCAGTGAAACGTACCTCCCGTAATTCACTCAACTTGACTCAAGACTTCAACCCAGATAAAACAGGAACATCATTTAAACCATATATGTATATATATAAGCAAACCTACCAGGGAGAGAACAAAATGATTTTAAAAGTGTAGCAAGTTTATCAAGTTTGATTATTTTTTATAGACTCTACGATTTGAATGTGAGCTTTTGGAACCCATGGACAGTATCGCGGAACCCTAAAATGTCACAGAACCATGTTAAAAACCACTGCTATTTTTAAGAAAATTTCAAACCATATGCTCTATGACAGGGATGGCGAACCTTTTTCTATGAATGGGTCAAAATTATATTTTTATCGCGGAACAGAAGAGAGTGGGTCACATATATTCGATCAATGTTTGTTTCTATATGAAACAAATCGTATAAGTTTCTGTTGGTGTTGGCGTAGCTTTGGGCTTTACTTATGCAGCACCTCTATCAGGGACTTTTTATGGCACTCGATTTTATGAAATTAGAGTACGAAAACACGCATATGAATTACCAAAAACGTTTAGGATGATGCGGCAAATTATTTTACGGTTTCAAAGAGTTTGGAAGGAATTTCACTCTGATAGTGTTCTATTTTTCGATCAACCACGTTAAGGCACTTTTACACTGCCCCCTTGTTATTTTAGGTTTCTAGGCTTTTATTTTAGGTTTCTAGGCTTTTTTAAGTCTGAAAGATTTTGTTCTCTTAATTAACGACATCGTAGGCGAGAAACTAATAAAATACAAAGTAGCATCTAGTTCTCGCATAATGACCCCCCAAACAGTCTGCCGATGAACTTCCGAAAGAGACTAGCTAGACGTAGCGAGAAATGAACATATCGGTTGCATTGTTATGTCATAAACGATGTCAGTGCCAATAGCTGAATAACGGTTCACAGCGGTGCAGACATACGTCCATGATTATGGGTTTTGAAAATTACCATACCGGCTCGAAAAAGTACCAATTTGAATATGATATTATGGCCGGTTTTATCAATTTTTATAACTGATATGTTAGCAATATTTTAAATTTTATTCGTGCCTTGGCGGGTCACGAATAAAACGCGATGGGTCACTTTGTGACCCACGGGTCAGTGGTTCGCCATCCCTGCTCTATGACAACTTATCATTATTTGATTTGATACAATTTGCATCTATCTAGAAACTGATCAGGACCTTTTCACTTCTGACGTAGCAGAAAAATGGTTGGAACAAATTTTCAAACTCAGTGAAACGGATGCTAGTGTTTTTCGAGCCATAAAAACAGCTGTTTATAATTCAACTGTGGAAAACAACCGGACTTTGTCTTTATTTTTTGAACTCAGGAGGGAAAAGGATATCTTAAAGCAGTGTGTGGGGAAGAACAGCAAACAAAAAGGCTTTGAAAAAAGTCAAAAATAAAAATTCTAAAATATAGCATGCAATATCTATTCTTTAATATAAATTTATTTTCAGCAATTATTGGTCGGTGTTTAATTACAAGTCTTTCAAATTTAGTTTTGCATATGTTATTCTTAGGAATAATACGTATTCTGGTACTGCTGGCATATAATCCGTATGGTATTTGCTAGGCCTGGGGGTACTTTACCCAAAAGAGGATACCTAGAAAATTCCAGGGGGTTTTCGGGTCTTCATTGACCTAACAGTTTATTTTGTGAACGCCATATTTTCCGCCACTTTGCAGAAAAACTTGGCGCGCCGTGTTTGCATCTAGTTAGCAAACATTGTTACATCACAATTTAGTTGGTCTCGCAGATAGTAGAGACATGTGGTCTTCATTATTATAGCTTCTGGAAAGTGAAAACTGTTGAGATATGGCGCCAAAGAAAAGCTATGGTGAGTCGGTTTTATAATTCGGTTTCGTGAAATTCAAGACTCAAAATCGACTTCGCAACTACAGATGTTTTTGTGTTTGTCTCCAACAGCAAAATGCCACCCTTTCCATGACGTCATTGCCATTTTTGATTTAATGTCATTCAACCTATTCTCTGCAATGACAAAATAAATTGAAACAAAATATTGAGTCAAGTTTATAATTGACGATGATATGGAATTCCTACGTTTGATATCGCAGAAACAGTGACACCCTTCTCACTGAGATTAAATCAAGATGTTGTTCTTGTATTTATGGATTCATATGTTATTGCTGCTATTAAATTTGATGAAATGCACGCTTGGAATTTTATTTTTAATGTTAGGGGAAATTGAGCTTATGGTAATTCAATTTTTGGGGAACGCGTATTCGGAGCTTTTCAGTTTATGAAAATCAAGGGGTGGCAACATTTAGCTAATTGTGGGCCAAAAATCGAATCTACAACGCGGACAAAAATGATTTACCTCAGAGAAACCCTTTCCATTTGGCATTGATAGAATGTTGCTACTCGACATATCGTCTCAATAATATTTTAACATACGAACCAACTAACTAGGCGTGTGCGGCGTATCTAGGGTGTGGCAAGCATGGCTCGTGCCATAGTCACCGTTTGGGCAGGGGCGCAAAAAGAGCAGGAAGTTTTAATCGTAAAATGTTTTAATAGAATAATTTCGAATTAGAAATAACTGGAACTCGTATTTCAACACAAATAATAACGTGCATGTATCTCATTTAAATAACAGTCATTGTAAATTGCCAACTAACTATCAAGGGAGGCGCATTTCAAACTTTGCCATGGGCGCCATAGATTTGCCCTTGCTAGGGGTAGGAAAATTGCATTTTTTTATCGAATATTTTCAACGAATACGGAATAGTATCTACAAACGACCAGGACGTGGCTGGTCGATAATAATTCCAGAAATTACACCTAATTAAAAGTAACTCATAGCATATCGTGGGGTATCTGTGGATGCTTGCATAGGGTCTTATTCGAAGCGACAAGTATTGAATGAGCATCATATGAAAAAAAAATCGCCTGATTTTGTTATAATCGCTGTATGTTTGGCCAGCGTGATTTCTCCTGTTGTCCACACCATGACGTCGATAAAATACTCTCTGCCAATTATTTTTTTTCTCAATAATGAAGCCTATTTAATATTGTATAGATCTAGATTATATTATAATGCTGTAATGGTAAAAGGTTAATGCGACAAACAGCATGTTTCATGATTTAAACAAGCAGGAGTTCTTAAATGCCGAAAAATAAGACCTATACCGGTAACTATATCGTTAGTTGGAAAAAAACCGCGCACGCTTAACACTCAACTCTGGATGACTCTTATGTAGACTACTTGATTTTATTACTATGAAGACTATTCATAACTTCAGGTTATATTCAATATTGACCTATCACATGTCCGCGACTACCATAGAATAGCCCTGTAAACAAAACAGAAACGTAGCATCTTGACATCTTGATGACACAAGAACGGCAAGTTTACTAACACGACTCAGGTCGAGGCAGCGTTGATTACTATCACGCGTTTTGTAAAATTTCGGCTCCACGCCCGATTCTGCCTTTTCTGATGACTTTTACCCCGCGCGTTTTTTTTTAGAATCTTGGGCTTATCCAATCAACGCTCGTTCCTACTTTGTCTGGTGACTAATACCACGCCCTTTTTCTAGGATATTCGGTTTTACCAATCAAGCCTCGTTTCCACTTATTTTGATGACCCTTACCCCGCGCGTTTTTTTTAATCTTTGGTTTTACCAATCAAAGCTCGCTCGATATTTACTATCCGCGCATTTACTAGAACAGCGGTTATCAAACGACGGGCGTGAAGCTAATTAAAAATAAAAATATTTGTTGGATTTGATCTTGCCCGCCCTATTTCGGATAATCACATTTCGGTGCTCCGGAGTGTGTATACCAATATGGAGGTAGCTAATTTTATTCGCCTACCTTACATAAAGTTGTGTAAAGGGACTGAAACCTATAGGCAGGTGGATATTCACTTGGCTAACAGGGACAGTCCGCGAACTTAAATAGAACTAAAGTGAGGAAAATCGGATTAAAATTATGGCCTAACCCTAACCTGGTACACATACTGCGGGAGTACCCACATTTCTTTATTTTTAATATTTACGTTCCATCCACGTATTCTAACGTGTTCGTTGAATAAAACATAGCCTACTTTGTTTAACTATATATCTGGTATTTGAAGCTTATTGTTAACTAGTTACTTTTGAGGTGGGGCGCGAGACAAAAAGTTTGAGAACCACGGTTGTATAATATTTTTTTTATTTAATAAAAACATCACTTAAAAAATGAGTTTATGATAACTTTCCTGTTGTATAATGTTTGATCTTGCCAATCAATGTTCAGTCTTACCAATCAACGCAAAATTTGTAAGAGCGAGAGTGACAAATCCGTGGTAGAGAATGGGTAAAAATTGACGTCTCCAAAATTACGATCCGGAATGAAATCCTAAGAAATAGATCGTGAGCAAAAATTCGCTTCCCGCCACAATAGTGGTTGCCACATCACTCTACGACGTCCTCGCCGCCGTAGGTGGTTCACGTTTTTGATTATTTACTATAAATTCCCCAAATTGAAAATTCGTGAGGATTCATGCGATTCATAGAAAAATAACCGTGAAAGTATATTTTATGTGTGAGATGATCGAAGTACTTCAATTTAATGAACCAGGTTGCTATTCCAAACACTAAACATGTTTTCTCATTTCAGAGCGGTTCTTGTAGTTCTCGTTCAATTTCCTATCAAACTTTATCGAAATGATCAACGCACTAGGACGACAGTCCCATTATCAAAATCACATTTCAATCATATTCGCCCCTGGGCCATGAATAACCAGAAAGTTGGCAGCTTCAAGTGTGGCCTTGGCAGGGAGTGAAATTTTCTCTTAGAAAAAGATCATTTCGTTCACTACTAAGGGACTGAGCACAAATTAGAGATAAACAATAAGTCCCTTGTTTTCACTTGATCAAATTTGAAAAATAGCTACCACCTCAATAATAATTACATCAATACTCGCTGAATAAGTAAAGGAGGCATTTATCATCATAAACTTTAATTGGTCAAATGATAAAAGAAAAGAAAAAAAGAAATTACTGCACTGGAATACAGAAGTGCATTTGCTATATTAACAGTAAGGATGTGTGAGATGACCATCTCAGGAACAAGATCGGCCAAACATGATTCACAAATACCCATGCTTCTGAGGAAGTTTGATTGATCAATGAGCCATGCTCCATTGGAAAGCAAATTATGAGTTCCAAGTAGCAATGGAAGCCAAATTGTCTGAAATTAATTAAAAAAAGCAGCAGCGAATGTGCACAAGAATTACACGGAAATTGCCTATATAAACAAGTACGTAAAATAAGAACATTAATTTACAGCAAAGACAGTTTTAGTTCCATATTTCGATTACAAAGCAATGTACACAATCATATAAACTTGATAATTTATCTCCCAATTCCATTTAGAAAGGTAATAACTTGGAAACATTACTGTAATTCAAACAACAGTATATCCTCGAGTTGTCAATATTAGAAAAGCATTCTTTGGTAAAATCTATCTCAATTACAGTAATAAACTTTTTAGTGCAATCAATAGCACATATATACATTTACAAATATAATTTTCATTGTACCGCAAAATTGAAATGATGAAACAGTCCAAAGTCAGATAAAACTAAGTAAAAACAAAATTAAGAACGAGAGTTGTGTACAATCAGCTCTTTGGAAAATTAAATAACACTTGACAAACAAATAAAATTTACTTGAAACAGGCAAGTTTGTGCCAAAGATAATCAGTTTTTCAAGCTTAAATCGACCATCATTTAAACTTGGCCTTGTTGAAAAACTAAAAAATCATGGCAAAACAAAAGATCTCGAGACAATGTTTACCCCAAAGAGCACAGCTTACTTGAAAAGACTGAAAAAAAAACTATTGCACAGCAATAACAAAACTCGATCTATGCAATCGGAACATTATTTAGAATGTAATGAATAAAACTCTGACAACAGGTTCAATTTAGAATCAGATTTTACAGATAATTATAGATTATTTGACTAATGAATTGTCAATAATTGATTAGGAGTATAAGTGATACAAGAAAATCTTTCAGAAGAAACGAAAACTGACTAAGATTTAAATATATGAAAAGCTACACTTGTTTTAGAGTATATGAATGTAAAATATACAGGTTAAATGTTTGAAAACATCTGTTTGTTTAAAATTTAATAAGTATAGATTAACATTGTAAGCGGGGTTGTATTCTGCCGTTCCTCCGGTGTTATTGTTGGATACAAATATGAAGTACAGGCATTCTTAAAGATGGAGAGTTGAATCTATGCTTTGATTAGACGGTTAATGTCAAATGTAATTTTGTTGTTCCGAAGTTGAAGTATAATTATTCTAGTACCGGTTTTGGAATTTTTTCCATGCAGGAGGTGAATTTTGGAAGAGGTAATCATACATTAGAATTCAGTCTAGTCGCAAAAGTAGGTTGTTGAGACCCATTTTTGCTTGTGCTCAATGAAAATGACAACGGAACAAAGGATACAGAACATGTAAAGCAAAAAATTTAGTTCCATTTCTCTGAGCATGGTAATCTTTAACTAACGAATGTACATGCCACTATAAACTATGATTTATATGAAACTAACAAATCTTATACATCAATAAAAAGGAAGCCCGACGTGTTTATTTCATATACATCTCAACAGAACAATTAAGACCAAAAGATATGGAGCACCATGAACATCATGGGAAGACCAGAGGCACGCACTTAGCATTAGTGTTTTTGTGCATTTATATATAGGAGAAGCACAAACAAGGGTCATTAACTTAGATGAAAAGGCAACTCATCTCTGAGCAAAGTTACCGGCGACTAATACAATGCCAACAACTATCAAAACTACTTTGGATTGATGGAATTGCAGTGAGAGCCAGTAAACGCTAATTGACACGACATTTGGAACAGTTCAAGCCAACAAGATCGAGAAAATAGCTGAGATAGAGAGTTCCAGGGGAAAACATTTATGGTATTCGATAACGTATTAAATTAATCCGAAATTTCATTTGAAATTGGATCTTTGTCAACCAGTGAATGCTTTTACCACAGCATTAAATTTTTCGACGTCAGGTTATTTGTGACTTATATTATAATATTTTATAACACTGGGTCAAGAATAACAAAACCAAAAATTATTTGTGAAAAGTGAAACTTTTTGGTCCAATCAAATCACAAAATGACAAACAAATAAGAGAAAATAATTAGTAAAGACAAGTAAAATCAAAACAAGGTACACAGTTTTTTACTTTCATATAGCGCATTTTTACTAGATTTTAGTGATAAATCATGTGCAAAACTGTTAATCATTAAAATAACTGGGATTGAAAATAGGTCTATATAAGATTTAGGGTATTTAATCCCAAGATATGAAATTGTTTAGACACAGGATAATTGATTGATATTATAATTAAAAAGTGTCTAACATGAAATAGTGGTTCGGAAAATGTTTTGAGGTCGGTCCATACATGTGATATAGATAAAATAACATATTATTAAATACAGTTGTAGATAGACCAATAGATACAGAAACGATAGATGAATAACTAACAAAGTTATGAAATAAGTCAGATGAGTGATAATTGTTTTTAACCAATTGTGAATAACACCAGTATATGAATCTTTCATTTAACAATTTTAGTGCCCCAGAAGTGTGTGTACCAATATGGAGGTAACTAATTTTGTTCGCCTACTTTACATCAAGTTGTGTAGGGGACTGAAAACTATGGGCAGTGGGTATATTCACTTGGCTAACACAGACAGTACCCGAACTCGTAATAGAACCAAAATAGGAATAAAATTATGGTCTAACCCCAACCTAGTACACATACTACAGGAGTGCCTAATTTTGAAACCACATGAAGGAGTTTTCACTCCGAAAAAGGCTTTACAGAAGCAGCCAATTATACATAGGAAGCTAATATTAAATATAATATAATAAGAAATTATTAAATTCAAATGTGTAATTTTTCCCAGCACCAATTTTAAAATCAATTCCATTCTACTAAATCCAATATTACATCAAGCGCTCAAAATTGAATGTATAGATGAATAATGGATTTAAACACATTTTTGTATACTACTCTATTAAAAGAGCTCTATTACCATAATCAATTTCTATATATAGAAGGTAGAAGGGAACCTTTAAAACACAGTAACTTCATCTTTTTTATTTTCGTCACCTGTAGGTTGCAAAACGTTTTTATTAACCGATGTCACATTATCATTACTCTCATTATTTGGTGGGGATTTGGTGAACATTGTTATAACTGGTTCACCAGATGGCGATCTCCTTCGAGTCTGAACCTCGCCCGGTTTTAAGTTCGCTTGTCGCTTGTTCATGTTTGGTGTTAATGCCTTCCGTTCTTTTTTTTCGTCTTCATTTTTGTCTGGTTGTATTTTGGCTTTTCCTTCATTTTTATCTGTTTTCATTTGCTTTTTTCTATTTATATCTTTCTTTTTGTGTGTTTGTTCAATAATAGCCAGAGAATTGACACTTATAGCGTTGATGTTCTAAAAAAAGTTAAGAATCGATTTTATGACGATGACGAAGATGACAGTAGCAGAGAAAAAAATTTAATATTGAAATCAAATTACCAGTATTAATTGGGAAAAACAAGATGAAATTATTCATAATTGAACATTCAATCATAAAGTTTATCAAGCTCCGAATAAATAGCTACCCATCTACAAAATTACTACAGTAAGAGAACGGAATTATTTTAGTTCGGCAGAGTATACATACTTTCTTACACTCACCATGATCCAGTATTGATAGTAAAATCAATTGCTAGCATGATTAGATTAGTGATATTAGAACTGCTAAAAAGGGAGTGCTTTATTAGCTGCCATTCTATAAAGACATCTGGCTTGAAAACAATATAGATAATACCAAACAAAAATAATTATAAAAGTGAAGTAATAATATTATACAACCTTACTAAAAGACTGAAATAAATAATAACTGAAACATATTTTGATTCTTCCAAATAAAGACCAACAGAATAATTTGCATGTGAATAACAAAGTAAAGATTTTTGAAATTATGTAAGGGGGAACAGTACGGAGAAGGAAGAGTATGAGAAGAGATGGATGGCAATGCAAGAACCTGAAAATACTTAAACATGTTTAGATCACCTTATCTGTTCTATGGGAGAGAAAAGAGGAAGACAGTTTGATAATTATGACAAACAGAGGCCTCTTGTCCAGTTACCATCGCAGGTGGATTAAGTGATTAATAAGCCAATTCATTTTGGATGCATGCACTATGAAGAAGTCACATTGGACTGGTATTTACATGAAACTGTGACAGCAAGTAATACAATATTCCTTACATAAAGTCATCTCAGTGAACATGGGAATCAAAGTAGTGCAATATCATAAGATTACAGTCTCTTAAAACTCTACACACAATTGGGTATTCTGAGTTGTCATTTTTTAATTTTTTAATCAAGGAGATTTTCTCTAAGCCGCTGTGAACCGATACATTTTTCAATGAAGAATGTAGAGTCCGTTGCAATCTTTTGGATGAGATTTGGGGGCACTAATTCAGAATTAAAAGAGGTTATTCTCTGAGTGGAGTTGCAGACGAACACTGAGCGCCAAAAGTTACTAAGACTATAAAAAATAATAGCATAGAAATTTATTTTATATCTCAAATTATTTACTGGATTTCAATTATGTTTCGCTAAACGTTTTCATCAAATCGGTTACTTTGTAGGAATTACTTTTTCAAAATCCAAAATTTCATCCTCGTTAAACACCACATTTTGAACCTCCTATACCTGAATCAATAATATAGGAAGAAAACATGCAAATTAAAGAAAAAAAAAAAGTGCCATGTGATGATGATTCCATGCAGTTGATACCACCCCACCATGCGAATGTGTTTCGTGCAGAAATGCGAGGATTTCTACCGAAAATCTACCTTTTTTGATTTGGTTTTGTGTTTGTATTTTGAGTCCGTTCCATACGTAGGTGTGTACCTGTAAACCCTCTTCCCTTCTTTACCGGTATTCGATATAGGTGGAGCAGAACTTTTATCCTTTTTCCATTTAATTTTCTGGAGTTTATGTTCATGTTCGAGATCTCGTTCACTGATTTTGAGGTTGATAATCTTGAACAATAATAAATTGATTTTATATTTGGCTCAATTCGAAATTCTAAGAAAATTATTATTAGGGTGATCCAAAAAACAGAATCCACAGGACCATAAATTATTTAATTGTGTTTTATAAAAATTCATTCAACACTTGCACTTCTCTTTTAGTATTATTACTAAAAAGTTTCAATCTAGGACGTTTTGCACAAAAGGTATGTTCTTTTCGGGCTTCTGTTTTTATGGGAGTGACCCCATATTTCCATATGCTTATCTACTAGGGTTCTGGAGTCAATTCATATTTATACACTTCCGGGACGCTGATGTCAAAGTTGAAGTAGAATTTATGAATTCTTAGAAGTTGGGATTCTAAGGGATGTGATCGAGTCAAAATTATTCAATTGAAAAATTAAATTATTTTAACATAAGCATATTTTCGTTGCCATCCATGATAGCACCCGGATGCTTTTTCAGAAAAAATAGTGAAAAAATAGCAAAAATATTACATTGTTAATAAACAATTTATACACAAAAATTAGATTTGCGTATATATGGAAAATTTCTTTAACTACGCCACTCTGCATAAGGCTCTAGACTAGAAAACACAGAATATACCTCAAACATTAATCTATCTTCTTTCATACACACTGGATCAATTTTTCTTAATGCTTCCATCGTTTCATATAATCCAGGCAGAGATTTGAGTTTTTCTGACATTCCAAGCGTACTTCGCAGCAATACCAGAGCACAACGGAATACAACTTTGATACCTGAAAAAAGTTTTGATTTGTGTCTATATTAATTTGTTCTAACTAAAATGATAGGATTATGATTTAGTTGTAAAAGCAAATTTCATGGCCTGTTTTCTAAGTTAACTCTGAATGCTCCATTGAGGTATTCAATGCAGGTGTATCACATTTTTTCAAATATATTCTGTGACGTTATGTTTGAACAAAGTCAAGAAGTAGTTTATAAGAATGAAAAATGATTCTCACTGATTCACATAAGATTTTGAGACAGAGACTTGGAATGAAAACTGCCCATAAAAAAGTTTCATGCTATTAACTTCATACTTATTTAACGAATATAATTTATTTTCATATACAAAATATGGTAATTCTCCCAAAAAGTAAGGGAATCAGTAGAATTACCAGTGTCCATAAAACAAAGAGAACTTTGTAAATTATAAAATTCAATCATTTAGTTAAAGTCAAAACCAAAAGATACGATAATATTTTACCTTCACAGAAAAACATATCCCAAAGTCTTAACACTGAAGTCCAGGGTAAAGTTCTGCTGAAGACACACATAAACCATTCAGTCATGTATAACACAGGGGTTACTTGATTCTTTTCCAGATGTTTATACGCAGGCGGTGATACCTTGCGAAGTAGACTTTGCATGACGTAGCCGTCAACTTGTATTGCTTCCTATATAAGATTAACAAAACAATGGCGATGATGTGGTTGCCAGCAAGAAACATCCGCTGCTTATAAGTGACGTGATGAAAGTTATATTTATCACATCAGTTGCTATTTGTAAAGCTTAGAGCTTTAAACAGCTCGATAAAATCTATTTACAATCACATATTACAAGCTGCTCACCGTATAAACAGCGTTAGCCGAAACTAAATACAATCAAAAATTATATTTTTGAATATTAAAAAAATTTGTGCTAAAGGTATTCTTTTTTTATCATCCTATGGCAGGGGTGTGCAACAATTAATTGGGCCACACAAAAAATTCAACGGCAAAAGATCTAGGACTTTTTGCACAAAAATTATGTTCTTGCCAGGCTTCTGTTTTATAAGAGTCTCATAAACACAGCGACAAGAGAGAAAATCATTATGCATTTTCACACATGAAGGGTCGGATCAGAACTCTGAATATTTGACAACCGCCACACTAAATGACTTGGCGAGCTGCCTGTTGCACTCCCCCTCCCATAGTGATTGCTTGGAGCATTTCGATCAGAGATATTCTAAATCTCGGGTCAATCAGTGTTTACAGAAGCATTCTTTACAGTGGCAGTAGCTATTGGTGCCTCAGTGGTTGCTTGTAACTTCTGTCGAAAATCACCTTCTTCGTGTGATATGCGCAAGTCATTGACTTATTAAGTGTTTAGTAATAAATACTATGAGACTAAGTTTTCAACATGATGAATTTTCAACTCTGTTTGTTGAATAAAATATATTTTGAATTGATTACAATTTACAACTATTGTTGGACACCCCACCATATATGTTCACAAAAAACAAATTTTGATTTGTTCATGAAAAATATGAACAAACTTTCAAGTAACAACATTCGCTTGTGCAACGATTTCGAATAAAATAATTATGGGCATAAGATCAATAACAATGGTGAAATGTGATATTGCATCACTAATGTATCATCATTGTAATTCACTAATGACCACTCAATAATGTGATCAATAAATGCCTCCTTAGTTTTGATGGATTACCAATACTGAAATCCAAGCAATTGCTTGACTATTAAACTCTAAGTATACATATGAATCATTTTGTTATTATGCTCCTTTATTTGTTGTTCTTGATATTTTTCTTCTTATTGACAATATTGTTATGAGAAATTGCTTTTTTTCATTAATTAATTAGGGCCATGTGCTTGGAAATTTCCAGTTGTTAAAGATTGTATTATTCACTAGAAGCTCAGAAGGCTATTACTTTTATTTATTTCCAAAATTTCTATGGGCTCAATGGGATTCGTTTTTTTATGTGAGGTGACGTTATCAAAAATTGAGCTTGTTGTGAAGGCTGCTGTACCGGTAGTCTACTGTGCCAGATTGCATACCCGTACTACTTAATTTTGGCCTTCGTGTTCAAACATTTTAGCATCTCTTGTTAATCTATATGATTCCACATCAAAATGGATTTATTTTTATAAATTGTCACTCGTCAAATTAAAATAAGTAATCAAACAAGCCAGGTGAAAGCTTGCCTGATTAGAATTTCACAACCATATCAGATCACTTGTCTTTCTGAATTGATATAAAACTAGCAGCATAACCGACTATCTCGAAGATCTACATACTTATGTAAATGTAATAAATTTATAACACCGAGATAGTCTGATTTGGTGGAAAAATTGTCATGCTTTTCAAGCAACATTTTAGCCACTATTCCAAGCATACTAGGTAAAAATAAAATAACACTAATAATAATATATGCTTGATTATGATGTTGAAAATGTGTGTTTCCTTCAAAATGTAATCAGCCGGTCAAGTGACTGTTACATACTATGATTTTCACAATAAAATATACTTTATCATCTTTTAAGTATATAGAATTGAGTTGAATGTGTGTAAATACCCTCAGGCAACCATTGTTTTTACGACATGCCAGGAATATTAAAATCTTAATAAGGATTTATTTCTATCGGAAACAGCACAACTAACAGACTTTAAACATGCAACTGTTAACTTGAAATTGGCACAACACTGGGATGCTCACATCTTTGAGTTCGGTTCAGATTTTGAAACTACGGATGCCCAAAACAAGTCCCCAAATACAATTTGAAATTAGTTATGTTGATGTAATGAATTCTTGATTTTAAGAATGGAAAACTTGAGAACAACCTTCTCGCAAAAAAATTTTAATTTCAGTAATTGGCATATGACAGGCATGTGAACTGTAAATATTCTTAGTATATATACTATATAAAACTCTTAATACAGAAAATTTTCTGCACTTCCAATTTCAATCATTATGAATAAATATCACTGATAACTTTTGCAAATATGTTTTTCGGACATAACACAGTTTAGAATGCATCTAATTCAAAAATATCCTCCCAAAATATATTCAGAATAATAGATTGTTTAATGTTGAGTACACATAATGACTCTCAGTTGATAGGACAAGATAGGTATATAAATTTTATTGTATTAGACATACTTTAATAGTATGCGTAACAGATGATGTAGGAAGCTTTGAACAAAACTAAATTTCTGACAAAAAAAGCTGAGGTTAATAAAGTATAGTATTAGGAGATAATATCCATAAAAAAACTACTCACCAAACCAGGACTGAAATATCCTTGCAGATAATGCTCACACATTGCTACAACACACCAAAATGCTTGCTAAAAAAACAAATAAATATAGCATGGTTCGGGATGACTGATTGTTATGATGGCTAATACCCAAATTTGCTTCATGATAAAAAAATCAGTGACTTCGAGGTTGCTAAAGTGTCAAATCATAGAAAGAAAAAAATTATTTGTCGACTCATTTTCTACCTTCATTTTATTTTTATATATTTTCACAATCAATTACGAAAGTTTAAGTGTAAACAAAATAGTCAGCAACTTCAATGACCTGCAAATGTCTTGCATACTGACCATTAACCAACATAATTCTATGTTTAAATTATTCACTGAACTGTATTTCTACAAAAATCTATATTATTTTCTATTTTATTAGCATAGTTTTTTATAAATGAATCTCTCTCTCTCCCATGTGCTGCTTATCACATAAGATCTAATATATAATTGGCATTCCATACTAAGAAGTATTATTTTAGAATGTCTCAGAAATAGCGATATTATTCGATTTAGCTAACCCTTCCCTTCAATAATGAGTCCGCAATTAAAAATCAACAAAAAGAATAGTATTGTACCTCTGCTGGCATGTGCATTAGCAATACAGCTGCTATAGGAGCTTGTGCTTGACAATAACCGTCCTCTTTATTATATACTGAATAAGCTCGGAGTACGTCGCGTAAATCTTGTTGGCCTGTCCCTCCCCTTTCAGTAAACATCTCATGGAATGGAAATTGTCTGTGAAGATCTTTTTCGATGTCGTCAATACAGTTTGGGTCGGCATCAGCTTTGAGAAGTTCCTGATGAATGTATGGTATTTGAGTGTCAGTATATAAAGAAGAATACAAGTCGAAAACAGAAAGGGGCGGTCCAGAAGTGTGTGTACCAATATATCTGGAGGTAACTAATTTTGTTCGCCTACTTTGAACAAAGTTGTGTAAAGGTACTGATGCTTATGGGCAAGGGGTATATTCACTCGGTAACACAGACAGTCCCCGAAATCGTAATAGAACTAAAATAAGGAAAATCGGAATAAAATTATGGCCTAACCCTAACACACACTATGGGAGTACATAAAAAGGGTGAAGTATCGAGGTCGATTGATACTTACAGCATATTTTCCCTGATTTTGTTCATATAAAGCTTTGCTTCCACTCAGGAGCTGCCATGCTCTACCTCGTAAAGATGGTGGTACTCCTTTCCGACAACGATTTTTTACCTTGAATAATAAATAGATATATTCATTTAAAATAAATGTTTTAAAATAAAAGATTATGCTGTCTTTCAGCGTAATAATCTTGTTCAAATTAAATAAAACTGCAATCGAAACAAATTAAATTTAAGAAATTGGAGTGGCCTAGCTGAGAGAGAGCCTAGACTTCAAAGTCAACTCTGAACAAGGCCCAGTACAAGCAGCTACTGATATCAAATAATATGATAGGTAAGGAATAAGGATTATGGAAGGACCAGAGAGAGAGGTATGTTAAGTGTCGTATAAAAAAAAAAAACATCATTAACCCTTTTTAACAATAATTTTCTTAAATATCATAAATAGTTTAAAATGGGAAATAAAAAACACTACAAGGCAATAAAGGGATGTCTATATATAAATAGTGGGACATTCAAGAATTCCACAATTATAGCAAATTGTATTGAAAAAAAGAAGCAATTTTTAATACTTTTTCTTGATATAATGCTTCTTGTATATCAACAGACTCAAATTTCATTTAACAATATTATCATTATCATTTCATGCCGAAAATTTTTCCAAAAGGACTTTGGCTTTGCTGTTCATTGAGCCAATGAAGAATAAATAAATTAGATTCAGTATGCTGTCATATAGAAAAACCATTTATTGCTATATACGATACATCATTTTAAAATATAACCATCAGCAAAGTAACTTTATACCAATCTTCTGATATAATTTTTTTCATCTCAACAGTATCAACATATATTAAAGAAATAGTAGTTGGTATTTATATAGTGAACTGATGATACTTTGTTGAAAGGACACAGGAAAGGAGTATGGGAAATGCAAACACTTAGCGAACAGGATACAAACCAAAACTAGTACGGTATGTTTGAGGTAATTTCACAACTAAATATAGAAACAGATTATTATCAGAGTGTATGTACTTAACATACATATTACACTGCAGAAAAATAGTAATAGAGCATGAAATAGGATGACCGAAAAATTAAATCAAGCGAAAATCTGAATCACAAAAAAGTGGGAATTACAGTAATCTTTACTATCATGTTTCCAATAAATTCACTATGCTTGTATAAAGATTTTGCCACATGGGCTACTTAAGGTAATATGAAAAGAGCATGAAATTCTAAAATACCCAAATTACTTGGATATGGACATTGCTGGCATGAAATAAATTAAATATATGATGTTCATAATTATAGAAGTGAAAGCATGATATGCAATTAGGCCACTGACATTTCATGGTCACTATAATTGATTCTTAATTGGTAGCCATAATGATAGTTTGAACACTTTAGTTCAGTTTAGACTTTCTATTATATTCATACTCATGTGAAAAACACTTTCACTAATATATGTCATATTCATGAAGCCTCGTTTGGGAAAAAATAGCAAAATATCACACTATCAGCAATTAGCATATAAATAAGCATGAAAAATAACGTAAATTTGAAATTAGCAGAGGGAGCATTTTTAGCCTGATACCTCTGTACAGATTATGCTTTAGATTAAACTATTTTTCACCGACATGATTGAGGTGTAAATAACACATTAACTCAGAAAACAATCAAAAATGCAATATCACCATCATAAAATGTTTTATGGTTTATGTATTTATGATGAATAGGTATCTCATGAATGTGGGTGGTACTGACATACACCAGCCAGATTGAACAATGTTAGTGTCAAATTGAGCTAGAACTTTTCTATATCAAGTGTGGAAAAATAGGTTTTACAATGATTGAAAAGTTACAAAACCGTTTTGCCAGTTATGTTATGAAAACATAATTTTACGATTAAGAAAATATTTTGATTAACAAATAAAGATGACTACTTTTAAATCCATAAAAATAATCCGGCAATTGGGACTTATGAAAATTCTGTATAGCTGTGTCTGTGTGTAGACCGTGGATTATGAAATTTAAGATATACAACAATTTGATTGATTTTTTACAGTTTTCTGAGATAGAAAGTATCTTTTTTGTCATAGCATGAGACTTGGTTAAAAATGATAACTTTCCAAATGAAACTATTCTGTATTATTTGTAAATTCAACAATTTAGAGGATTGAATATAAATTGATTACAAAACCGATTCGATTATTCCATTGCTTTTATGGGTTTTCATTTATGGCACACCAGGTTATAAGACATATCCTTAATTGAAGTAAGGTTATTTATCTGATAATACAGATAATATTTGTCTATGGCATCATATAATAAATATTCAAAATAACAAATTTTCAAATGAAACCATTCTTAATTATTCAATATATGCAATTTCATGTCTAATTTTCAATTTTAAGAGTAGACTTATTTTGCCATATATCCAACATAGGTACACCAGTATTAAATACAGTGTAGCTTTAAGTATGAGAGTCTTTCAAAAGCAATCAACCCGTTAAACCAACATGGGCTGGTTTCTATAATGTGTACTTAGTTTGACATTTACCTAACTACCATCTGACTGATGTTAAACATATCTCAATAGCAGGAATACATGACGATAACATAGAATGTAGTCTACTGTGTAACCAACTGAAATTAGAAATTGAAACCATATTTTATCGAAGCAGTGTCTCAACCGAATCAAACATTCAGCTACATTTACTAAGGGTATATATAGGGTAGATGATGAATTATGGATTTTAAAGACAATTTTTTTTTTTTAAATATTTGTCAATTTTATAAATTAATGCATAATTCCTCATTTATGTTATGATTACTGTATCATCAAGTGTAAAACATCAAGTTTATGTCTTTGTAAATTGATCTACGCAACTCAGAACTTATTCCATATTTGATATTCAAAAATAATACCTAAAAATGTATTTGAAATAGGAATACTTTTACACTGGCCAGCTCGAATTTTTATTATTCATCAGTTTAAAAAAAAAGAAACCATTCTTGTCCTATGTCATGGATGCACATAGTAAACTATAAAAATTTACTTGAAAAATATTTTTTTGGTTTTCATTTGCCTATCGTTTCGAAATTGATACAAATTGCATTATAGAATTCTAAATATGACAAAAGTCACACATACAAAAAAGCCTAAACAAAAAAAACTAACTTGTGGAAATCTTCTTGACATCCATCTTTCCCAATTATTCAACATAGAAAGCCACTTCTGTTCTCGAGCTCGAATCTTATCAACAGACATCAGATCTGAACTGTAAATAGCAATGATAAATTTATTATTTTAAAATAAATATGTATTGTTGCTTCTAAATTTGTTTGTATGGCAAATCGACAGCTTCCAAAATTCTGCCAATAAATTTATGAGCCTAAACAGGTTTGAAAATTTGAGTATTTCATCTCTCTTGGATTGTCTACTCAACATGTATTTTTCTATCCATGACATGGTCTAAATCAGATTATGTTTTGAATATGTATTATGAGCAAACTGTGACAATTTGATCGTTTCTAGTTATAATCTCATCAAGCACCCAATTTTATTATTATTTATGATACACAGTTTCTGAGCGTACATACCAATACTAATGATGGGACATATAATATGACATGATTATCTTGCCTATTTGTTCACAAGAAATGTCATATCTATGCAACTAGTGAAGCAAAAGTTACAATTCTGATATAATATTAATAATACACAATACAGATTTGTGAAAAAACCAAACAAACCTAAGCTGATTGATGATTCATAAGTTGCAACAAGACTCCCACATAAAATTATTAAATAAAAAACCAAGCATAAATCATGGATAATCCAAGCATACTAGATTCAAACAAGCTTGAAAGAGTTGACCCACGTCTTACCTAATAATTTGTTACAAAATGTTCAATTATTTTACAAGCCTAGAGTTTTTTTTAACTCAAATGTTAATTGTAAATTCTTCAACATTGAAGAGAACACCTGTACCTATGTCCAACAAAATTTTGTCTTACCCAATCAGATTAATATTTGATATACCACTGGTTTTTCCCATTTTTACTGTGAGCCCTATACTACATACCGTAAGTCAGTGGTCCCCAAAGTGTGGGTCGCGACCCCAAGTTGGGTCGCCTTGAATATTTCGGGGGTCGCCGAGTGTTGTAGTTAAAGAATGCCTGTTGTTTTCATTTGACAAGAAAAGATTCCAAGAGTAATCGAGGAAAAAATAAAACCCCACTTAATTCCACATCAAATTTCCATCCTTTTGCCTTTAACCCAAAACTTCTCACCAAAAAATATTAAACAGTTTTACTACAAGAGATGTACGTACCAGGGATGTGAGACTGGAGGCAGTCAAAGATGAAATTTGGAATTTTTCAGGGTAAAGAATCAGAATACCAATCACACTTTTATATGATGACAATCGAAAACGGAAATTTCCAAAGCATAAAGTTGACTAAGCATTCTCAACAGACAATTAAAAAGGGCCTGCAGTTTTAATTATCGTAATTTAATTATGTAACAGTTAAACCAACAGCCAGCACCTGAACTAAAATTTTGAGTAAGGAGTCAAAGAGTTATTTTTGGAATGATTGGAGTACGAAGTAAATTGTGAATTTACAAGAATAGTACAAGGGCCCATAATTCAAACTTACTTTGGATCTGTGTATTGTGTTCCACCAGTAAATCCATATCTATCAACTTGTGCAATCTTTTTTGGTGAATATTCTTGCTCATCCTCACTATCGTTTGTGCTACGATCACTGAGATCACCCAAAATACTTGTTGGAGCTACAGATGAAGATGCCACGCTTGATACAGACATGGCCCTATGATGGGGAAGATCCCCTAATCGAACTTGGACATCTTCAACCTGTTAAAAAAAAAAAAATTATTGTTATTAAGATATACATTTATATCATAGACGACAAAGATTCAAATTGAATAATTATCATCAATTACTAAAAAAATATATAAAAATTACCTGCGCGTGAGAGCTGTCAATTTTTATTCCGTTCATGGTTAGCCGTAATTAAATATTCTTTCAGATTCGAGAGTGTTTTTTTTTCGGTAACTCAATTTTCACCTACTACTTACTAGTTACTAACCCATGTCGTTTTAATATGAACAAATGCATAACATTATTTCACATAATTCCTATGAATATAAACAAGATAGAATATTATTAGAGATGTCGTAAAAATATGGCCTAATAATTGAAAACATTTCAAACAGTTACAATACAAATATTTTTACATAAATTCAACAATTATGTGATCAGTCATGACTTTTTTTAAATTGAAAAATGAACTTTGGCAAATGTGAAGAATTCGAAACATCTGCTGGTTGGATAAAAACACACCTATCTATATATCATAGAGAAATGTACATGTGCACCAAAAAATATTCCATATAAATATTATAGGTATACAATTTCAAGTTTACACATTTTGATGTTTCAAATTTTCGAATTTTATCTGAACACTTTTACAATCACCATTATGCTAATACCATACAGAATTATGGTTAGTCTTTTTTGGAATGTCCAGATCTAAAAAATGCTTTAATATAACAACGAAACAAACACAACATGCAGACATGCCATGAACTAAGAATAAATCTAACAAAAACAAGTACCCTAATCATAATCCCACACAAATTTATTTGCAATATGTATATAATCCATATATCTTAACCATCATCAAATTAGAGCATATTCTAATATCCCTTACAACAGAAATCACGACGAACTCTACATGGTGAAACTAAGTTCAATAAAACAACACAAATAGATATCACTATCTATTGAAGTAAACTTGATACAGAACTTACAAGAGCATGCTAATTGCTTGAATCAACAACCAATATAAACATTAGCAATTATTTATTGATTCTTTATACCTGGTCTCAAACGAAAGACAGTTTGATCATTCATTACAGCAATATGTTCATGTGGATCTTGTTACCTTTAACACAATTCGAACCCCACTATTAATGAGAATTATCAACGCTTGACTAGCTAATATAGTAATATAAACACTGTTTCTCAGAAGTCAGAATATAAATGTCAGTACAGCAGTATGTTCAATTGCATGTTGCTTTGAACTTAACTCTGAGCTGTTTTGCTCATAATGCACTAATGAACATTATGCATTTGAATATAATTATCTGTAGTCTATATTCCAAATTAGCTGATACTAGTACCGTTCCGTATTCAGGTTCAGCCTTCTCTTTATTTCGTATTTTTCGATTAATTTACAAGTAACAGAGTAATAACTATGAATATACAGAATATTATGTTAATAGTTTAATTACGGTACTTGATGTTGTTACGTACGATTGTAAACAAATTGAAAAGTGTGATGATTTGCGCACTTTTATTCTCATATCTTTTACAGTTTTGTGCACTATACTGATACTGTTATATTATCATATTACTGTACCATATTATTATTTGTTGATCTTTTAAACATATTAAGTCTGCAAGTTGAAACATTGATGAAATCAATTAATTTCTTTATTATAAGCTCAATTCGCAGATTCAGCAATTTGTTATCTTCAGATTTTAAATTACAACACCTTACATCTGTAGGCTACATCAATAGCCTACTGCAAGAGCCATGGCTGGCTTCATTTCTGTAACGTACGGTACAATATTTTGTCTCTGTGCATTTGCGAGCTGGTTCTTCAGTCAGGCCAAGCACCAAATTACTGATTAACGTAGGTAGTTTCAGTTCAGCGAAAAACCATAGTCTAACTTAAAAAAAATTGCTAAACTGGATTTATGAACACGAGTAGTTTCGGGATACCATTTAACTGTATTCATTTATTTCGGTGCAGATAAAATAAAGAGTACGATACCGTACAATTAAACGGGACTAAATGAATAAAAGGAAAGTAGAACCTTTGTGAAGCTAGCAGCAAAACACGAAATCTGGTAAAAGTAATCTGGTCGAAATAAAATAGCTTCGCGCCACCTAGTGGTTTAAATTTCCGCTAAACAATTTTTTTTTAATAGTGTAATTCGTATTAGGCCTATACCGTCTCAGCATTACTACTATTCTATCTTTCGACAATCTAACGATGGTTAAAACTTGCAAACTAGTAGTGTGTGGTGCACCGGGTGTTGGAAAAACTACAATTTTAGAGAATGCGATATATGGGGAATATGCCAGCAAGGTAAAATGATGAACATTTATAAAAATTAGAAAAAGTCATGATCTGGTAGTACGATAATAGAAAACCAGAATAAGGCATTTCATTCTGTCATTTGACTAAGATTGCTTGTCAATCGGTCAATGGATTCTGATGTCAAATATCAATGGCACCAAGTTATTCTGCAGCAATTTGGTTTATTTCAGTATTCATGCTCGGCGGTGTGGCGCATCGTGCTAATCATTAGGAATACGCTCGCCACCGTACCGTAAAAGCGCCTAACTTCGGACAAAATTACTATATTTTCGTCACTAACTCGGCCATTTATTGTCCAAACGGTGCCAAAATTGCTCGGTAAAACATTCGTTCGGTAATTTACATTCCCTGCAAATTTCGGTTCAATTGGACTATTTTTACTATTGAAATAATCGATATTTCTTGCCATCTGACCGTTATCCTTCACTGCCCTAACTTCGGACAGTCATTTTCTTCACTGCGTAACCGCGACGCACAGAGAGAAAGAGGCTTCCGATGCGGATGACGTAATCACGTCGTTGCGTGAAGATAAGACGCTCGATCGTCGTCGTAACGTAACATTGACGTCACGACGAAAATGCATTATTTGAAACTTCCGTCGTCCTATGTTTACATCTTTCGTTCGTTATTTTCGATACTTCAGATGAGTATAATAACACGTTAGTCATTTTAATCAGGAAATGCATACGTAAATATATCTGATGCAAACCGTTTCAATCCACAATGAAGTATTTTAACGGGCTTCTATCGAAGTCTTTGAAGTATTAATATTCTCGACGGATAGCTTTTTTTTATTCTGCGCGGTTACTTTTATAAATGATAATTTATATCAACCACACGGTAAATCCGATTGTAAAGTTTAATTTAAAATTCAACTTAATCTTGTAAACATGTAGGTCCCGTTTATTTGTTGGATATTAAATTTATTTTTAATTTCGAGTGAATAAAATTCACCCAGGCCGTATTCAATAACTGTCATTTCGACTACTAATCATAAAATAATGGTTAAGTCAGTGCACTGTGCCATATGGACGTTGGAATTATCATAGTTTTATATATTCGATTTTTAACGTCATCGATCAAGTGTGACATGTATTTTCATTAATGTAATTTTGGCATATATTCATACATGACCGAACAAAATACAAAAATATTACATTGGAACGCCGTCTTTATCTTAACGGAAATTGTCATATTGGCTCCGTTGTGTCTGGCGTCAAAATTCATTTCCGCGACGCAGTGTGACGTCGTGTCGGAAGTGAGCGAAAAATAATCTACGTGAGGTTGACGTAATTTTTGACGCTGCGTGAAATCTTAATATTCTTACGGAATTTATAATTCAGAATTTCAGGTTTTATTTAAATCTCGTGCGACATCTTGCGATCACTCAAATAAATTATATACATTGTTGTCGTCCTCTACCGAATGATGGTATTTTGACGATGATAGCTTCAGTAGGAGCGACGCTCTGCGCCGTTGAATGCCGGGCAGTCAATTTTCGGCAAAATTTCCGTTTTTTTACCAAAAAAATAATTATGCAACATTAAAAAAAGATGAGAATAGATGTAGATATAGCAGCGCAACCTATAATAATTAAAATTAGCAATATACGGCGCGTTTTAGCCAAGATATGGACGTTCAAAATTTTTGTCCGAAGTTAGGAACTGTCCGAAGTTAGGCGCTTTTACGGTATCTCTGATTACCCTTCGCGAGATCACAGGTTCGAACCCATGCGGGGATGATCATGTGAGAGAGGATTGCTGGACTCCTCGCCGCCATAGGGTGGTTCTCGTAATCGCTGGTGCTCCACCATCAAGTCCATGCTTCCGAAAACAAATAACTGTCTAACTAATCCCATACCCGACCCGACCTGGTTACCAGACGAGAGGCCGTGGTTCGCCACATGATTAATTCGTCCTATCGGTTTTCCTCTCCCCCCGGGATAAATATGTAACGTTAAATCCTACCTTTCACCGAAGTCTAGCAATTTTTCTGATTCTAAGCCTTGACCCGAAAGTTCAAGAGTAACTTATAGTCTTAATTCAAGTCCTAACTACCAGTTTGCTCTAGTAAATTCAGATTTTATGATAAATGCAATTTTGTCGATATCGCTGTATTGGGCGAATCTATCTACAAGGATTTGACCACTGAACCAGCAAGTTGGAATTTTCATTAAAGTGCAAAAATTCAAACCTAACTTATTTTATATTTCAGGATATCATGCACACAAGAGAAGATTGTTATCTTGCTCAAATAGAAACAGATCGCGGAGTCAAAGAACAAGTTCGTATTCAAGATACATCTGGAAATGTGAGTTGAAGTTTGACAGTATTGAGGTTGTAAATAGTTCTTCAGCATCTTAGGTTAATCCTTAGAGACTCAAATTATGGGCTATTTCCTTCAATTCCAAGTGAGGCCACACAAAAATAAGCATAGAGCTACAGCATTTGGAATCTCCAGAATCTTTTTCTGTATGATATTGTCTATTTAATTTTACATGCCTACGTGAGTAATGAAAGAACCAAATATATTTTATTCAACATTTTACGGATATGCTTATCCACCCGTACTATTTGGGCTGCAGATTCTCTTTAGTATTCATTTATGTAACGCTATATATGCTGCTTTTGAAAAGTTCAATGATATTATAATTGCGTTCTCACTACAGGACTGGCTGAATCCAAGCACTTCTGGAAAACATTATCTTCATTTTGGTGAGGTATGACTTTGTCTGATATATGCTACACTGGATCACAATATATCCATTGATTTAAAATGGCAGTCAGGAGTAATAAAACTATCAGCCTGTACAATGCAATATGGAAGGTTTTTTTCTTCAAATTTTATATTGTTCAGAAACTAATAAAGTATTTTTATTACAGGGCTTTGTTCTTGTTTATAGCATCTCTGACAGAGAATCCTTCAGATGTATTGAAGCAATTAAAAGAGAGATTGACAGAACAAGAGAAAAGAAAGAGGTAAAATATATTAATATTCTCATACTGGACTTTTTGATAATCACTGTTTATGAGGGAAATTGGTCATGGGATGTGGTTCCCTGCTTTTCAACAAAAATATGCAGTTTTCCTTGTAATAAGTTGCCATCAGGGTACTTATTTTATGTGCGAATTGCAGCCAAATTTACTTCAAATGGTTGTAGGTGTAGGCTTGTGGCCCTCTAGAGTGGCCGAGGGCCCAGTTACAGAAACCCTGGCCTGAATTAATCTATTCATTTATACCTTTTTTGCCAATCCTTAGGTTGTTATCGTCGTAGTCGGGAACAAAACGGATTTACACAAACAAAGACAAGTCGATGCAATGATGGTGCAAAAATGGGCAGCGAAAGAGAAAGGTGAATTTCACCACATAGATTTGAAAATAATTTGTGTCAAATTTTTGACTAAATGTCGTCTTTTTCCTATATAGTGAAAATCTACAATTCAACAATGACGAACAGAACCAGTGTGGTCGAACCATTCACATATGTGTGCAGTAGACTGACTCAACCACCGCAAAAATCTACACTACTGGGAAGCCGAAGGTTGAAGCAAACATCAGTGGACTGAACTCAAGATTCTGATATCATTGACTCACAGTATTACTCAAGAAAAACGGAGCTAATAAAGTTGCTTATGTGCCACTGTGTATGCCACAACTGCTCTGGTATTGCCTCAAGAAGAAGTAAATCTTTGCTTCAAAGAAATACATGCTTATGCAATCCAATCATGATGGCCCAAAAACCTGATTGATTGAATACATTCTAAAATGGCTGGTTCGGCAAGGAAATTTATTGAAACCATTGCAATGTTTATCTATGTCAGATGGCAAATTTTAAGTACCGGTAGTCTCTGCCTGTCACCTTCTGTATATTGAGGACTTGAAGTGTACATGTTGATTGTTGATAACTCTGGCTGCAATCAAGTCATCAAAAAAATGCGGACCTTGTGGCTAGGGCTGTCCAAAATCGAATAATTTTTTGATTCGAATCGAATATTTTCGTCGAATCGAACCGAATAATCGAATATTATTGCGCAATATTGAATCTGTCTCTATTATACAATAAACGCCTGCCCTTCGATGTTGTGGTAACGTATGTGCAGTTACATCTTACTTACTGCCGGTATTTTGCAATACAATGTTTTCAAATTTATGAAAGGAGATCACACGCTTGTATGGACTGGTCAAAAAAATTGGAGAACTCCAAAATTTGGGTCTCAAACTGTTGAGAGTAAAAATTGCACTATTCAAAAATTGCAATCTCAATTTTGATGGATTCAGTTTTAATAGGACATGTAAAGCCTGTAGATGCTATTTTATTCCTATTCACTAGTCTTATGTTTTTTTGTGTAAATTTCAGCAAAATAATAACAACCATCAATATAGATAACACTGTTGCTCAAGTTCAAAATTGCATTTAAAAATTCCAAGCTAGTTCGATGACAATATTATTTGATGACTATAATATTGTTAGTGTACAACAGCCATCAAAATGCAAGAGTGCAATTATTTGTCTTGGTATATAGATGGATAATACAGTAATGCCATCATAAGAAATTACAAATTCCATTCAAAGAAGGTATTGCCATCATAAGGATCCCAAAACACCTGTTTCAGCTTTGAGTTGCCTGTACCATGTTCCTATGATAACTAACTCAACAGCTTCAAATCGATTCTATTTATAGAACTATCGTTTTCTAAATTGTCTCCTTTTTCTCCTTGCTCTCTCTCAAAAACGTCATGACCGATTATACCTTGTTATGATGACCATGCATGAAATGGCTAATCACGTGCCACCGGGCGGGCATTAGTAATGACATGTTTATCACAAAATGAAGGCGAAGGAAATAGAAATATCGGCAAACCAATTAAGCCGGGAGCGAGAGTGGTCTGAGCTCGGAGCGCCGTTGCTTGCCGGATGAAAAACATCCCGTGAAGGTGGTTTCCGCTTTATGTACCGGTACCTAATTTTAGCGATTCGAAAATTAGCCGAAAAACGATTCGAATAATTTGCGATTCGATTCGATTTCGAATATTTGGTTCGCTTGGACAGCCCTACTTGTGGCGCATTAGTGGTCAGGTGAAGCCTCGAAGACTGCTTACCCATATATTTAATTCAGCACCACTCTCTTGTTAATAAAGAATCAGATGCTACCTAGCTTCACCCATAAGACATTGGAAATTTTATTATGTTTTATCCAATATATTAAAAGTAAAATAACTGAGATTGCGTTTCATTTCAAGTTTTAAGCAGTCTCCTGCAGCAACTTCGATTGAGTTCTTTCCAAACATGATCGCACACTGTTGCCACGAATTGGACGTGTCGAAGGTTGTACATTCATCAAGCTGAAGTAAAATATTCATTATAGGTACCAATGTATGACAAAGATTTGACCGAATCTATCAAACCCCTAGGTGGAATTTTGCTTTACGCACTTACAAAACAAGCTATGTAGTGTTGTATTTCAAAATTGGTTTGGTGGTCAAATTTAAATCCCTCACCCAGGGTATATCCGGAAAGAATCGGAGCAAAAATTGTGAATAAGCGTATAGAAAAAAAAAAAAATCGAATTCTGGCATTGTCCATGTTATTATATAGCAGAGATGGCGAACCTTTTTCCATGAATGGGTCAAAATTTATATTTTTATCACGGAACAGAGGAATGTGGGTCATAGATATTTAATTAATGTTCGTGTCTATAGAAAACTTGTTGCTGCATGTTCGCTTGCAAATCTTATAAGCTTCAGTTGGTGTTGTGTAGTGGGCTTTATACATGTAGCACTTTTATTAGGGACTACTAGACTCTTTATGGCACTCGATTTTATGAAATTCGTGTACAGAAACACGCATATGAATTACGCAATTATTTACGCCGCCAAAAAGTTTGGAGGGAATTCCACTCTGATTGAGTTATATGTTTCGTTCGGCTTTCAACCACATTAAGGCACTTTCACACTGCCCCATTGTTATTTCAGATTTCTCATTATAAGTCTGAAAGATTTTGTTTTCTCCACGGCATTGTAGGCGAGAAACTAATGAATGTAAAGTAGCATCTAGTTCTCGTATACCCCCAAAACAGTCTGCAGTGCTTTTTGGTTCATGCACATATCCGAAAAGGAACGCTGTAACAAGACGTTGCGAGAAATGAACAGATTAAATGGATTTTTTGTCACAAACGATGTCACAGCCAATAGCTGGTGAACACGTGCGGGCAGGATTGGGAGTTTTGAAAATTACTATACCGACCCAGAAATTGAAAATTTGAATTTTAGCGGTTTTGAGCCAGTTTTATCACTTATACGTCAGTATGTTTTATTGGTGCTCCTGAAATATGCTCACCAAGATGTCGTATAACCTGTGACCTAACCTGGTACACAACCTGAGTTCAGGTGGTGCGCATACTTCAGGAGGTCCTTTTTATTTCATTCGTGCCTTGGCGGGTCACCGAAAAAACACGGTGGGTCACTTTGTGACCCGCGGGTCAGTGGTTCGCCATCCCTGTTATATAGGCTACTTGTAAATGGAGACTGACAACACCACAAAAACTCATATAAAAGTTGTATAACTTCTGGAATTGGTATTAGGGCATTAAAATAATAACCAATCTCAATTTCTTCACAAATATTAAAATTTGCAAACTTGACATACCTCCAATATCGACCATATGAATATTCCATGAGCAAATCCACTGTGGGTAATTTTACCATCAGTTTTTGTTTCACAATCGCAAATGGATGAGATGTCAGTATTATTTAAATCAATAGCCATGCAATCGACAGATTCAGACAATGCAGTAAATCTGGTTTTGTTCATATTGATATGCGAAAGCGTAGTTGCCTGGAAGTAAAAATGAGGAATTTAACTTGGAAGATGTGTAAATGTAATTTGTGATAGCTGTTTTGGTGGCAGCAAGACTGCGGCTGTGTGTGCATCATTTCAGCAATTGCTTTCTTCTCACCTTGGATAATCAAAAATTGCATTAAGTGGATGGAGGAATACTTTTATGTGCCTATCAGACACAAACTAGGGATGTCTGTATCGCGGAACATTAAAGAAGATTTTCGTATCTTTCCTGGGGAGGAAAACCGATAAAGCAGCGCAACAATGTGGCAAAGGAGTCCGTAATCAATATAGGAATATTTGGCCAGTTAATTGTTTCAAATTCTTCGGTTGATGGTGGAGGAAGCCATGGCACCCTACAATGGTGAGGAGCAGCAATTCTCTCGCACTCAATTATATGCCCTGTGTAGCATTTGAACATGTGCACTGTGCAGGGTAATCAGAGGCATGCAATGTGTTACTAATGTGTCATCCATCGAGGCCTTCTACAATAAGAAACAGTCCAACTAAACTTGAGAATAGCAATGGTTTGTTATTGACCAGTTCAAATAATTTAAACAAGATTATGAATCTCAGAGTGATATGGTTACAACTATCAAGATATAAATAACGCTCTCGTTACCTGATATTCTTGCAGATAGTTCCCAATTTCAACCCCTATAGTTTGGTCAATATTTGGCACAGAACATCGCTGCAAAAGTTCCTCTGATTCGAAAACCATTCCCATCAGTCTAACTCTTGTTGGAAATATTTTCCCATTTGGATGAAGTAAAGTTCTAAACAAAATAGCTTCTTTTAGTTGGCTAATGGTTTGCACTGACTACTATATTGACGTCTGTGCAAATTGTATTACTTATTCCCATCAAATACACTAGCCCTGTTAGGAGCAAATGTGTCAATATATCAAATAAGTTACGATAAAGTTAAGACTCAGTTGGGTAGCTATATGGCTTGTTATTCATGCATGGGTAGAAGAAAGGGTGCTCCCGAAGTATGCGAACCAAGATGGCGGACATCGGAACGTAACATGGGTAACAGGTTAGGGTTAGGCGATAATTTTTTTCCAATTTTCCTTATTTTAGTCCTTTTATCAGTTCGAAGACTAGCCAAGAGCCTCCCGTAGTATTTATAGCTGAAATTATGACCTAACCCTAACCTAGTACACATATTACATTCCGATGTTCGCCATCTTGGTTCGCATACTTTGGGAGCCCCGAAGAAAGAATGGAAGACTTTATTACATGACAGCCACAGCTAAGAGTCTAAGTCAGATGTGGCATTAGCAACCAATTATTCTAAGATTTATTAACTATTTCTCAGTCCAAAACAAATAGATTCATTTGAAAAATATTTTTATGATTGAAAAAGCCCTCATTACATTTGAGTTTATATTACATTTCCAAATTCAAACTCATCGACTTTTAAACAAACATTTTTCTTGCAATTAGTCATACCCTATCAAATTTAAACACTGTGATTGAAAAATGACACAAACCTGGCATGAGCGATATTGTTAAATGCTTCTTGGTGTAAAAGTCCACTTTGTTCCACAATATCAACAAATACAGCATCATATTTTTCATTCAAGTTTCCATTACAAATGACATATTTCAAACCCAAATGTGTTGCGAATTTTTGCTCAGTATTAGTGCCAATAGAAAGACCTTTGTGTATGGATACACGTTTGTGGCACTGTGTAAGTTCTAAAGGCAATCTTGAGAATGGACTTGTCATATCTAAGACTGATATAAATGTGTCTTGTGATGTATGGCCAGAGTTTTCATCAGGTAGCTCTTCCATGTTATTTAATATTCCATTTGGTTGTATGCTGGCACCATTATGGTCACACATATTTCCATTTAGTGTTTTCGAAGTGGAATTTGTTGTTTCCATAAATCTCAAAATCGCTTTTTTACATGATTGTGTGAATTTTCTATCATTAAACAAAACTACTTTGTCTTCATGAAGAGAAAATACGGTCAAGTTTTGAAAAAAATTATCTGTCATTAAATTTTGCGGTAAAACTTCTTTCTTCATTGAAGTATCTTGATGAATGCAATTTTCCAGTACAATTTTGTTGTGGTGTTGAGTGAGGTTCAGTTCAACGATGTCAGATTTTTTTACGTGTAATCTCGTGAAGTTTATTTTGTTTGTTGTTGCGTCGATATGACGAACTGGATACACAGCCTGTTCCCAACAACATTCTGAATCAATCTCTGAAAGACAAAGCAAATGTGTTTAGAAATATATTGTCTGCTAATCCTTTAAATTGGTTCATGTCTTTCATACTATTTTCACGCAATTCCAACATACAACCTCTAGGTCAAGGGCCTCAAGCTTTCAGTGTTATGGAGCCTGTGAAAAGGTTGGCTATTATTCATGAAACCCACAGTGAATTTATGGAATTAAAAAAAAACATGTTGTTATTCATCGTTTGATGTTCCTGAGTAAGTTGAGATTACTTGGAACCTATTGATAATTTCATATCTGAATAATCAATCGCCTTGTTGCCACAGTTCGAACATATCACTGTAAAATTTTATCAATGTCACACTGGGCGATCATGCCCACAAAACTTACTTGTTGTGATTACATATTTTGGCACTTGGTTGTCATCCACTGCAAGATCAAAGCACAAAACTACAGCATCAAGAAAACCATCTGCAGTAATTGGTAGTTGGATATTTATTGTCGTTGGTTTTCCTTCTGCTATGGAGGAAATCTGTTGTGGATCATTGAAATTGACTTCTTGTATTGTATGATAATTGGAAAGCAGTTTGTGTTTGATTCTGGATATTCGTTCTGAGGTGTAAGGTTCAGGTTGTGAGCCATCACTCTGAAAACAAAGATGTGGATAGAATCATATTTGACACTTGACAAGTATGAGACAGAAAATTATACATCTGGTATAGCATTTTGGCAGAGTGAGTTTATGTGATGAACAGTATTATGTACCAGTGTTGAGTAGAAGTCCTTGAATCCAGAGCAGCGAGTCAAATTGACATATGGATCATCCAAGTCTTGAGTCTTTCAAATGGAGACTTGAGCAAAGCCTCCTGAACACTAGATAGCTAGAACTCCAAAAAGTCCGTTAATGTTGAACAAACCAGACATTTTTAGTGAAAGAGATGGTTTGGTAATGCCTGGAAGAAAACCTTTTTTAAACTCTTTTGCTCTTGTGCGTAATTAGTCATCAGATTACATTAGTTTCCCTTTTTACGCCATTAAAAAGGGAGCAAATAAGAAACTAATGTAAAACATACAAAAAAATTAGTTCCAAGCATTTCCTCATTGTCAGGTTGCAATCCAACACCAACATTACTCGTCAGCAATATATTATTTGATTCTTCAGTATTTGGTGTGAATTCGAATGTAGTGTCACCACTGAAAATTGAAGAAAATAGCTTGTGATAGAAATTATATACATGCTTATAGGTTTTAAAATCTGAAATTTATTCATTATATTTCGAAGAGGAATTTTACTGCAATCGCATGAAATCATGATTTTGTTGCCAGAGCGAGTTTTAGTTGGGAAACTGAAATTTTTGAGTTAGGATTGGAAATGAAAATTTTTGAACAAACCAATGAATAACATTTTAATCGGATGAGTAATAATGATTAATCATCACGATGAATAGGAAAGGGATGATGAGAGTCGTTAGGATACACATTCGAGGCCAGTGTCGAATAAAAATGCAAAAGTATATTCATATGTATTTCAATTACAGAGACTAAAATTTTACCATAATTTATGTTCTTTTATGAGTGCAATGAGAATCACGAATTGACCAAAATCACCACTCTATTGCTAATTGGTATGAATTGAAAATTCATTGCAGAGAATAGCTGCATTGCATCCAGAATAGTTTTGTTTTATCTCGGCCGTACATGTTGGGAATAATAGGATATCATGGTGGTATCTTAGTACAGTAGTAGGTTATATAGCAGGGGTCGGGAACCTTTTTGCCATAAAAGGTAGGCCTACAGTTTTTCAATTGCATTTCCGTGCAAGCCATACAGCATTTTTCTTTCCCTGATCATGTCCTAATTTTATACCCGAAAGTCAACACATAAAATGTCTCAATATACATTTAATGTGACTTCTGATGCTGCTTGTTGTCGCTAAGGGCATCGGACGAATGCTCACATGCAACACATGTTGAAATTCACTAACTAATAGTTTCTTTCTAATAGGCATATCTGTAGTGCTTTAAATAATCCAAATATTACAAATAAACAGTACAAACAGACGGAAGGTTTCCTCTTTTGCCCGCAATTTTATCGCTTGGTGCATCACAAAATATGTTCCAGGAATCCCCTGGTTTTGTCACAATGCCTGTCTGGCAATTCTCTTACCATAACATAGACAGGCGCTGAGCACGTGTTCTCAAACGTATTGGCAAATATTCTCCCAAATTTGGCCATACCACTGTATGTATATAGTTTGAAATCTGATAACAAGAGTAAGCTTAGCCTTGGAATATCAGATTTTTCAGGGAGCCATCGGCCGAGCCCAACCACTATTATATAGCATGGATTTGTATTAAGTTATGCTTCGTAGTTGGTAAATCGTGAAATTCACTGTCCTTTCCTTTAAAAAGTCTTTGCCATGCCCATAGTGAATTTCGACATGACAATATCTTTAATGCACAAAGTTGAAGTAACATCAACCAAAAAATGTTTGTAAAATATCTACCAGTGTTTCTGATGTATATCTTCACTTTCAACACAAATCACATTGACAATAACTTTTGATGGAATCACAGATCCACCTTCTTCTGGCGGAATTAAAAGTTCTTTCCATGCATGGTCGATCGTTTTAATAATTCCTTCACCAAATACTCCAGCATCGAGTGTCTCACTTATCACAACAGATGCTTTGTGAGGTAGAATATTAGATCCATCTGAATGTGTAAAGTAGTCATAACATTCAAAAATTGTATATATTTTATTACTGCTGATGGTTAATTAAACAATAAGTTTAGAATTTTTATATTTATGTTGGGGAAGGCTGATAAGACAGCTTATCCATATTAAAATATCATAGTCCCTTGTCAAGTTACATTACAGTGGTTCTCAACCTTTTATGGCTCGTGGCCCCCATTCGGAGGCTTCTTGCACTCATGTCCCCAACGTTTATCATTCCAGTGGTATTTATTAATAAAGTGTTATTTTGATTGGTAGATTCCAAATCCCATTATGTTCAAACAATACATGCTCAACAAAGCGAAAACACCTGTGAAATAACCTTATGAAACAATGAAAATAAGAAGCACGGGGATTTTCTGGTACAGGGAAAAAAGATTGCAAATGAAATTGCATCAAAATCAATTTGGTGCCTGGTATTGTGGCCCCCTTCCAACTGCTACGAGGCCCACTTGGGGGGCCAAGAATACCTGGTTAAGAACCACTGGGTTACAAGTTCAGGATGGGTATGGTAACAGACTAACAGTTAACCAGAATACTGACATTTAAGTTAACCATTTAGCAATGTTGCAATAAATAGGGATCTGAAATATCTTCAACAATGAGATGTAATTTTTATATTTATCCTGGGAAGAGAAAGGCTGATAAGACAGCTTAATCATAAGTCTTGTCCAATAACAAGTCCATATTAGGCATGGGTATAAATTTGCTTCAGATACTGTATTTGGAAAAAACAAATGAACTACAAATGTACTGCTCATTGAGAACAATAAGCAGAGGTAACACCTCAGTACAACACAGCAACAGATTTACCGTAGATACATTACAGAAATAAATACACAAACCATTTTCCTGTAATTGAATATCTGTCGATAAACAATTTAATGAAACAATTTGATCTCTAAATCCATTGCCTTCTATTATTTCTTTGCCAAGATTACTCATAGTTGGTGACATTTCACAGGCAGTAACAGTCATGGCACCATGTTTTGCTGCAAACATACTGTCATAAGAATGGTGTAATAATTGTGGCAATATGATTACGTAAAACATAGTAAAGATATTAGAAATGAGAATGAATGTAACCTAGATAGTGATTCGTTTCAGATTGGTGTTCAACTATCTAAACTTTTTTTGCCATGAGAAACAATAGTAATTATTTTCAATGCGTTTCAATGCATTCCAAAATATTGATAAAACGTGTACCTGAAAAACAACTCTTCAGATCTATGACTTAAATGTCCCACACTTTGACTCTGATGTCCTAAGACAGGGGTGTGCAACCAGCAGCCCTCGGGCCAAATGCGGCCGGTAAGAAAAATATTGTGCGGCACGCGGATAAGTGCCAATTTTGAATGGTATCTATTCCTATGACGCTACAGTGGTTTTTTGTGCCGGCAAAAGCTGCAATTACTAGAAAGCCTATGTCAAATAAAGATGCGGACACGTGGTTTCATACAGTTATTTGTATCTGGCCCTCCGGTATTAATTAAAGGTTGCACACTCCTGTACTAGGAGATCAGAAAATCCAAATTTTGATTTTTCTTTGACACTAATTTAAACTCTTACCTCATAATCCCTGTGCCAGATCCAATGTCTAAAACATGAACCTCCTTTCCCTGTTCCTTCATTTTTAATATTTCATCTCGAATCGCTTCATGGAATTTGAAATTTCTTTCCTTGTCATTCAACATAGGATATGTCCAATTGTCAATCATTTCTCTACATAGGTTATCAATGCATTCCAGGGTCGACATATTTGAAGGGTTCATTTGAAGAGCTCTAAATCCATTTGTTTAAAGATTTTAAATTATGTTGTGCAACAGGAAGCAAGCAAATAAAAAGACATGGCTCAATAAGTTATTGAAATTAAAATTTAGAATGTCCGAAGTTAAATTCAATAATTTAAATTCATTTTCATAGTTGTTTTAAATAATTACATAGAATGCTACTTTATTATATGCAAAAAAAGTATAGAAGTCATGGAAAAAAATAAAAAAGAGATGAAAAAAAAATTATAAGATGAATCTGGGAAAGAGACATTGACAAATACCATTACAATACCGTTTGTAAGTGCTATGAGCAGGCAACTTCTGTTCCATTCTAAAAAATAATTCAGCCATCAACAGATGAAGATTCTCACACTCGTAAAATGCGTCACATCCTAAAAAAATTAAACATACAAGTAATATTTTCAAATTTTTGTTTCAAATTGGTATGCATGATAAATATTCTGGGTTAAAAAAATATTCAACTTTTTAGGTATCACTATTATGATGCAAGAGATCAAATCCATGCATCTGAAACAATTAAATATCGAGTAGAAAAATTATATGATGATAACAAACTCCTCCTTAGCAATCGCATTCATTGAAAGGGTAAGTGAACATTTCAGATATAGGAATGTAGCTAATATATGAATGTAATTCAACTCTCTGTAGTAGTACAAAGTGTGTCTAAAAAATGTCCAATTTTTTTTAAATTGCAAAGGGAATTCATCGATACCATATACTGTTTTGGCCCTAGAATGTGTATTAAATGGAATAAAAATACTACAATTACCGATTGAAAACAACAAACCTGGTCAAAATATATTGAGAACTAACTTCATACCAAAATTGAAATTGTAAAGGGACTTTATGGACACCCTGTAAATTGGGTCATGAACACAAGCTTGAGGATACACTTTAGCCAGTATCATACATTTTGATGAAAACTGCAAATTTGATATATAATGCAATGGAGTGCTGAATTTCAACAAATTAGTAATCATTGTATACATAAAATCACCTTGTTGATAGAGTTCTATCAGCTCTTTAAATTTTCCTAAACTAAAAAGTTTTGCGCTCCAATGTTTCCACGTTTCACAGAACTCTTTCTCCACAGAAGCTTTTACAACAGGCGCAAGTTTTATAACAAGCAGATAAAAAGCGTACGACTTGCCATAATCTTCTCTTATAAAACATTGCCTGGCTTCTCCTAAGTACCCTCTAACTAAGTGCCTAAGTTGGCTGTCATGACTTGCCATTATTGTATGTTAAGATACCCGCTAATCTAACAAAAACACAAATAAACAAGAATATTATTGTTTAATAAATGTAATGTACGGTATGTATAGAGAATCAAAATTGGCGAAATAAAGCATCCTCACAAAGTCGGAAATTAAGAATTGTCTTCCTTGAGACAAAGGGAGAAATATTTGCAGAGCAAAGTTAACAGAAAATTGATTGAAGATTGAAAATTATAATAATTTTACCAGCCTAATATAGGCATTCAAAATGCTTTTTTACTGAAATGGCACCTCAGAGCTCCTTTTTTTCTATAGTACTATCTTTTAGATTAATAATAGTAGCATTGATAGTTAGGATTGAGAGGACATCAGATGATATTACAGATATAATGAAGGAACAGAATTCTGTTAGGTAACATGTTCAAGGTGACATCGGGCTACCTATGACTTTGAAGAAAAGGAAGTGTAATGAATGGATAGACATGGAACAAAATTGAATAATACGTGGGTCAAATTAAAAATATTCGAACATGAATATATATATGGTAACTCACTTTCAGAATGTTATTAATTAACGAACACAATTCAAAACAATAGATGGGTATATGCACTTTTAATTAACCATATCCTGTCAAATTTGCTTTGATTTATTTGATTGCAGTATTCACCTAATTGTATTGGCATCTATGATATTTAAGAATAAATCTGGAATACATTGGGTATAGGAATTAGGAATGCCTAGATAAAATAATTCGGGTGATCCATATTTCTTCCAATTTATTGAAATTTATTTTTATTAAGGAAATTTTAAATGAGTATACTCAACAGCAAAATATTCCACAATTTTGTAATATTGGGATTTGGCAAAATTACAATTTTGATTTTCAAATACCGATCAAGATAAAGTATCCAAGCAACCCCAATTGGGGTTTCCATTCTCCGTCGGATAAATTTGTCAGAGCCTTAAATCATACTTGATATCAATAATGGCATGAAATAAAAATCCAGCCAAAACACATATAGAAATATTCAGATTAAGGTACTCCTGAAGTATGCGTACCAAGATGGCTGATACGGCAACGTAGTATGTGTACCAGGTTGGGGTTAGGCCACAATTTTATTCAAATTTTCCACATTTTAGTTCTATTACGAGTTTGGGGACTAGCCAAGTGACTCCCGTAGTATTTGTACCTAAAATTATGGCCTAACCCTAACCTGGTACACATACTACGTTTCAGTGTTCGTCATCTTAGTATGCTCACTTCAGGAGCGCCCAAATTAAAGACTAGTACTATTAGAAAAGTACACAAACAAAAGAAATGTATACATCACAGAAAAGATAAGAACAACAATACAAAATACAAGAAATATTATTATTAAAGTGCAGGCAACCATTTCCAAACAGTTTGGAATCATTGTAAATTTCGAATATTGACGAAAAACTTTATTCTACAAAATTCCAAAGTTTACGAATAAAACTGCCATTATGATTTTTATTTCCAAATATTCATAAATTCGAATTCAAATTATTTACACCATTCTGTAAATAATCTTCTTCTAAAATAATAAAGAAAGGAGTGTACTAGAAAACTCCTACAACATTGTAGCAAATGGCAATGAAATGTAACAAGGCACGCTTCATGAAAACGTAATCAAAAGCTACATAGAAAAACAAGTAATGCTGAACATCAAAATCATTATTAAATAGTCAGAAAGAGAAAATATATCGCAGTGGTGATGAATATTATAATACAAGGAGTTTAATAATACTGGAAGAGGATACACTAGCCATGATTAAGCTTCATTAGTAAATGGACTTTACCAAACAATATTAAATGAAGTAATTTAATTTATTTACATATAAGAATTGGTCAATTCTTCATTCTAAGAATAACTTGACATATTTTCATTTTTACATATGGAATTTCAGGTATGGTCGCACAAAAAACAATATTTATACAGACTGCTTATGAATTTAAAAATTTAATTTTTTAAATGAATACAATATTACAATGAAAATTTCCTGTTAAACATACTTCATTTCAGAATAGGGCTCTTCAAACTGGGGTCCCGACCGCACGGTGGGTGACGCAAAAGGGGTCAATGGGGGTAGCAACAAAATTTTTTTTCCACACTAACTTACGGTATGTTGAAACAAAATATCGATCAAATTTGGAAACGATACTGAGACGCACCATCACCGAAATAGTGCCAATGATCGATCTTTTGTGTGAAAATAAGCAATTTCGGTAAATGTATTATCTATGTTATTATTATCTTTTTTTTTCGCTGTATTGTTTTACTTATTTTTATTTCAGTTCACAGAGGTTGCGAAAAAATTTGGCCTTGCCAAGTGGGTCGTGATCAAATACGGTAGGTTGAAAAACACTTCAATACAAGACTCAATATTTAATACCGTAATTCTAATTTGAGAATGTATTCGAAATATTGGATTGATACAGTTTTGGTCATTCCTTGACTCTTTTACTCGGCTGAATAATAGTTAAAGAAAAAAAATCACATTATGGTATAATATAGCAAAACGAGAAAAACAAAAGAAAATCGAATATTAAAATTCAGGTAGCAAATTTTTTATTACAGAAATATTTTTTCGGGTTAAAAGAGTCAAAAAAATTCCTTACCCTGTTATCAAGTTGAGCTAATGAAAAATGACTTCATTTCGAATTTATTCAATATTAATGAGTCAAAAAATTTTTTAAAATATAGTTAGATTATAATTATAATCTAATTATATAATAATCATTAATATAATTATCTTTGGCATTCCTATTATCATAATGCCTCTCTGAGCTATTCATTTATGAAAGAATAATCCCAAAACAAACAAGAATTATTTTTGTTTTTTCAAATTTACGTCAAAATATTTTAGTTCAGGACTTTGATTTAACCCAAAAAAATCGGTCAAGCGTGCATTACGGAATCACAGGTTTATTTATTTATCTACAGTTCACACATGGAACAGTATAACCAAGTTCGTAACATTATGTTGAAATAAAATACAATTTCTCAATATGTTATGCTAGTAGATCAATATTCTGATTTATTTTGAAAAGGTTTATAAGCACGTGAATGATGAATACAGGATATTGTATATGTTGTAAAAGGTCGGGCAATGTTATTGCAAGTAACGTATTCATTACTAAGGAAACGTTGCATCCTAATATAGTTCAAACTTCCAGATATAAGTTTATATAAAGCTTGATTTACCAGTAAAGAACCATATATAGAATTTACTAGCAAGAAAAAGGATTTACAAATTTAAAATAATCTTAGCTGTCTTATATACCAAACCGAGCATGATTTAAAGGTGATGTATATAAAATAAGTGCACTGTAATACTGGCCCATGCTTGGAAGATATTCCTACTTTTAATATTCAGACATGATGTAAATGACACCGCCCAAGATTTGGGAAGCCTGTTTTTTTTAAATAAACATGGCCACATCTGATTGAAATAATAATTCAAAATTCGTTTTGAAATATCTAAACTAGGATTATACTATATTCAAAATATTAATTTGTTAAATTGTATAGATATTGATTTTCCTTCTAAACTTCTAAAATTTAATTTCAAAATATATACCCATGAAAATATATGTACGAAATTGAAACTTTCATCCTGAGTGGCTCTGGCTGGACTAACTATCGAAAGATTGAATTAGTTTTATGCCCACATACAAAGTAACGCAGTCAGAAATTTCATATTTCACCAATAATGAACTTGTCAATCAGTAAATGCAATCTCACTAAGTACTAGGTGTAATTCCAATAAAGACATAATCAATAGTTATAATACGATAGATTGCACAGCACACTAAAATAAATATTTTATGTAGGATACAACATAATTTCAACTTCGTTTTTAAAGCATTGGCAAGAATTTGGTAACAGGATATAATGAGTTCAAACAGAACTAACGACCTGATAATAATTCATCTAATCCTCTTAATAATATTGGCTCAAAAGTTATAGAATACTCTGATAAATTAGTCAAGACCGATGCAAGCGCTAAAATTGCTTGTGAATTGCACATGAATGCATGTCTTTCATAAAGTTGTGTTCCTTGTCGAATTACTGACGAAATACTTTTCAGCCATTCTGATAGGCAACGTTCTCTTAATCCAACACAAACGAGGACTTGAAACATGTCATCTTTACCTAATCCCCGTTCTTGTTGGCTTTTGATTATGTTTTGCAGAAATAGTAATCGGTTTGTGATCGCTTTAACATCCGCTGGACCGGTTTTTGAAAAAACAGGTCCTTCCTCATCTCGAGCACTGAATTGTGGTGAGTTACGCCCCGAAGAGGATTGAGATGGTGCAGTGATACTTCGCTGAGGACTTGTGTTTCGTATGAAATCCCCTAAATTGTTTAATGTGGATCTGTATAGTGATTGTTCTTGTTTTACAGCTAAAGACCTTCCTGATAATATATCACAAGCCGTAGTAATAACATCCCAAGCGTAAATCTGCTTTCGAAAAAATCCAGCGCTCTTCAAACCATGTTGAAAAACTTGTATTAAAACCGGTATAAAGACCATTTGGTTTACATAAAAGTGGTGTGAGAGCTCCTGGACATAACGTATCTTGCGATGGGCGATGAAAATGCTTCACGACGGCGTTGACAGCTTGTCCCACATAATCTCTCAAGTCATCGATAAGGTTTTTTTGTACAACAGGGTAGACGCCGAGCTGATTTTTACCTGATGAAACTTCATGTATAAAGATATTAAGATCCTTAGCATGAGGTATTGTATGAGCCAGCAGCAGTCTTTGTGTGCTGCCGTCATCGATGCTACTTCCCAACCAACGTCCACAAGGTAAATAATATGCTTGCCCAGATACTTCATTCCGAACAATAGCATATTCAACGAGCCATTTTGGTAGCATGCCAGCATTATCATGTCCAAGTATCATCGTTGTGAGGACCCCAAGATTTTGCTGTTGAAAACTGAATTCCAGACAGTTTTTAGGAACAGAAATTACGCCTGTGCATGCAAGTTCTCCTGATATCATTATGTACACATTGGCGGAAGTTTGAGAAATTCCACTTAGTTGCTTCTTCGGAAAAATCCAAACACGGTAAGGGATTGTAGTTTTGGTGAAAGAATTAGTAAAACAAGTAAAATCAACGGCATTTAATGATAAAAGATGGTACAGAAATTGTTCACGCTCATCATCACATCTCAACAATGAGTATCGCTTGTACATTGTTTGCAACAAAGGTCGATTTGATAAAAGTTTTTTCAAATGAACTTGAAGTTGCTTCTGTTCTAATGAAAGTCGTATCCATGCTCGGCATTTTCCAACATTTGTTTTGACTTCACGTAATTGTCTTATTCTTTTAATATTACTAACAATATCAGTTGGTATGGGAGAAATATATTGACTGTCAGAAACCACGACCGGCTGAGAAAATCTGCGATCTAATCGGACCTCGTCTGCAAATTTTCTAGCTGACTGGGGAGAAAGATGTAAAGGAGATTCTGGCGTCATTGATAACCTCCCAGTTGACTGAGTATGTTGTCCCAAGCCAGTAAGCCTAGCCCCACCAACTGTATTCATAACGTTGTGTGTTGGAACTCTCATTATCCTTACAGAATCTTCTTCATATCTTAGTAAATGTGACCAAAGCGCTGATTTTCCAGTCTTTTGATTAGAATGTAATCCATGACACCATATTCTTTCTAAAAGGTCGCATAAACTACCAATGAGTGTATTTTCCTCGAGGCCCATAATGCTAGATTCTGTGTGTCCTAGTGCGACAGCTTCTTGTCCCATTTTTCTCACAACCAATTTGTTAGTTTTTCCTTTCACGTCTTTCAACAATTTTTCAAGGAATTTCCAGTTAGTTTGCGCTATCATTTCTGGAGAAAATTCAGACATACTTGGTTGCCTTGCTAATCTTTTCTTTGTGCGTTGTAGTTCCTGCCATTCTGCATCAGGATCAATAGTTGACGATTGAAACACTTTTTGCTCAGAATCTTTCATTCTTTCTTGGAGCAACGCCGGACATAATATATTAGGAAATACATCGTTTGATTTCACTTCTTCTTTATCAGTTTCATCTTCTTCTATAATACCCATATCAGGTTTCTGTAGCAATCGGAGTCTGGGATATCTTCCATTTAAGTTATTGTATCTTCTTCTCAGCGCATTTTCAGAATTTTTCATCCATTTTTCTATGCTTAATTTCGCGCTTTGTCCAGCCGATATAATAGACACTGAACGATGAAGAAAATCTAACCCAGGTACTTGTGGAGTAATATCCTTTCCCCCCTTTTCTGGACGAGGCATGCTTTTCGCCTGTTTTATTCTATCGTCGAAAAGCCTTAAATTTGGGTCCTTCACAGAATTATCAAATTGTGATAAAATTGAGCTGTCAACTAGAGTAGCAAACGGTTGCGTTTCTAGAAAAGCAGACAAGAATTTTAAGTGACATTCAGGTTGATCTGATAGAAATGAAGCTTTATCAAAATTTTGCTGTGACTCGCGAGTAAGAAACCATCCCTTTCCGAGATCACTTTCGTCGACATCTGGGTGGATGACAAATTTATCGTATTGTGAAAACAACGACACTAAACTGCCGAAAATAGCTTCTCGTACTTTGATATTAAAAATTTGTTCCTGAATTTCTTTTTCATCTGCTTTCATCGTTTTTAACTCCGATACTGGGGAAGGTGGAGGAGTAGAAAACTTGATCGGAGAAATACTGACAGCATGAAGATTTTTTAACTCCTCAACTGGATCAATTTCATTTTCAACTTCAATACTTGCATCGTTAGTTTCGGTTGATGGGATTTTGTCTGAAATCTGAACATTAATTTCACGACCATCTTCGTAAACTTTCGAAGTTCTCTTATGAGCGTTTCTGCGATGTAATGATGATGTAGAACGTTGAACACTTTTTTCTTTGTCAGGAACTGGTGGCACAATTTCTGCATCCTCACTCAAATCATCTTTCACTATATCAATTTTTTCGATCTGTTTCAAATGCTTTTTATAAAACATATTCAACTGTTGGGTTAATATAATTTGATTAGGAAAATTCGGCTGATCCTCTGGACAATCAACCGCACCTTTGTCAAGATCAACAAAACATTGATCAAACTCAGAACTCAATCGGTTTAACTTTTCTTCAGAAGAACCAAGAGGAATACCCATAATATAAGGAACAGGGGCATCCAAAAAATTATGGGCAAGTTTGTACGGTAGCACAGGAGCATATGCATGCAGCCACTGGAATGGAAACATTAGAGAAGTTACTGCTTCAGCAACTTGCATCAGTTGATGGCAGTCTTTCGAAACAAATATAATTTGATGTTCCAGAAAAGCGCTTGTTAAAACGCGTAAAACATTAGCGGGTCCGCCAACAAGGCTAAATAACGATGATAAATGTATGTCTATAAAAGGAAGTTCTGTGATTGATGGATGCTGTACGATAATTGGCTTTTCTGAGTTCCATTTCAGTGCAAGACTATTTCCCATTGATGGTATTGGCATTTCAAATAAAAGATTGTAAATATAACTATCAATCGGCAAATTTGTGCCTTTTAGTTCTCTCTTTTCTGTAACAAATATTTTGTACAACATCCGTAATAGTTTTTCAGCCGTATTTATGTACGAATGCCTACTACTGAGACAAATACATTTTTGAGCGTATATTTTTTCGTTATCATTCTGTGAAGCATCATCTGCATTTTGAATACTATTTCTAATTTTTTCTATAACTGTTTCATCAGAAATTGCTTCAAAATAGGTCAAAACATGTCCGTAAGTTCGAAACCCGTCATCCCTCGTTGATAAGAATGAGTGATAAACTGGTTCATCATTTTCCGGCTCCCCCATTCTGACTGAAATACCTCCAGGATGGCATAATTGCATCAGTGTACCTTGGATGGATATATTCCATGAATTTTCCGGGACGTTTGTAGGAAAACGGTATAAAACAGAAGGTCTGAAGGCAGTATCCAATATATTTTCATCATCCTTGCCAACAGCAGGTACGCGCAGCAAACTTCTTCTCGAAATCCCGGATACAAAAAAATAATCAAAAATGTTACTTTGCCTCTTTTTGTTATCCATTTCCATTGTAGTTATAGCAGATGTCATATTGACAATGGCACCAGTGACAATAGTACACGGTATCAATGTATTTTTAAAATATAATTACGGTACATATTGTTACTGGTAAATCTGTTGAAAAATGGAAGAAAATAATAAAGCACCATCAACAATTATTCCACACAAACTGCTCTAACAGTGGTTGAAAATGTCAGGCCATATTCTATACAAAATGTGTGACCTTAATTAAAATTAAAGACCAAAGCGAAATCCAAAAATTGGCACTTGGCAGTGTAAAGTAAAGTAATGCACTATCAGCATGAAACTGCTCTCATATTTAACTTGCTTAAATTACAGGCAGAACACAAATTGGCAGCCCAAACCATATCAATTATTATTACTATTATGCAAACCTTTCAAATAAAACATTACATAGGTAAATCAGCTCAATAATAAAGATGAAATTACCGGAAAATGAAGCCTCAAAATAGGAATAGAGCCAGGAACAAACAACCTACATTGAGGTATATTTTAGAGGTTTTGTGGCACTTTACATATTAGAAAGTCCAAACCGAACAGTATTCAAATAATACAACAAGGAAGTTACATATTAGAAAGTTCATACTGAACAGTATTCAAATAATACAACAAGAAAGTTAGCTGAAGTTATTAGCAATGATGTGCTAAACTCATCAAAAGGTACCAAATACATTAATTAGGTTATGTTGTCTCTATTTTAAATAACTAACAGTCTTTCAGTTTTAGCATTTAATATTTATAATAGGTACATAAGCACTTTCGGTAAACACCTATGCAAGTAATGAAATTACTGTTCAAATAGAAAGTGATGACATATTTTCACATGTCATATTTACACCTCAAAGGACAAAGTTCATTTCGTAAACATAGGTTGAACAAAAGTTGAAAAACATATTGAAATAACAGCTGGCTTTCCTGTTGATTAGAAATCGAATGCAAGTAAACTATAGCAGAACAAAATTTAACCTAAAATGAAGGCCAAAAGTTGATTGAAATTTATACATTAATATGACTTGCTATAGAAACATGGCAATTAAATATTGAGAATTCAAAATAAAATTCTATTTAAAAATTTCCAGAAAGTTTTATATTTATATTGCTCAGTTCAAAATAATTGAGCCTGAACATGGACACAAACATGATTCGATTATTAGGCTTAATTTGGAATAATGAAAACAATGAAAAATTTCCTACCCAAAATTTGGGTATGTAAATTTGAGTCACTTTTTTAAAAATAAAAAAAAGGTGATTGACATACGATAGGTCACAAATAGTATGGCAGTGGAACAGAGGAAAACTAAATGATTATTGTAATTAAACTTGATTGCTAATCACTGAATCCCATTGTACAGATGTATTTACAGAATATTTAACGAAAAACACATAATAGGATGACTTCTGTTAATGAGACAATTGTTGCCTGTTGGCCACACTTTTATCCTTTTACCGAGAAGGTATCACAGTTTTGATGTTCATCGCTGCTAGTTCGTTGACTAAGTATCTATACACTGATGGAATATCAACTAAAACAACATTATCTGATGAACCACACGTCAAACATTTCCATGTTTTGCGACCGAGCCCATAAAGACGGCCTTTGTTCAAATCTCGCTCCAAAATAGGCGATAGTATGCTGCCACATTTCTCACATAAATGGCCCCATGTTTGATCCGATGATAATAAAAGCCTGTCATAGTTTAATATAGCACAGCCATGTGCGGCCAATGCATCTCTCTCCATTTCACCAAACCTGATTCCGCCAGCACGTTTTCGGCCTTGCACAGGCTGCTGCGTCATTTGATCAACTGGGCCAGTTGTGCGAACTTGAAATTTGTCAGATACCATATGTCTCAGTCTTTGATAATAAACAATTCCAATAAATATATCCGCTTCTAGTTCAAGGCCGGAAACGCCACTATACATTCTTTCAGTGCCATAATAATTGAACCCTGCTTTTCGTAAGGTTTTACCGAAATGGTCAATAGCTGAATCGTTTTCTGAAAATGAAAACGGTGTGGCATCATATGGTTCACCATGCATAGCCGCTGCTTTTCCAGCCATAGATTCTATCATCATTCCGATTGTCATACGAGATGGAAATCCATGGGGATTGAATATGATATCAGGAAATAGACCAGATTCTGTAAATGGAACACTTTCAGCGGGCCAAAGTTGAGAACAGATACCTTTTTGGCCGTGACGACTTGCAAATTTATCTCCAATAATCGGGTTGCGAGTTATTCGTAAAATTATATACACCCTTTTGAACAATCCTGTTCCTACGTTATTGCTCAAAACCTTGATGTTATCAACATATGCTGTTTCTTGTCCTTTGTAAACTTGAAGATGAAATGTTTTAGTACCGGCATTCACGTAGCTGTAATAGGGATCTCCGTAAACAAGCTTTTGGCCAACTGCTGGTAAACCGTCAGCTCCTAATTTTCCAGTCTTCACCAATTCCGCAGAAATTTTATCAGATGGCAAAGTTCCGAATGTAACTTTAACTGAAATGTCATTTACTATTTTCACCAAATCAATAAGATCACCTTTATAAATAGAACCATATGCAAAACCACGGTCAAAACTAGCTTTATTCAGGATCATGGCATCTTCCATATCAAATCCGGTATAACTGATGACAGCAACCACTGCATTCGTTCCAAAAGGAAAATTATCCATTTTAAAATGATCGTACATGTATGGTCGTACCATAGGCGATTGTGGTGTTTGAATTCTGTATAATTTATTATCTGCTCTGTAAGACAATGCTTGGCATGGTGTTCCCATGGTCTGTTTACCCATCTGACATTGGTACATGTTCCTAGGGGATTGATTGAAATCAGAATACGGCGTCATGCTCGCCACAGCACTAAGTGTAGAGTTTTGAACAAGCTCTTGATGTGTTGTATGCTCATGTGCTTCTTCAGGAATGATACAAATATCCATGTATGGCTGTTCAAATGATCCGATCATTTCCACGTTTCCTGTCTCTAAATTCAACACTGGTCGGACCATGCGTGCTACGTCTGTTAGTAGGAAAAGAGCAGGAAATTGTGATATTTTCTCAGTTCTTTCAATCAAGCAAATTTCAAGGGTGTTCGGTATTTTATCTTCCCCATTTGATTTCTTTGTTCTCAAGATATCGGCTATGGGCTTTGCTAGTTTTTTTGATAGCCACCCCACTAAAAGCCCATCTAGTAAAACTGGGTAATAATTAGGACCTTTTATTTGACATGAATCTGGACCCACCATACCAAAATTATATAGCATCGGTACAATAGCAGCATTTGATGTACGATTCGTTACCACTTCACACATGTACGCTAAATGATTCATTAAACCACAAGGAGACCCATCGGGGGTATGTACAGGACACAAAAAGCCCCATGATTCGGGGAGTAATTTTCTGACTTCAGTAGTTTGCATTTCCGCAAAAAACGATCCTCTATGTAAGCATCTAAAATGCGATATGTATCGCATAAAATTGAGCTTGTCTGCAACGACAGCTAGTCCAGTGGTTTGCTGAAGACCCAAACCTGATTTTGTTGTGACGTTTCCAGTAGCGAGAAGGTAGGACATAGCATTGGATACTTCAGGTACAGATCTCATTGCTTTTTGTATTGCAGATGACGTTAGCATTGGCAGACCTTGATTTTTATTCAGCTTAGATTGCTTTTCAATAAGCCTAGATAGAGTAAGAAGCCATAGAACCATTTTCTCACGCAAAACCATTTGATATAAATGGCCAGGTAAAAGCACCTCTTGGTTTTGGACCGAATCCAAATTATCTGGGACGCATTTTTTCATAGCAAGATCGAACACTTTTTGAGCCATGTGACAAAGTAAATGAAACTTATCTTCATTGTTTTTCAAGTGAACAAGAACGTTGTGTTGCAATAAATACTTCGTTATTTCAGCGTCGGTTGTCCAAGGCGGCTGACTTAGTTTAATACGAAATTTTCCTCCAACGTACTTTGTGAAATCTTTATGCAAATGTAGATTAAGTGATTTTGCTTGTCGGAGCATATTTTGAATGCACGTTTTGAAATATGTGTCATCTTCTTTGGTTTTTGTTAGTTCTTTATATATTTCAACATCAGATTTATCAACGAGGCATTTAAGCATAAATATTAGTGGAATGTAGAACATTTCTTTGCGATGAAAAATACAAATGTTTACAGTGCCATTTCGCAAGTAGTGAACAACCATATTGGCAACATTCAAATCTGGAGACACGCTTCTCATCATAATGCCAAATTCTGTATAGTTAGGGCCTCTGTTTTTCCATGAATGTCTGACAACACCAAGAGGAAAGTTACGTCTTTGCATTACTAACATACGGAGAACTTTCTCGTTTCCATTCACAATAAAATATCCACCCATTTCTTCTGCTTCTTCTTGTTTTGCAACTAATTGTTTAGGAGTTAACCCACTCAAATTGCATGAATTTGATTTCACCATTATTGGAATAACACCAAGCATGACAGGAATATTCGCTTGTTTTATTCCATCAATAGAATACGAAAAGGTAGCGTGAAGTTTAGCGTGATATGTTGACCCACGCTGTCGACATTCTGATGGATATACAGCTAATGTTCGACAATTACGAAACCCTTCATCAACACGTGGTTTCTCGATAGTTGCATCCATGAATTGAACAGAGAAACGACGATTTTGGACAAGAGCTTGAATGGGAGGAATAAGTCTGGCCGAGTATTTGATACCAGTATTTAAAAACCAGTTGAAAGAATCGACATGAGGTCTGGTTAAAGCTTGTAAAGCCTCCGTTTGACTTTCTCCAAGTTTAGAAAAATCTTTCACAGTTAAATTCTTCAAAGATGGAGTGGTACTTGATGGAAGTTTGGATTCCAAACTTATTTTAGACATGATGTTAAATCTAATGATAAAAGATATTTAAATATTTTTGAAGTCTGATAAATTTTGGGACAATTCTAAACGACGCTACTAGCAGAAATCATTAGAGCATAAACAGTCAAATAAATTATAGTTAAGTTATATTCTAATGCAGTATTGTCTGAATGCTGGAATGTGGAACTGTACAGCCTGACAGCTCTACTATTTCTCGCTTCCTTGTTTCTCAAGTCAAATTCAAGTCTAATCGTACTGACCCGACTACCCCCAGTTCAACCCAATTTTTTTAAATATCTGACCTATATTCGGTAATAAGTTTTGTCAGTTAGTGATCAACCGAATACAGTCAGTATGTCTGTATGTGTTTTATTTGAATTAATACTTTTGGGTGAGCGGGCACGTACAGACGTAACTTAGCACTTCCTGACTTCTTTCGACAACACCTTTCAATCTAACATGTGTACCGGTACGTTTAAAACCTTACTTATGGTTTTGTCCGCTTTAATGTCATCTGCAGCTACGTACTTCCCAAAGACTTTTCTCACAGAGGTAGGCAGCGATTTTAATGTCTCAGGTCAACATGCAGGATAGTTCGGCGTAGTTTATTTCGACTCCATCATTAGCACAACCATAACACGAAACAAAGTTATTGGCACAACAGACGATAAAATTGTTGATAAAAATAAATAAATGAAAACTGATTATAGAATAAGGAGAGCAAACAAAACCCAAAATGGGATTCATAGCGCACAGAATTAAATTCGAAGTGGTACGTGTTCACTCACCTAAATATAGAAAATACCGTAGTACCGTAGTTGCATTTTAGTGACTTAACTTAATCTAATGTTTATGATAGGATAGGATAGGATTTACATATTTATATGATAAGTTCGATTGTATTGATTGACGCATGTTCTTCCACTTGACTTTCATTTTTGAATATTGATCATTCATTGGTCCAATTATATTCACATTGCTTTTAAAAAATAGCTCTGTAATGTTAAAAAGTAAACAACCGGTATTTTCTTTCTTTTGTTTTGTGTTTCACTACATAGGATAGGATAGGATTTACATATTTATCCCGGTCCTCAAAATCGTCGTATTCTTCTATTTTTTTGTATACCGGTAATTACAGACTTTTTTATCGCTTTTCTCCAAAATGTCAATAGAATGCTATTACCGGTACTTCTTTTTATAATTCCTGAGCCATGTGACATCCAATATTTTACCCAAAATTGCAATCCATGGTAACAGTCAAGAATTCCGGTTTGATTGACAGTTTATGTAGGGCGACGGCAGTGATTTCCCTACCCCCCAAATTTCAACCCCGCTAAATACCATACTTTAATTCTCAACGTAAATAAAAATGTATTTGAATATTTAGGAAGTGGCTTATATGCCGGTGAAGAGGATTAGTCAAATAAATATCTATCACCACCCAAATTTGGAACTCCCTCTCCTAAAATAAAAAGCGGGGAAACATACGAACATACTGAATAACGACGCGGCGGTCAGCAAACTTGAAGTACTACTGGGCCAAATATATACATTTCTGGTAGTATGCGTGCCGCAGAAAATTTCCGCCTGTAAACAAACAATCACATAAAACTTCATTCCGCACCCGCAACTTCTATTCATGTGTTTAACGCCTGTCTCAAATCTCATTGAGACGTGTACGTGTACGTGGCTGTTTTCTCGGTATCATCATTCAAAATTTATATCGCTTTTGTTTACCTCATCAGTGTGAAGGATTATGTTAATTCTGTGTGATGGCCAAAGTGTTAAAAAATCAACTGGCAACTTTGATGATATCCGCAGTACATATCGTAACTACGATGCTGGTGAAGCAGATAAGTTTTGAATAATGTTCAACAAAGAAATATTATTCCGTCCAAGCACTTTGCCCTCTTCGCAAACTTTTCTACGTTTTCCAGTCATTTTAATGCCAAATTTTGAATATCAAACTGAACTAAACTGCTAATTACAACTACTTGTTAAAACGTTTGACAAGTGAACGTCACGAACTAACATATGCTTTCACTTACCGTGTTTCCCAGAATATAAGACTGGGCCTTTTTTCAATTTTCTTTCGAAAAATAACACTAGGGCTTATTTTCGGGAAATGTCTTATATTTTTATTTATCAAAATCCAAATTCCAAAAACATTTACTTATAAATAACACGTTTTTATTCAAAATAACCGCCAAACATAGATTATATCAAACGTGTTTGATTCATTCACCCAATTTGTAAGAGAAATTTCATGCTAACGACTAGGTCGAAAAAAAAATTCGCGTTATTGAATACGTGATTTTAAGGGGCGGTCTTATATTTTTAAAATTCACGCTAGGTCTTATTTTCAGGGTAGGTCTTAATTTCGGGGAAACACGTTACAAAACAAAGCTCGTACAACAACCATTGTTACGAAATAAATCAATTTTTGCGTTTATGCATCGAAATGAGTTCGTTTGTGGACCACAAAAAATTTGTTCCCTGTCCGCAGTTTTTTTCTTCAAAACGAATTGGCCTGGTAAGAGACGTATCCGTAACCGACCAGCAGTGATATGAGCCAAACTACAAAAGCAAGGCCAGCAATCCTCCGACACTTAACACATGAGATGCAAATAGGATATGGCAATCAGGGAGACTGATAACACGCCCTTTCCCGAGTACAATGCACCGGTCGTCGAACCGTGATTCAGTAAGCAGCAAAATATATTCTATTCCATGGCATATCTTTGAAGATGGTGTAGCCGTCCGCTAAACAAATTTATTGCTGTGAATAAATTTAACTATTCACTTATTTTTGCATTGGGGTAAATTTCTAAAGAAAATACAAACTTTTTAAAAAAGTGGAAATCATATATATATATATAAATTTCTAAAGCTCCCTAAATATGGTTTGTTTCAACAATGCACCCATTTGAAAACTTACCAGGTTATAATTGGTTTTAACATTCGAATCATTGTCTTAAAAATTTCTGATGGAACAATATACAATAGTAAAAATTCGAATGTAGACCGACTATGAATAGACAAACGAATATTTAAGGATTTTGGTATCAACTATGTAATTAAAGTTCTCGAAAGGTTCGTTATCAGCAGTATTCCCTATTTTTACAAATTATCTGATTGAACATTTGAGTACCTTTTTTCAAATTAAGATTGTTTGCATGTAATTAGTTATTCCACTTTCACTATATATGATAAATTATTCGGATTTACCCATTTCGATCAGACACTAACACAAATTTTATATGGGGATTAACATTTGAGTGCCATATCGTTTGTTATGGAAGGAAGTTTTGAAGATTTTTTAATTAAATGAGGTTTTGGATAATGCTCATACACAGATCGGCGCTCGCCGTTACGTGTTTAGACTGGGTTAGTGTCTTTTCCATGTGATTACATTTACTTATCGGCTTTCTCTCCACGCACGTATCTCATTTGTCATTGAAAAGAATTGATAAAAGCGTATAACATTCTTGCGCGCTCCAGAAGTGTGTGTACCAATGTAGAGGTAACTAATTTTGTTCGCTTACTTTACAATAAGTTGTGTAAAGGAACGGTACCTATGGGTAGGGGGACGGGGTATATTCACCTGGCTGACCCAGACAATTCCCGAACTCGTAATATAACTGAAATAAAAATAAAATCGGAATAAATTTATGGCCTGATCTTAACCTGCACATCCTACGGGAGTACCCAATCTTGATATAACATATTGTCATGGTTATACATAGGAAAATATTTTCCAGTCTGTAGTCCAGAGTATATAATCATGCACTATTTAAGGGTCGGTTCTGGAAATGGCCACGCTGATCAAGTGGTACTCTTATTGATTTGGGTCTCATTTAGAGGGTAAATAAAAAAGGTTCCGGCTTCGGAAAAGGTTAGCAAAAAGTTAACCGACTTATAGGTAACACTGCTTGTCTATATTATGTATTTTCTATTCGTCTGTTTTGAATTGCCCGCGGGTCTTGTAAGCTGCATTATCGACTGCAAAGTAGATTATTTACCATATTTATAACAACACCCTGAAGCAAATTCCTCAAATATTGTAAATAGAAAAACCATTATATATACACTTTTATAAATTTAATAAAATAATCGAAGATGGCGTTCAAAGCACGTAACGATACAAAAAAATTAGCGAATGAGACTCATTTTTCCTGATATTGAGCCGTATATTTGCAATGGCCCATACCTATTTTTTTTTATCATGGACTATAATGTTAGATCTTATCAAACGTTAAGTCGGAAGTTTACCATGTAGACTTGTTCTATATTACCTAAACATCAAAACAACACCGGATGGTTACAAAAAAATTCGTTGTTTGTCATACGCAAGGTAAATTTCAAAACAAGATTAGATTCAACCCTAGAAAATCAAGGCCCATATCCTCAGTCATATTCCGTCTATTATACATCGTGAAATTCACCATAAGTCAGTGACAGACTTGACCTTAGACTTTTAGGTAGGAAATACATGCAGAGGAGAAAGCGTTCTTTTTACTGGTTGGAAAAAATAAACTTGACTTGACTTGATATGCATGCCGGCATGCCCGTTTTGCAAAAACGTTATGACTGTCTTGTAATATGTGTTCAAACTGTTGTATTACCATTTAAATGAGTTAATCATAAAAAAGACAGAAACCTGTTTATAAACTGAAATTAGAAGCAAAAAAAGGAGAATGAATACCAGGAAAATAAAATTCTATGGTTTTATATAAAAAACTGCAAAAATCACAATATATACGATAGGGCAAGATATCCGAATCAATGAAAAAAATATCTGCATGAGTAAATCACATAAAACAACCTTTTCGTGAATTTTATGCTTAATTTAGGGAAACGTTTAACTACAGATACACATCTAATTTGATATCAACTTGATTGTCATGGACGGTTATAATCAAAAGTTAACTCGGAGAATTATTCCGAAACCACACAAACTTCCCAATAGCATTTTGGAGTAAATCAGAACGAGTAAAAATATTTTAAGAAATTGACATTTTGGTAGTTTCTTCTCACCTTTAAAGCATATTAAACTGTTCCAAGTGAAACGTATTCTGTATCCCTTTTTGACATTTTTATTAAGCTAAATATATATCTAGGGGTTTATTACATTACTCTCTTTTTAGTATCATATTCCAGGCATGATTCATTTTAACACATTGGAATGGAATTTAACGTTTTCTATGAGTCATATTACTCAAATTCAAGAAATGTTCAAAAATATATATTATTTTTCAATAGTCTTCCTCTTTACAAACAATTCATTCTACTTTCTGCTCGACGACGGCTTCTTGTTGAGCTTGTTGGGCTTCAGGCTCCTGAAAAGAAAACGATATCATAACGTTGTATATTCATATATGTTACTATAAGATAAGTTTTGGGAGTTTGTACCCCAAGCTAATGTATGCATTCAATCAGACAAAAATACTTTGGAATCGACTGAATAAAGCTATAAAGCTTTTAATACTCATTTCATTTGATTTTCAAATTGACATGTCAGGTAAGCTATTTTACAATCCCAGAGTGAAATAATTGTTTGGTATGGTGACAAAAAAGGCTTCAAAAAAGTTTCGTTCTGAAAAGTTTTAGTTATAAAAGCGGATGTTAAATCCGTTTGCTGAATAGAGCAAATCGATACAAAATCATTCAACAACACTTCAATGCCCGCATTTTAAAATCAATTTCTATGACATTTCACACTCAAAAGCAACGTGCAGAAGAGAATACATTTATTGCATTACATCATCCTTCCCGTTTTCCACGACAGCGTCAGCATTGACAGCTGTTCCTTCCTCGGCCTGTATTTCTTCTTTCAATTCCTTTTTGTCGTCAGTTGATTTTTTTGGTTTCTTTTCTTTCTTTGGCTTTGCTTCTTTTCTAGTTTTTGCGGACTCTTTCCATTTTCTTCCGACGTCGCTCGAGCAAAATTGTAGGGCGAAAAGCACCAAATAGAGTATGAAGTTGATTGCAGCATACACAAAAACCAGGACACCCATGCCTGTGAATGGCCTCACGTCGATCTAAAAATGTATAGTCGGGTTTAGGGGCTGAATGAAATTGCCCAGGGAACTGCGGGCGGGAAAATACCATTTGCAATATACCGTCATTTTGATGTATGATTGTACATAAGTACAAAATACAGTCAAGTATTCTTCGTTGACAAAAAACGTTTTTGTGATGCGTGAGCAGTGAGTTATCAAATTATCACAAATACGATTATACATCCCATCGTGTACCAAAACATTCATAAATCAGAAGGACACATTCAGTGTCTCCCGAGTTATTTTTAACGTTGCATTATTTTTAAAATTTCCTTGATTTGGTGAACACCATCTAACATTGATTAGAAATATACACTAATACTTACGTCCCAAATTCCGTACATAATTGCACCAATCAGATAGAGAATAGAGAATAAGAAGCTAACTCGATATTCTGCACCGCCAGAGAATAGCAGGCGAGAGAGAAGTCCAGCTATGAATATTATTGTACTGATGGACCAGGCAAATACTGCGATCCACATCAGTAGATGCGCGGTAGGTCGAACGAGGAGGTCTAAAATAGAGATTTTCTATGTTTGTGTCGGTATATAAAAATGGTAAAAAGTTATAATAGGCATAGACTAATCAAATTGCAAGCGGTGGTGTATCATTTACGCAAAAAGGGAAACGCATTTAACAGTATTATTAAATTGAAAAAGGCTAAAAATTTTATGTCGGTATGTTATGAATTTTATTATGGAGAATAGAAGCAAGTTCCATCTAAAATTTGAAATATATCATGTAATAATATTAGAATCCGTAAAATGAACGTGTCTGCGACGATACCGTAAGTACAAGTTTTTATAGTTCTTCATAGGTGTCCGAGTGTTTGTGTTTCGGGTGATTTAACTTTACTGTATTCACTGAAATCGACTAGCTTGGTATGTTCAGTTTTGTCTGTGTTAGGCATGCTGTGCATTGAACCATGAGATAATGCGCCTGGTTTTTCCCATCAATTCAAATTAAACATGCCACGTTTTTATATGCTACAGGCCTACAGTACATCGATCACCAGTTAATTGGAAGTGTACGCAATTATATGAAACACAAAGCTAAATACGTTTGTAAGCGGTTCTTTAAAATTGTTTACTGCCTTGCACTAATGGAATGCTATTAAAATAACGACTATGACTATTTTTATTGGAGGAGATTTTCATCGGTTTTAATGTTGCGAGTTGCGACCCTCTAAAGATGAAATATGAAATCAAAATCCCTAGAGACGTATTTATGAAAGTTAGATAAATCGATTTCCCCACTACAAAACTAAATTCGCGTGTAATAAAGTTTACGTAACTAACAGTTGGGGTTACGTGAAACTAACAACCTTTCCTTGCTCTATGCCTTTGCGTAGGTGGATCCGTATGCGTATAGTGTGCAGCAAGACTCTTGAATTAATTAGATTTAGTTTACCAGAAATTTTAAAATCACGAATATATTTCTTTTTTTCGTTTTGAGAGGTGGCGGAGGTGTTCCATAAGGATCCCATAAATTATTTTACAAATCCTCCTTGTCCAAATCCAACAAATAACCAGGGAATATTAATTTTTTCAATCTACTTCAGTGCATTGAACTCCAACTTTGTTGGTCGTTTAACACTATACCACTAAACGAATAATTCATATATATCTAAGACAAGTGCAGCTATGTATTAGGCTAAAATTATAAAATTAGGCTAATCTATAGCAAACCCAGATACTTTTTATTTTTGTTCAGGAATTTAGGTAAAAAGTGTATTAGGAAATTCTAGTGAAGGTAAATCAACATCACATACTGTTAGCAGCAAGGGTCCCGAACACTGCTCCACCGAATCCGATTGTTCCTAACCGCAATATACCGGTTGTGGATCCCATAAATTCTTTGTCAATGTTGATCTTCATCCTGATCTTCTTTATTTCTTTTATCAATGCCAAGCAAACGGCCTAAATATTTTATTCTGATGTAGCCTACATATAGGTGACGAGATAACAACATGTTACGATTAAACAAGATTTCCCGTAATTCATTTTCTGCTTTTTTAAATTTTGTTCAGGTTATATTGGGATAAGGTAAATTATTGCCCCATTTTTATCCACCTTTCACCTATTATTTGACTTGTATTTGTAGCTTTTTAATATTCCTGATTAAAATCGTCAAAACATCTTTGCTGAGGTAACGACAGATCTTAAAAAAATTGTTACGGATTACCTAATGCTATTAAAAGAGTTTCAGATATAAACCTATGTACTCAATGTGTACATTTACCAAATAATTTAAACCCTACAAGACAAAATTAGCCTGCAAATGCTGCACACAAATGAACATGTCTGCAAAATCTACAACAACGCGGGCAATTTTACCAGTATTATCTACGTTCTATAAATACTATAAACAGAACATACCGGTAGTTACAGTTGAAAACGAGTGAGCGAGAGAGGCTTCGTGTTTACGTCCAAAATATTCTTTGCTGAAATTATTTTAATGACACCATCGGCCAGATGCGTCGTAGTTATTTCAAGAGCATTATTTTCACACAGTGCATACTTAATACAAAGAAACGGTGACAAATTTTATTCACGAAAAACACACAACATCAATTCTGAAACTTTGGGGAGTGCTATCAAAGGTTTGTACTTGATCATATTGAAAAGGGGGTGACTCAGCGCACTTGAGAGGCTTGCTGTTTATTTTGACAATTTTCGTGATATTGCGAGGCGATAATACGAAAGCAATACATTTTCATCCCATGGGATGCATGAATATTTTATGCGAAATGTTTTGGAAAATAATAAAAATTAACCCAGGATCAAAGATAAAGCAAACGTGAGTTGATGATCAAATTTTTATTTCTAAAAAATTAAGACAGCTTGAGAATATACCAGTCTTTTTGTCATACAATGAACAGGCTCTAAAATAGTTTTCAAAACTTATAAATCCATTTAGCCGCTGCAAATATTTCATACATCATATGAAAGTATAAGCTACAGCACATTTATGGAATTTTAATGTGCGTCATATATATATATTTATCTATTCGAATGTGAGCTATTTGAAGGCTCGTCTTTTAAAAAAGAATCTTTCTCGGTTACGTAAGTAGATTCAGTAGGTTTATTGTTTTGTATTTGATATAGATTACTCCATGTCAAGTTACGTCCAAATTTTCTATCCAACTGAAAATCTTATGGCTACTGCTTAAAGTATCACTTACTATACCTTTACAGTATTTAACTATTAACGCACAGAAAATTGAAATATTTACTCAAACACTTATTACGGAATGTTATCAGTATTAAATTACTTAAACAATATAGCTCGCCAATTTCTAATTCCCAAATTGAAACATTGCCTGCTAATATTTCAGCTTCATACACACAATTTCCTTTCGCGACTTCATAATGCTTCTTGAAGCTGCTTTGTTCATGCCACAATGACCCACTTCAGTTTGATAATTACTTCTTACGGTCACTGGCGGTTCTGTTCAAGTAGTGATTGCCTATTTAAAGGGAAGGGTGCGGTTTTGGCAGAAATTTCTCTATTTTCGTATACTCAGTAGAGGAATAAAGAAAACAAAAAACGAGAGAAATTTCTTCTCTCTTGTAGTGAAATTAAATGACGACATCTCTCGTTTTTGTCCAGGAATGCATGGTATTTTAAATCGTTGGCTCTTAGCAACACAAAATCGCCGTTGCTAACAAAAAACACTATTTTACAACGAAAATACGAGTCGAGTTACGATAAATAGTTTAAAAACATAAAACAAGAAATTTCAAACAAAACGCAACGGGTTAGCAGCAGAACAAAGAAAATTTTTAGCAGTCGAAAATTAGATTCCAAAGTCTAAAACTGATTTGTAACCAAGCAGATATTAAGTAAGTATAATCGTTTTGGTGGCGTGATACTCACTTTTCTCATTTAGGAGGCATTTTCACACCATCACACTGAACAATTCTATGTGCAAGCACTCATAGACAACGTAAGGGAATAATAGACACAGGGTGAGGTGGTGGGCATGGGGTTCGTACCCAAGAAATATATTCTGCGATGCCAACATCGTTAAATCCAACGCTTCGAACACAAGGCTATTGCGGACACTGTTCTACGGAAAATATGCCGGCAAAAGTTTTGTCTCGTGTCAGACCTTTTATATAGCAATTGTGATTGTTCTGAGTAAAACATAAAACCACTGAATTTGATGATTATCTATAGAAAGTTATGCCATCCGTTTGTGTGTCGACTTTATTTTCAAAATACTCCCCACAAACTTTCCAACGTTCAATTCTATTGAGTGAGTAATGTGGTAATAGGAGTTTGAAAAATTCCCTTCGAGTTTATTCAATTGGATAGAATCAATGCATGCGACCTAGAAAATGTTGGGATTTTCACTGGCGATACAACAAAAATATCTACCTCGACGCCTTTCTCCTTCGTGTTTCGTATTATTTCATTAAATGGAGAAACTTGGTCTAATTATAGAACATCGGGAAAAAATAAAATGTCAATTAGACACGATTAATCTCTCTAAAGTTTAAGGTATATATTTATACAAAATACGTACTTTACCTACTCTGTGTATCATTAATGTTTACTAACAGGAATACTTCAGAGTAATTTATTCTTGTGGAAGGTATTTCTTAAATACAGTGTTACATGACGATTTATTGTAAACCGAGGAAAAAGCTGTTTACCCTAGGCCTCCATGTTCGACTGAGCTTTCCGTTTTTCGCTTCGCCCAAAAAGTTTTTGTTCCTTTCAGTAGACAAGCTACTGATTCGCATTCATTCAATGTACAGTAGTGGTTGGTACCTGTTTGTTATGGAACATTTTATGTTAAATTCTTCTTTCCAAAAATCTCCGTTTTGTGGAATTTGGCATAGTATATTTGGTAGTATATTTTTCGCAGATGAGCACTTGTCCTAAGGTAAATTAACGAAAGAAAGACGCAACAAAATTGACCCGTGAACCACGGGCTCCCATAACATATCATTTTAGTGAGATTGTTGTTCACAAAAACATTTTAGTCTGGATCGTATCACATGCCATTTTCTCGTGAATTAGATTCTTCAAACATTCTCCCTCGGGCGGCATTGTGAACAACATAGCATTCAAGTTCTAATGTTCAACGTTTTCTGAATTTAATTATATACTGCATCGCATACATATAAATTTTGGTATTCTTTAATAGGGGAGATCGGGAATAATTTCTTATCTCATATGATTATTTAGAAGGGTAGGATGAAGTCAAAGTATTGAGTAATTTCATTTTTAGGGACACTATGGTTAAAGATGGACAAAATAATCAGAAAGATTTTTGTCACACAACTTGATACTGACTAACGGATGTTATTGATATATTTTGTTCTATGTTTGTTTATTTTTCCTTTGTTTCAGTGCCAATATCGTTTCATTCTCTTTTATAATGTCAAATTTGTTTTATTCAAATTTGATTTGAATAAAACATAAAACAATATTGAGTATTAATATCATATAAACTTAATAGAGAATGCAAATAATAACAATTACTCAAATATATTTAATATCACATTTATTCTATATTTTAAATACCAAGAATTCTCCATTTCTTTCTATATTTGCGTATTTTTTCTATTTTCCACTGCCAATATTGTTTCATTCTATATTATAATGTCAAAAATGTTTAAAAAACTTTTAAACTTCAACCTTCTTTTACCAATTTCACATTTGTATAAATAAAATCGATCAGCAAGCGAAGCACAACTACATATCATGTCAAAAAAATTCCGACTATATCCTAAAAAACATTCAATCTTCGTGAAGGCAAAATTAATGCAACTTTTTACATACATCCACTGATTCAATTGCTCCCAGAATATTGGTGAGTAGTTACATTTATAAAATAGGTGATTGACATTCTCAACTTGCACATTACAAAAGTCACATAGATTTGAAGCTACCAAATTAAATCCATATGGAACATTATCCACCACAATTGCCCTATGAAAAAAATTGATGCGAAAAGGCTCTATTGTTTTGGGCAATTTTGATGTTCAACAAGCCTAAGTGCGCCGTCGGGCGGAATTGTATCTCAGAACAATTTTGGATTTCAGATATACCATATTTATCCGGAAGGTTTTCGTCCGTTTATTAATCGGGTTCAAGATAATCAGCGAGCTGATAGTTCCATATTTAAATGTATGCAGCGTTGGGATTAAATTTTTTTGTTCATCCCAAAAGTCATATTTTTTACCCGGTTCTGTTACAAAAAGTCATTGAGAGTAACCAGTAATGCCAACCGCTCCGCTGATCTCATAAAATTCCGTGAGACGGTTCTATAGAACCGGCTGAATCCCACCACTGAGGAGTCGTTAACCACCCCACGGCGCGGTGCTATCGCTCGTATCCGACCAACGGAAATGACAACCTTTCTGACCGCCGTCGGGTGCGGACGTGGTATTACACGGGAGTGAAAAATATTTGGATTAAAACTTGGAAAACCGGACAAACAGGATTGAATACAGACTAGCTTTCATATCTTTTATACATTGGAGCTGCTTCGATAAGAATTGCGTTGATCACTTGTAACAAGTGATTGAATCTAAGGGACTTCGAGGAAACAGAAATAATCGACTTAGCTGCCGACACTGGATTGGTCAGTAAATTCATGCGAGAGAAACAATTCATAGGAACAATCGATGTTCAACACAACAAGATGGAAGCTCCGGAATGTTGGACATTGCAAAGAATAAAAACATTTACTCCAATTTCTACAAATTCGAACCTATTTTGCAACAAGAGAAGCAACGCCCGAAACTAGTTTTCGTGTTTTTATGTTTGTTTACTTTTTAGTTTTATTTGTTTACAAAAAACAGCAGCTAATCAATTAATTATTATTATTGGTATTCGCATTTCGGCACAGGCACCGTCACATAACTTCTAAATGTTTTTGTATTAATCACGACTTTCCCTCATCAAAATATTTACAACATGACAAGTAAGCTTTGCCCGTGAAATTTATTTTCTCGTGATTATGTACTCTGTTCTTTAATTTATTCTAGTATGATTGTCTTGGTGTGTTTCACGTGTGTGAATGTGGGTGAATGGGCATAATCGCTGGTTACAGCGTTCGTTATAAACCTTTATATAGGTTTTGCCCATTTTCCCGATCTTTCAGTTGACCTTGTCTGTGTTCATTTTATTTGTGTTGTAGACGAAAGATCGAAATAAAATTGTATTGTTGTATTGTATTGAAATCAAACTGAGGCAAGGCAATCAACATCGCTGCGCTTCTCACGCTGAGCACCATAAAGCAACCGTTACAAATTTTATCACAGAACTACAGCATTGTATATAGGCTAAAAATACTGAATTTATTTATCCGCGCTTCAGAATGTAGTAATGCTACATAGATATACCAAGTGTTTATTCCAGATAATCCAAGAAAATGAAGCCATCTGAGGTATTCTACCAGTGGCGTAGCAAGAATCTCGTGGGTCCCCCCCGCAAAAATATTTCGTGGAAATGACCCTAAAAACGCTCGGACATAAGCTAAAACAACGTTTTTTTTGTCAAAAAGCATAACATGTCGCTATAAAAAGGCAATGGTAACCTAAAATTTGCCGTTTATCTTGGTTACTTAACTTTTTTCATACGTTCTTCCTCTTCTGCGTTTCTGTGCGTCACGTCATTCTGACAGCCTTCGTAATTTTGCCGGTGCACCGAGAATCGAATTGAGCAGAACTAACATCAACGTTATAAGATGTGCATTACTTGTTTTGCACTGTAGCTTTTGGTTTGCGGCTTAAATTTCTAAATTCTAACTGCTTGGGCCACTTTGCGCTGTGGGCCCTCCCGCGACATAGGGGGGGGGGGGGGGGGGGGGGGGTGTTGGATGATACGCCACTGGGCGTACTCTGAATTTTGTTTAGGGGTTTGTTCAGTCATAAGTCGATGTATTTTAAACAATGTAAAAATCCAATTTGGCGCCATACTGGTCCGTAAATGCATGATGACATCATAATGTATATTCTCAAATTCCTAATATATTATGACGCCATAAATAATTTTTAAGGGTAAATACAAGATTGCAGTTACAAATAATATATCTACGCTGACGCAGGTACATTTGGTAATAGCATAAATGTAAAAAGATCTCAAACCTGTAATAATAAACGCAATGGCAGCAAAAAAAGTGACGTCATAAGGCCCATTTCTAGCCGAAGAAGGCCGATATACAGTATGTTATATTATGGTAGCCTACAGTCCGTCCGCAATATACGGTGTCTCTAACTTGGTGATACCAACTGCTGTACCTGTGGTTGATTCAACCGCCCTTAAAATTCAACGGTGTTAACGGATATCTTCATAAACCTGTTCGAAATCGCGATGGATGAGTACAGTTATCATCATTCGTCTAAATGTGATATGATAGCAATAGCCTACTTTACGAATTAAAAATCAATGTTGAAAATCTTCAAGAATCAAATTAAAATGAATTCTCAATCCAATGGACCTTTGACCCCCGAAAATTTTTTCCTATACTAATTTTCGGGGCTATTTTAAGAGTGCTTTTGCGAGTTAGCGCCTGCAAAATGGGGTATGTGTTTCAAACCATCATTATAATTCATCGCATTCAACAGTCTGTTTTTTAAAAGTACCGGTAAAGAATTTTAGCCTAGTCTATCACAGCTATTTCTACATTAAAAAAATTCTAGAGTGATCAGAGACAGAGTGATCACTGAATTATCTGATTTATATTTAAGTTTCCGAAACATAACAGAAAACTAACGAATTTAAGTTCAAAAACGCGAAAACGAGGTAATGTTTACGACCACGCTCGAAAGTGTCTGAGCGGAAGCGAAAAGAGAGCATTGTTACGTCACTTTTTGCATCTTGCTGATTGGTCAATGTCAAGAAGTAAACAAGGAAGTCGATGTTCGGGGAAAGGTCCATACTTAGGTATGGTGAGCATGAAATCTGGCGAATTTACTGAAAGTCGAATTTTATACAACGTGATACTGATAAGTGGATTTCAATCCACGAATAAACAGCTTTATGCGAAAAATTAGTGCTAATTCACAAGGACGAACCATTGCATGAATGCATTTTCTAGAAAACGGAATTTTGCTAGAATAAAGTTAGCGCAATGGTGCCGGAAGCATTGCGAGAACATACTTTTACGGGAATGCAATTGTGCTGGAACGCAGTGTGAGATATTTCTCCGGGAAATATATTATTTTCTAATGCTGTAATTTAAAAATATTAACATGGAAACAGGTAAATTTTGTCACAGTACATTAGCGCAAAAGTCCGGCTTACAAAACTTGATTCTCACAAAAATCCGTTCCCGTTATCCTACATTCGAACAAAAAAGAGTTCGTTATTGCAAAACTGAGTAACAAGCTGACAACAATAACAAGCTGATTTCATCAGCCTACAGGAATTGGTTCTAACTACAGCAGGACTGTGCAACCTGCGGCCGACAGATCAAATGTGGCTCTCAAGAAAAAATTGTGTAGCCCGCGGAGAAGTGCCAGTTTTGAAAGAAAGGCCCGAGAAACGAGTTTCAATTTAATCTGGTACGTACGAGTAATTTCAATCCCTTTGCGTTGCAAGACTATACCGGAGTATAATTTATCATTGATGCCTATGATTTCACAATGCTAGCTTGTGCAAACAACGAATGTGAGTGATCAATAACCAAATTTTTGTGCATGCGACTATTAGATAGCCTAATTTAAATAAAAGTGTGGTCCGCGGTTTCGCCCAGTTATTTCTATCTTGCCCTCCTGTACTAAAGGTTACACACCCCTGAACTACAGTAAAGAAATCGTTTGTAAAACAGGTACTTTATTTGCTTGAGTGGAACCACCTTATAAACACTTGAAAACATCAAAAGCATTAGGGTTCAGTAACAGGCAATTAAAATGGTAGAGAAATATAATCATCTCTGAAATATTCTAGTTCAAGCATAGAATACGGGTAAACCATACCTTCGGAAGTGGGCATGGATTATCAATAGTTCAAGCTTGGAAATACATTTCGGAGATGAATTACAGATCAAAAAACGATAAAATAATACTAACTTAAAGATCTCTTCTTGTTGTAAAAAAACAAAAAATATTACGCAGCTAGAAGTTGATTGCTTTTATCGTGTATGGGCCATAATTAACCACATCATACCAGCACGATTTGACTATGATCCACACCCGATTGCTAGTGACGAAAAACTTCTGACTGGGAAATAAGCAACTGTACATAAAAAGACGTCATCTCGACAGTGACGTCACACAAAAGAAAGGCAAGCGGATTCGTTTGTTTGTTCATGTTAATTTGCTCAGTTAAAAATTGTACTGCGAAATGATAGAAGATAAAAACAAATATGAACAAAATTATCTTCAAATTATGCACGATTTATGCTTAATTGTCGAGTATAATTCAAAGACGATCATTCAAAGTTGAATATCTCATGAGATTTGATTTTCAAAAAAAAAAGAAGAAATTGTGATGATAATATGAAAAACTTTGTGTGAAAATGATTTAATTTGCCAGTGTGAAAATAGGAAACATTAAAAAAATTTGATTATACCCTGATAAAACGGGCAATACAGAAAAAGAATTTTGATTAAATGAAACACAGAAAAGAGAGTATTCAGTTAAATTTATCTACAAAAGTACAAGATGGGTGATAATGATAAAAAAGAAATATTTCCAACTTCGTATAGTCACAAGGTTGTTATGCAAGATCGTAGACAAATATGCGGAGAATAATGCCATGTAAGACAATAAATGGTGGGCAATAAATAACTAGATGACAAAATTACATGAATTTCACATCAAAATTTATTATTTATTACCAAACCAAACATCCAGTATTATTTCCATACAAAGATCGTTCATATATGCATCATGCTTGAACAGGCATACTCACTGGATTTCAATGTTTATGTAAGGCCATTCTTATTCACAGAAAAGGTATATATGCCTTTTCTCAATATTTTTTTACAATTTTCATTATAAGTGAAATGACAAGAAATTCAAAAAAATAAGATGCAATGGCATCATATGGATTAAGTCATATTCAAATAAGATAAATTGAAAATAAAAATTGTTGAAAAAGATATCAGTGTATTGTACTGTTACCAGTCCAATTTCGAATCCCTGTCATTAATTCAACATCGGAATTAAGAACAGAAGTCAATTTTTTTGAATGCTGAAAATAGATCAAAAGCTAGATGACTATGTAATACTGGAAAAATTAAATTAAAAACTAATACCCAGTCATTATGATAATGTAAAGGGGTTACTGATTTTAAAATCATAACATGTGTAAGTATATGACATAATCAGTACTGGTACCACTGAAACAACACAAATAACTTAATGTCATCAACGAATTGGAAATGTCACTTATTACTGCAATACTGTGAATATAGTAACAGATTACACATTTGTGTTTTGTTATTGCCATGATGAAAAGAATGAATAAAAAACTTGCTCAAAAGGAAATTGCCCAAGCGTTAATAAAATAAAGTAGGAAAATAGCAGAGCTTGAAATGAATTGTAAGTTGTTCAGTAAAGGTAAAATAGTTTTGTAAAAGTAACAAAAATCATATGAAAGGAGATTTTTTTTAATTACGATTAAAAACATGTGAATCTGTGATTAATCTAGGAACAAATGTTCAACTTTAATACCAAACGCTATTTTATAGCAAGTCATCAAATCTTTTGGCAAGTTCAGGCAGATCGTGTCACAATCGATTTCAACAAGCCTAGACTAACCATAAAAAAACTTGTGAACAAAATATGGATGATTTCTTACTTCACCTAACTTGGGATAAGAATGCTCAATAGTGCTAAATTTGATGAACGTTTTAGGTGGAAATGCATACGCAACTATAAGTAATGTTTTTTCCACAATAATAATTAATATTCTTTCATATATTGTACTGTTATGGGATATATAATATCTTCTTAAAAATATAATATACTTCCAAATTTTGCAACCAATTATTTAAAATACAGAAAATAGGGCAGCATTGCTGTGTGGTACTCTCTCTTCAGTATGAATCTATGTATGCGCTTCCTATTATTAGCAAAACATATTCATTGGGTAACATCTGAAATGCGTCAATTTCTTGCGTTTTATACTTTATACACCATTCTCCGCACCTGGTATGAGTCAGCATTTTTATTTTTTTTTTATGAGTCATCCTTTTCACATAGCCTGACCTCTAATGTACATGTGACGACCTCCGTTAGGATTAGTATGGGATGGTTGTTGTCCAGGTAACATGTGAACTGTGACGCTGCCATTCTTGTTCGACCTTGCGTTACGTGGTTTCAGACAACAGCATAACCGCCTGCGAAATTTTCCCCATGACTCAAAAGTCTTACCCGACCATATCCAGAATCCTGATGTTATACCTAAACAAAAAAAACATGAATATAACTTTTTTATTTTTATAGGGCATTTTTCACATATTTCACTCTGAACGAGGCTGCATCGAGAAGCAACTGCTGATGTGTAAGGAGATGTTGTTTTGGAAGGTCGGCATACTATATAGATTCAGCATATCTTTGTGTTCCAGCGGGTCACTCATAATTTTACTGAAGGTCAATTACCGTTTATCCTCACATATAAGTCGATCTCGTATAAAAGTCGACCGCCTAAAAATGGCCATAAAACTGTGAATTTATAAAAATCCGCATATAGGACGACCCCAACAAATCGTACGCTCTTGTCATCATAAGAACTCAGCATGGTTAGAGTTGTAGCAGTTAGAATTAAGTTATGCAAGTATAAGCACCCCTTTAGTTTTTCTCTGCCGATAACTAATTTAATTATCTATTCAACAATAGTAATTTTTACTATGAATTTCACAAATGATATTTCAACACTTACCTACAATTAACATCATAAAATATTTGATAATAAAAACTGTAAAATCAGGTTGTGCGTCATGAAATTCTCTGTACGAACATGGGCAATGAATTCCAAGCCGTCTGTAAAGGAAGTATAAGTTGGCTAGTTTTGAAAATACTATAGTATTCCAGATTTCTGTGTCAATTTTAGATATCAGTGTAAAAGCATAATCAACTTTCACATATTAGTATGCGAATAAAGCTACGAGACAGTGGTGAAATAAAAATTGTTGAATATGATTTTGATATGAAATCATATTTTAACTGAAACCTTGGGCAGACAAACTTGTGTATATTGCATCTCGCTCCACATATATACCAAATTTGATTAGGACATAAAATATCAACGGGGCGTGCTTTGCTTTCTATCTTTTAAAACCAGTAAATCTTACCCGCAATTTCTGTCCAACCAGCCTTTTTGCCAAGCATCTCTGTGTGTATGTTCGTAAAAATAACATGCAATAGTAACGGTAGCAGGAACCGTATATAAAACACTGAAAACCCCGATTCGAACCATCAATCTTTCTAACTTTTCTACTTTGGCACCTCCTTCATTTTTGACAACCGTTCTGTAAAAAATATAAAAAATTGTATTATTGGTATACAAGATTTAACTTCAAAAAAAAAAAAAAAAAAGATCTACAAATTCCGAATATGTCTGTCTGCCTATCAAACTAAGTTGAAATTGAAATTTTAATTTTTTTGTTGACAAGTAGGGCTGGGCATTTCTGCACAATCCTAAATTTCTTGTTGTAACCTTTCTCCCAGACCCTAGCGTACTAGGTTCAAAAGTCTTGCCACACACTAACACAAATGTATGACGTCTTGCTGCAATGAAATACATTTTGTGTTGGCATGCAGAAAGGCTCAAGAAAGCTTAGAATGGTAACTTTCATTCCTGCTATGACATTGACATCACCGCATTATGCACATGTGGAATCACCAGTGCAAAAAAAAGAGGAAGTATAGGAAGTTGTCTCATGTAACCCAAACTGATCAAGTCAAAAAAGGCTTCGTTGCACAACCTGAACGTAGTATGTTCACCAGGTTAGGGATGTCAGGTTGTGCGCCATCTTGGTGCACATACCTCGTGAGCACCATAATTTTACTAAAATCAATATTAAAAAAAAATCTGATGAAAAATGAATTTTGAGAGAATCACAAGATGTAGAATATAAGCCCAACAAATGAATGACGAAAAAAATTAATTAATCATGAAATATATCAGACTTACCGAATGTGGAATAAAGCAACGAAACCAGCAATCAAAAATCCAGTTCCGACACATAAAAATGCAACGAGAGGAATAAGGATGAACCATAGAAGAGGTTTAGAATCGTAAACTCCAACGAAGCAAACCTAAAAAAGTATAAAAATAAATATAGAATTGAGACTTTCATACACTATAAATATAGTTTTTTTTAGTCGTTTTTTGCGCCGTCACTCTGAACAAGGCATGGACATCAGTAACTGATATAACTTCTTTTATTACAAGAACTCCTAATCTTGTTGTTTCAACATATCCTCACTAACTTGTTACACTCTAGGTGAGTTGGTGGGGATGGGGTTCAAAACTGCAACATCCACCACCAACAAAGTTATGTCTGAGTAATTTCAAATTCGCAACCATCGTGCCCACTGTGCTTTCAATTTCCCACAGAAAACATAAAACTTGTTTTTGGCATAAGTCAAATGTTACTACTTGTTGAACACATAAATAAATAACCTCCGCAGGTGATACTTTTGTAGGTATAACAAAACAGACCGCATAACATCATCAATTAAAAATCAAAATTATCATCTGAAATAGATAATTATACAAACGAACGGATGTATTTTACTAATGTGAGAACTAGCAATTAGTAGAAAAACAAGAGAGCAATGGACACAAAGGGCCAGTACCAGTATGGTGAGGCCTCAGCTGAGTACTGTTTTTTTTTAGGACAGGGTGGCAGAATAAATGGTTTCCATATATCATAAAAAGTGTTCCCATGAATTGAAATAAGAACCGAGAGTGGAAGAATAACGTGTTCTGTGTTCCATACATCATAAAAAGTGTTTCCATGAATAGAAATGAGGACCATGTGGCAGAATAAAGTAGCCTATTCCATATATCATAAAAAGTGTTCCCATGAAATGAAATAGGGACCGAAAGGCAGAAATGAAGTGTTCCATATATCATAAAAAGTGTTCCCATGAAATGAAATGAGAACCGAGTGGCAGAATGAAATGTATCCATACATCATAAAAACGTGTTCCCATGAAATGAAGTAGGGATTGAAAGGCAAAATGAAGTGCTCCCTATATCATAAAAAGTGTTCCCATGAATTGAAATAGGGACCGAGTGGCAGAATTAAAATGTTCCCTATATCATAAAAAGTGTTCCCATGAATTGAAATAGGGACCGGGTGGCAGAATCAAAGTGTTCCATATATCATAAAAAAAGTGTTCCCATGAAATGAAATAGGGACAGAGTGGCAGAATAAAGTGTTCCATATATCATACAAAGTGTTCCCATGAATTGAAATAAAACTGAGTGGCAGAATAAAATGTTCCCATATATCATAAAAAGTGTTCCCATAAATTTAAATAAGAACAGAGTGGCAGAATGAAGTGTTCCCACATATCGTCAAAAGTGTATAAATTAAAATAAAAAATTAGGAATGAAAATTCCGGGCCCCACACGAAACCGAGGAAGGTAATAGCCTTCTAGAAACTTCTTCCATCTTCTCAAACTGAATAATTGGAATTCATTGGCCCATTGGTTGCAGAGAAGAGCGATTTATCCCAACAACAGCAAGGTTAATAACAACAATTCAGAAAATCGATCCACAAATCCACTTCATGTCCAATTATTGATATCAGAGAAATACAACTTACCCCACTGAGTATATCTCCTTCAACTCGAGCCATTGCCAAAATGATGATTGTCATAGTCGCAGGTATGGCCCATGCAACAAGATGAAAATAATGGCTGATGGCTTCAATAGCTTCGTTACCCCATTTCAAACCAGCAGCCAGAAACCAAGTGCCTGTCAAGATCACCCACCTAAAAAAAAGATGAAGATACAAGACTTGTAAGTAACATCGACTTATAAAACGAGAATATCGGTTGGAAACCGAAGACTTATCGATTGATAGTTAGGGGATCCCCCAAAACAGAAACTGCAGTTTCGATTCATCCGCTCTTGTAACTTGCGCACTGCGCATCGCACACACACACTCGGCGGGTTTCAAAATTCTCTCGCTTTACAAAAATCTAGATCACTATATCAATAATTGATTGATAACTCGCTAATTATACGACATAATTCGCCCAAAATCAATAGGCTTCTGGTCCGAGATAAGATGAATGCACATGCAAAATCTGGAGCAGATTCAATCCCGCTTTCGTGAGATATCGCGTGCATCTAACAGACACACACACAGACAGACATACAGACAAATACCTATCAATATACTTACCGATCTTAAGATCGATAAGTAATGAAAAAAACCTAAGAGATGACTAAATTATCTGAATACTAAATCAGGTACGATATTTTTTTAAAAGGATTTGCACAGAGCAATGTTGCAATCACTCAGACATGAAGGTGAAGAAGGCTCGTTGAAGTTACAACTTACATGCATTTCCTTACATGAGAATACAGATCGAAACTATATAGATTTATGGCGGTGCATTATGTGTGACAGTAATAACTGTATAGGATCAGCTAAAAATTATTATTTATTTGAAATTATTGATGACACAAATGATGAAAGAAAATGCAAGCTCTTAAACCGCTTGAAGTCCAGAAATCAAAGGAATTTGAACCTCTGAATCCAAACCGAGTATTCAAAAGAATAATGGCTAGTGTATTGCTAAAGTATAGAAGGAAGATTCGAGTTTATTACTACATCCTAGGATTACATCAAGTCAGTGTGACCAAGAATTGAACTTGGTTATTTAAATAAAACAATTACATAACTTTCCAAGCGAAATAATAAACTATATACACTAAATCCATTTTACAGGCAGTACAGTTAAAGAGAACTTCTGTTCAAATATACAAAAATCCTGCTCACCATATTGAACTTGCCATGCTGAAGAAGTATAACAACATGAAGAGTATTGTGCAACCTGCTTCTTTGGTGCCTTGTACAACAACCTGAAAACAAAATATATTCATTTTTACCAAAATGAAATAAATGCTCAGTAATCATACATCAGATTATTAAGAATGATTAATTCTACTAGCTGGCTGCTAGCAATTATTCTTTGTAAAGAGGTGCATACCGAAGACAGTTTGAAATTTGATGACAGTGCTGGAGTTGTGGTAATTAGGAGGAATTACTTAATTTATTCAGGAGGTTCATTTATATAGTATAGAGGTTCTAAAAAAAATTATTAAAAGCAACTGTAATTATAGGATATAGCCAAACAATGATACTGTCTGTGAAAATTTTTAGATTGAGATTAGTACTGACTAGTTGTCAAATAAAAGAATTTTTTGCACGAGAATTTATCTATAAGCCTTATAAGCAAACTTTTAATTTCAAAAAGTTCAAATGAAGACGATTGAATAATCAGTTTTTCTTTTAAAAACACTATAACAGACAAAACAATATTCAAATATTCATTACGAAAACCAGGAATGTAACATCATCCGCATGTTATGCAAGAAATTCCACAACAAGACAGGTCCATGGCGTACAACAACAGTTTCAACATAAATAATTTAGTCATAAGCTTCTTAAGCACCACAAAAATTACCTCAAAATAGAGAGAGGGACCTAAACATCAGTTCAATTTTGAAAGAAAAGTGATTGATATATATCTACAACACTAAATGGTTTTGCGAATGAATGAGGTAATTTCTCCAAAAAATTAACAGTATTTTGTGATTTCTCCACTAACAACAGTACTAAGAAGAGGGATGCTCAAATATATGGACATGAAAGCTAAAACGAAGTAGTACAGGTTTGCAAATTGTAACAGTAGATTATCAGTACTGCAGTCCTAACGCCTTTGCCTGACCACTAATGCGAACGCGGAACTGCCACAAAGAGCGCAATTCTTAATTTTGATGACGTTATCCCACACAGAAAACCAATTCCATAGAGCCCACAAAAATTTTTGAAATAAATGAAAGGAATAGCCTTCTAGAGAAAAATACAATCTTACACAGCTGAAAAATTTAAAGCAATTGGTCCAGTAAAAATAACTGATTTTTGTCAAACAGCAAAAACAAGAATAAGGAAACATAACAACAAAACAGACCCATAGGTCCACTTCGTGTGCAATAACCATTTTTAATTGAAGCGTTCTCACACCTTCAAGCAGGAGCCGACTACATAAGCTACTATTTTTAAAAGAACCACCATGAGTGAGGTGCAAAGCACAGGGTTTTAACCCAATATTTTTTACTTGTGACTACAAAATAGTTAGGTCATGTTGTACAGTTCAAAAAATACTAAAAATACAACAGCATACCTTGTGACAATTGTCATAAGAACCATATTGACAGGAATCTGTAACAAATTGACGACAAGGAATTGTATCTCTCGTGAAGAATCCAGTTATGTATGCAATTGAAACCATGAGATAGCAACCTGTAAAGAATAAAGTATTTATAAATACAAGTTACAGGAAATAATGAAAAGATAGTCCTTTATTAAATAAAATTTAAAATGAACAATTGAAGTTAGTCTCAACCAAATATGGCAATAGCCAAATAATCTATTATTCTGAAACATTCTAAAAATATTTTTTCAAAAAATTGAATATTGAAGATATTTTAAATTGGGTCATGAGTCATGACATGATTAACTAAAATCATAATGAAATACTCAATGTATATTCAAAATGAAGGAAAGTTAGGAAAATAAACAACGATTTGATTTTTTCTCTATTTTTTTGCAGGTTTGCAAAATGGCTTTTAGGTCATAATGTAAAATTTCCATTGCTCAAGAAGATAAATTTTCAATGAAACTATTCTAAAATCAAGAATTTAAAAATACGGTAGTCATTTTGACACATTTCAAATATTCGCTTTGTTTTGGAAACATTCATGGCCATAACTAGGCTTCAGTGGTTATTTTTTGGTTAGGATAGATATACAACTTAATTCAAATATCAATTTAGGTTTACAAAAAAATGGTATGGCGCAAACCCATCTAAAAACACAACCAGAAAAACAGAAATTGTCACCAATTGAGAAGACACTTGAAAATTTCTCAAGTACATGAGAAGACTAGCTGGTATAGACAAAAAGATTTCAATAGGTAGATACCGATCGATATAAGTCAACAATAGTACATTGTATTAGTTGTAATCAATCATGCCTGGCAACGGAATGAGTCAGATAATACAATAAATAATAATCAGCACGTCACCCAAACTTGATCAAGTATGTTCACCAGTGCGTAGTAATGTTCAAAATGAATAAAGTACATTTGAAAATTGTACATAACAATAAAGTAAATTCTTGTTTCAGAAATAATTTCTGATAATATTTTATATGAGAATTAGTTCTTTTGAGGATTTACAAGAAATAAACCACTGGCTTACAGTAACGACCGATTCAAATATACAAATAAAAAAATTTTCATTAAGAATAGTTTACAAAAATTAGTTTATTGAAATCTCAAAATTCATGAATGATTATGATTTAGCCAGAGCACTGATTCCAACTTTGAATATCTATTTTTAATGTGGTTTAGAACTAGAATAACGTCATCCTAGATTGAAAAATTTACATCACAATTTCCTCGCTACCAGGACAATGATATGAAAAACCTTCTTACCTATCAAGCTACTGAATCTGAAGCTGCAATACCAATTGAGATGTTGGAATATTTCCTCTATTGGCATCGCATGGCACATATTGAAAACAGACTATTTCCTGTCCAAATTGAGATTTTACAAACTATGAGGATATGTTCACAATGGCTGAATATTAATTCATTCGCTTTTTCATGTTTTTATTAAAAAAAAAATTACTTTTCAGTAACTACCAAACACAGATCAGTAATGAGGAATTCCTTCACTTATGGTATTAGTCTCCACTCTAGAATGATTTGAGATAGATTATTCGAAAACATAGGATTATATTATATCATATCCATTTCTGCACCAAAAAGGCTAATATGTCAGTACTGGTATTGGTGATTATTGACTGTTAATTATTCAAAAATTAAAGATTGGATGTATTACCATTACCAAGGAAATCAACAATGCTATGCAGCATATGGTTTATGTGGTTTCTAAAAAATGTTAGATTTGTTTTCTTGAGAAACAAATACTCAAGCAATTCAACGGAGGCTAACGCAGGTTCTATCACTAAGATAACAAAACATGGAATCTCTAAGACTAAGGGATTACAATAAAACCCCATTTTGGAATAACAAAACCAAGGAATGTTTATTTAAAAAACGTGATGGAAATCAACAAAAAAGATTTAGAGTAGCAATATTAAGATTTTTAATATTGTAAAATTAATATGTGACAAAATATTGAATAGAATAGTATGTATAAAATTATACAGCTGTTTCATAAAAGTTTTCTTTGTCCAGCCAAGTATACGATAGGATTTTCATGTTTATCCTGGGTTAAAAATGTCGATAAGACAGCTTAATCATATGGTCTCTCATCTAGCGCCAGTCTATATGGTTTGCATGGACTTGAAAATGCGGAGACCAACAAGCAGTTACACGAACCCCTTTTGGCCACTAGGAGTATAGTAATGCTCTTGCTCATACCATACTCATATATTCTATTCTTATATGTTAAGTTTATATTACTTATTCAATAGCTGTATTCTTTTATGGTAACCATAGATTCAATAATAGCTTGAAAAAATCATTAAATTGGGCATATTCATATCTGACCAGATCGATATTCAGGCCCTTCGCTGCAAATCACACTTCTGAAACTTCTGTATTTTGAGCAGTGAAATGGCGTAAAAGTTATACTAGTCTCTACTATATAAGATATATTATGAAATTAATTGAAATAACGAATATGATGATTTAATGTGATGGGTATAACAGAAATTTGATTAAAAGTTCATCCTTAAAAAACTCAATTCCTGTTTTAACATAATCCATCAAACAAATTTAAAATTAATAACCACGAATTAAATACCATATTGAAGAAATATTCTGAATTTGATGCAAAATTAGGCTATCATTTTAAATAATTTTGCTAAATGTTTCAATGACAAAGACAATTCTGAATATGGAAATACTACTATGATTGAAGCAAGCGCAGCAGTCTGATAATATCACTTCAAAAGGACAAAATTGAGTTAGTGTGACCAAAATTACTTATGCGTTGATAATAGATAAAAGGTATTTAGTAACATAATCCGGAACACGGGTATATGCACACATAAAAGAATAATTCAATTAAATTCTCGTGGCACCAAATTGAACGTTGTTGTTTATTTACGCATGGTTCGCTGACAGTTGGCGAATGACGTCTGAGAAATATACTTCATCAATTATGGACCATTAATAAAGTAGGTGATAATAGTAAAATTAGACAATGTTTATGCTAGGCCAAATATAAGGTTAGACACAATGACTACGCAAGGATAAAAAAGGGTTGCAAATTCGAGAAGCGAGTGCTATATATTGCCAATGAGCATGACTCGGATGCTTTCCGGCTTTGAGGTAAAATGATATAAGAAGCCAGATTTTGATTAAGGAAAGCAATATCCTGTGCAGATGAACACGCCCAAAGCGAAAAAAAGAAAACATACTTTGTAATATTCATACAGGATATACCAACGCCCAATAAAGGGTATTAAGTAGACAAAACTAGAATCATATTTCGAATTACACAAATTAAAAATGATGAATATAAGAAATAATGCGACTATATTGTGGACAATATATAAGAAAATTCCATAATATTCGGGAAAAGGTATAAAGTGATACAGAAACACATAAATATTGATTTTTTGTTTGGACATTGATCATAAAACAGACAATAGTTTGGTAATGGATAGAGAATAATAGTGATAAACATGGTTTTAAGAAATTTTCTTTTTCCTACAGTTCCAGTATTGAAACTATGATTGTGATGAATGCTCAAGTTGACAAATTTTTAAATGATATCTAAATCATTCTTGATAAATCAAGAATTAATAATTAAATCGAATACAAATAACTTCATTTTAGACATTCCTAATACATTCACGAATCACTTGTGTGATGTCGAGAAATTTGCTTTTTCCTACAGTTCCAGTATTGAAACTATGATCGTGATAAATGCTCAAGTTGACAAATATTTGAATGATATCTAAATCATTCTTGATAAATCAAGAATTAATAATTAAATCGAATACAAATAACTTCATTTTAGACATTCCTAATACATTCACGAATCACCATATAAAATTGTGTGATGTCACTCGTCACCTTGGTTCCATTCTCCTTACGTTGCTTGCTACCACAAAAATCCACCTTTTTCGGAAATGGTTATAGATACACACTTTCTCACAAATCTTTATTTACTTGTGTTTATCCAAAATATCTGGCACAAAAGATTCAGGCCACCCACTATTAACAACCAGATAGTAACTGATAGTCTATTTAGCATTTATGATCGGCCATACATGGACACCATGAAATCTAATAATCTCACACAAAGTGATTAGTTAGTTTCTAATAAGTATCTGATTCCAATTTCACAAACTTAAAAAGGACAAATCCAACCAGACCATATTCAGCCAAGCATAAATCAAGTATGATTACTACATATTTATGACTCATCATCTCTTACCATTTAAGTAGACAAATTAGTCATTTAAGTCTAAATTGAATTAACTTGAAACAGTGAAGTGGTAAATATCTAAATTTTATCCCTTTGATTGGATAATACAGACAATTGAGTTATTGAATATGAGTGATGGATGAATTCTTTAAGTCACATAAAATATCAGAGAAATTTAATGGAAACATTTTACCATGTAATATTTGTGCTATGTTATTGTAGCCTATTTGGTGTATTTAGCATGAAGTGAAGGATCGCTTCAGAAATTGGTGTATTTGTTGCAAAAAACAACACTTTTCTCTTTAACCAAAGGACCAATTGATTCAAAATTCTAGAAGTCTTTTTACTTTCATTTTTTTTTCAAATTTTCTTAGATCTCTATGGGGATTGATATTTCACTCCAAGTATTTGTAATATTATGCCATTACATGGTAATATGTCAGGTTAGTCTGACATCTTTTCGATAAACCTAATGCTCAATGAAGGCCTTCGTGATACCAATGAGAATTGCCACAGCATTGAAACTTGTTTTGCAATTTTGATTCAAAGTATTTGATTGGTCAGATAACAGATTTCTACATAGGTTAGATATTGAGCCTTAGTGTTCATATATTTCAGCTCTTCTGTTTTTGAAATAATAATTTATGAAAACATTTGTCAAATGTCGATTACGTCAAAGTGCGACAACCAGACAAACAGGCGCTAACAGTTGAATCAGCCTTTCGTTAATTGTCGTTTAATGAAAAACTGATAAAAGGATTCTCGAACCCAAGGGAATAACTGACACATGCCTAGCGATGTCAGTAGTGTGTAAGCTCATGGTGCGGTTGCC